CTTTACGCTGGACCAAGATATATCACGATCCGCGAGCTCCAAAATTTTACCGTCACCTCACCCCCCAATTGAGCGGAATCCAGCTGGTGCCTTTTGGGACCGTCACATGACGGCCAAATTTAGCGGGTCGAAGACCAGATTGCATAAACCATGTAGCAGGACAGCTTTAACAGGTGATCTGACTCGCGCGACATACGGATAACGACATCGTCACATGACCTGCGATATGATGCATTCATATCATGTGGGGTTTATTCTTTACCTATATTACGAAAGCCAAGTAGCGGGAAAACACGTGATCTGATTTGCACACACGGACAACTAAGACGAGATAAGCCCTCTAGGAAGCAATGTGCTTCTAGCTCAGGAGGTAGAGTGTCGGGCTGCTGTGCACAAGGTCGATTCCCAGCCGCCGCAGAGCCTTTTTTAGCGAATAAAAGTCGTTTACCGTGCAGCGATTCAGATAATGTCACGTGACCGTCATGTGAGCGCGGCGCAGCGCCCTCTGTCGGATTCAACACGAACTCTGTGTGACATCACGTGAGCTCCCTCTGTCGGACGCAACTTAAACCCGGGGAAAACACGAACCCTGTGAGGACATCATGTGAGTGCCCTCTGTCGGATGCAACTCGAACCCGGGGAAAATCACGTGGTTGAAATCACGTGATGGGAGCCGTGGTGACGACATCTCTGATACGTGTCTTTCCCACACTTCTGACACGCACCGCGTATGTGACTGATAATACTGGTTGTTAACACCTGGTGAATACAGGCTAAGTGTCGCGTACGTGGCACGCGCCGCGTACGTGACCTCACACCTATACCGCGTACGTGACTCGAGGGCGGGACCTCGATGAGCTCCGATTGGTCACTGGCTAATGCCCCGTGGGCGGGGCCATCCATGCCAACGGCCTGTCATTGGCCACTGGGATGGGAGAGAGGGAAGGGGCCCCGCCCTACTGCTCTGTGACTGGTCGGATTGGGCTTGGCCCCGCCCTGCTGCGTTGTGATTGGTCGGATCGGGTTTGGCTCCGCTCTCCTGGACTTTGAACATGTGACAGTAATGGGGTTTGCGGCCGCGAACACCGCTTGAATTGCGCGCGCGAAATCACGTGATAGGAAGACGAGGAACGTCACACGACCATGGACACGTGACCTGCGGCAATGACGCATCCTGTTTTTAACCGTATTACAAAAGCCAAGTAGCGCGGGGGACATCACGTGATCTGCATCGAACACACACACAGACGAACAACTAAGACGACTTAAGCGGTCTCGGAAGCAATGTGCTCGTAGCTGAGGGGGTAGAGTGTCGGGCCTATGTGCACGAAGTAGCGAGTTCGATTCCCAGCCGGCCGCGGAGCCTTTTTTTATCGAATAAAAGGGGCATTTACCGCGCAGCGATTCAAATTCAAAACACGTGACCGTCATGTGACCGCAGCGCAGCGCCCTCTTTCGGATGCAGCACGAACCCTGTGTCACATCACATGAGTGCCCTCTGTCGGACGGAGCTCGAACCCTGTGACATCACACGTGAGACGCGCCGCGATTAAAATCCTATAACGCCCTCTGTCGAACGAAGCTTGGACCCCGTGACATCACGTGGTTGTTATCAGACAGCTGTCAACACCTGGTCAACCATGCTTGTGGTTTGAGGTCTGAGGTTTGAGGTGGTTGTTATCAGACAATGACCACAGCTGTCAACACCTGGTCAACCATGCTTGTGGTTTGAGGTTTGAGGTCTGAGGTCATGGTAAGTGGCACGCGCCTGACACGCAACGCACACGTGACTTTACACCTATACCGAGCACGTTACTCGAGGGCGGGACCTCGCTGAGCTCCGATTGGTCACTGGCTAATGCCCTGTGGGCGGGGCCATCGATGCCCACTGCCTGGCATTGGTCACTGGGATGGGAGAGAGGGAAAGGGCCCCACCCTACTGCACTGTGATTGGTTGAATTGGGTTTGGCCCCACCCTCCTGTGCTGTGATAGGTTGGATCAGGTTTGGCCTCGCCCTCCTGCGCTGTGATTGGTTGCTGTGCAAACTGGTACATGTTTTCTACTACTCCGCTGCCTTCTATATTCGCGCATTAGCGCCGAACTGTGCCGAGAGCACGGAGCATCTCCGAGCAGAAGCACCTTCCCCTGCAGAGCGCCGTTTTGCTCTGCAAGTTGGCTTTCCCCCTAAGACAAATGGCAGACTGGCTTTTTTTTGGGCGGTCGCATCAGCCATTTGGAAGAAAAAATAAGACTCTCTTTTGCGGACGGAGTGGGGAGAGGGAGCACAGAGCACCCTCTCTCCGCTCCCTTCGCAAAAGGTATTTTTTCTTTTGGCCGCCCCCCAAAAAAAAAAAATGCTAGCGTGCTTTGCAAGCTGGCTTTCCCCCAATGCAGCCGCTCGCGTTGGGGGAAAGCCAGCTTGCAGAGCAAAACGGAGGTCATGGCAGTTCGATATATCGGTAGCGACTGCTATTTTTGTTCGGTGTAACCATAGTTTTTGCTATATATTATCACTGTAACATTACTGTGCATAAAAATTGTTCGATATAAGGAATAATACGATGTAGACGGGTTTGATATAGTCGGGTTTGACTGTATTTCGAAAGGTAGAATAATTCAATATTGTCGAATAATTAGATATTGTCAAATACCTAAATTCGATTCGAAGCGAATGCTGAATAGAACAAAATTCGATTGGCTATTCGTAATAATGGAATATTTGCCCATCCCTACTTTTCATTGTTGCCAGTAGAGACTTTCGCTCTGAAAAACACGGTGATGACGAAGATTGTAAATTCATTGTCTTTGCGAAAAAACAGTAATTTTTGCCCAATATTTGGGTTACTATTCCAGCGGTGTTTGTTGGTGTGGTTAGCAAATTTTCAGGCAAATTGAGGACTATGAAGAAAATGCTGTGTACCCCTTTGAGGGTAAGTAAATGAAATGAAATAAACAGGTTTATTTCATTTCAAGCCCTTACGATCCTCAGGAAAGAGAGCGACAAAAAGCGGAAGCTCAGCGCCGTCATCGCACCATCACTGTGCAGTGGCTCGAAGTCATCATAGACTGACCCGCTGAGTTTGCAATTATGCCAAGCTGCACCCATTCCGAAAAATTTAAGTTAGTGTAAACTGGTGCAGGGTGGTGCACAACCAATATGTGCTTTAAAAGGCCAACTCCGGTTCATACTTTCGATTTTGGGATTATGACTGTTTTTAGTGCAGTCAGCGTCCCTGAATTGCAAGGTATAATTTTTTTCTCGTTATTGTGGGTAGTTTCAAAGATATTGACGCCTCAATGCTTTGTTTGGGGCGCGGCCAACAAAGCCGAAACTAGCCGCTCGACGTCCCGGCAACACTAGAAAACAGCCGCTATGTGAACGTGACGTCAGGATCGTTCTCGTTCAACGAGTATGCAGGCCGAGCGGCACCTACCTCTTTTGCGCTAGACGTCTAAAGATGGGAGGTAAGCTGATTTTGTTTTAATTCTGTATACGTGGTAGTTATTCAGCATACGTAGCAAGAGGCAGTGGCGTCAGAAAGGGGGGGGGAGCGGATCGCCAAGGGCGCAGGGCTCAAGGGGGTGTCGCGGCGGCCACGAGAGCGGGGGGGGGGAAGGGGCGGGGGAGTGGTTGGTGGGCCGCGCGAGAGTGTAGGGGGGGGGGTGCGCGGCGAGCTACTGCTCCGGGTGACGCCACTGGCAAGAGTTAGTGCGTCTACCCAAAGGCTAGTGACTGGAAAACCCGTAAACTCATACAATGCCGTACTCGGCGGCCGCCGCCGTGCGTGCGCTATGTCGTACTCGTCACTTGTATACCCAAAAGTTAGCGACTGGAAAACGAGTGAACTTGTTCGGTGCCGTATTCGGTGGCTGTTGCAGTGTGTGCGGTCTTCCGTACTCGTCGCTAGGCCTAAATTGTCATCGGGGCTCCGTGGATGGGGCGGTGTTGCTCTACGCCGCGTTGCCAGTGACGTACAGTACTGGGGGCCCTCTCGCTTTCGCACTGCGGGTCAGCCCCAGACACAAAGCTTTGAGGCTCTCCGGCGCGGGCCGCGGCGCCCGAACACACGTGTGCTGGGCTGTACACGTCTGTTTTTCGTGTTTTTTTTTTCCTCAGGCGCGCAAAAACCAAAGTCAAAAGTCCACTTGTCGAACAGCGTTCACCCACACCTTCTCAAATTTCCGGTCCGATGGAGACTTGTGAAAAAGCACATCCGTGTTGCGCAGCGGGTTGTTTGAGCAGCCCACAGCGCTACAAGTCGCACTGGGCATGTTTCGAGGAACAGCTGGGCAGTATTGGGCGCATTGAACCATGGTTAAAAACGCTAAAAAGACGTACACAAGATAGAATACAAACACGGGCGCTATATTCTATCTTGTGTACGTCTTTTTAGTGCTTTTAACCATGGTTCAGTACAATCAACACCAACTAGCCGAACAACAAGTTCTTTTACAGTATTGGGCGCACCAAGTTGCTCGCTAAAACGAGTCTTGGAGTCCTCACAAGCAAATAAACAAAAGGCTATACCGAAGCTACACGGGCTACAGGTAAAAGCAACGGCTAAACATGGCAATCACAAGCCGAAGTATCGGTGGTAGCGGCTCAAAAAAGCGCACTCCGCGCAACGCCCGGACCGGAGGATAAAAAGAGAACGATACTGACGTTACGGCCCAATGTTGCTTTAGCGATCGGCAACCCACTGGCCGCTCGCTAAGGAGCAGCGGCTGGCGGCGGGTCGCATTTTTATTATCGGCATTAGTTGAGAATGCGGCGTCCCACGGTCGTAATATTTTGGCTGGGGTTGTATTTTGTGTCACTACAATGATACCAGTAATTTATTTCATTTTGAGTTTTGGCCGGAGTTGCCCTTTAAGATATGCTGCATAAGGTGATATGCTGGGGGTGTAGACTGGTGCAGGTATGCGCCCAGTGTCACTGTTCATGTTTGCACATGCTCACGCCAGTCGGCGAAGGAATCCATGGAAAAGGTTTACTCACCGTGATAAAAAGGATCCCCTGGTTTTTGGGGTCCCAGTATCCCCGGTCATACTTTGCCAAGAGCTGATGCATGACAAACGTCTTCAAGGAATACGAGGAGAGGTTCCACGTGTAAGAATCCCTCGTAGTCTGCAGAAAAAAAACAACAACAACCAACTGTCACCTTTTTGTTTGCTAATCTGTCCTCAAGATTGGTAAAACAACTTGATACTCAAGTCCACTGACGCAACCCAGCAATTCGTCACCCGTCCTGCTCTTTAGGCGGATGTTCCATATTTTGTTTGTTCTGGTTCACACCTGAACCTAGACTTAGACCTGATTTCAAAGCGCTGTTGTGCCTTGTCAGCCTTTGCACATCTATCGTGCATTCAAAACTAGAGCTTGGCTCCATGGTCTGGAGCTATCTAGAGATCAACACAGCATTAAGGTTGCCAGGCATTCTATACCTATGGACAGGGTTCTCCCCAGTAATTTTTGATTGGTGCGCATAAGTACCATGCGAGTGGGGGGGGGGTAGTAGTATTAGTAGTAGTAGTAGTAGTAGTAGTAGTAGTTTGCAATACAGCACAGGCTAGCCAACAGAACGCACTTTGCATAGGCTCTCTAACTTTGCAACCCTGTGACTGGTGCCATGCCTCCGTGATAAAACTAAAACCAAATTGCCTTGGGGAAAAAAAAAGTGGGGAAGGCAGGGAGAGAGCGAACTGTGGAGAAAACTGCTGCACGGTGTGTGTTTATGTCGTCTGTTTATTTTGTGTTTCCCCTCCGCCGAGCAACCCCATCCCTCCTCATCCTCCCCGGCGGCAGGCACTCTGCAGCTCCGCTCTCCTTGTTTGAAAGAGTGGTGGCAACGGCAGTAGCGACAAGATGCGATAACGGGGGGGGGGGGGGGGGGGCGGTGTGTGCAGGCCTGCTGCCATGTGCGCAGGCAAAATCACATCGTCATCGTGTGGCACAATCGAGCGGTGGGCGGTCAGTCAGAGCGGTGGGGAGAACCCTGCCTATGAATTAACATTGTTCAGGATGAATTTACTGACACTAGTAGCTTGTCATTCTCTTCCGAGGTTTTGTATTCTCGTACAAATGTATACACAGCAGGACGCTGTGCGTTCAACTCGTCTTTTTTCTATTATTTACTGCTTACCCCGTCATCTCAAGCACATACACTAACCTCGTTGATATGTCCTCGGTTTATTAGTTTTCTAAACTGCTATGCTCAGAAATGCCAGTCCTGTGCTTCCATGAAACTTAGAACACGTCGCACGTGTGCTATAATGCCAAACTAGTAACTGACGCACCTGCGCTCCGTGGCTAACGCTTGCTTCCCTGGCCTAGCTGCAGTGCAACCAACACCAACTCCCGCATGAGCAGCCAAGGTTCGTGAAGGCTTCCAGTATAAAACTATCGCTTTGAAGATTACTAATGTGGTGAAAAAAAAAAAAGCCCGTTTCGAGTTGCATACACGAAACGGGCCATACCAGCTACATTCAAGAAAGCCCTGTGCATCCCCAGCTTCCGTAAACTACCTTGTCTGCCCTTTATTTTTAGTGCATGCGAAGCATGTAGAAGCACGCCTTCCAGCAGAAGAAGGGTGTCGTCAACATGTTGAAAGCATATTGTTGCAATATGTGAATATTGTTAAGTTTCAGTTTACGTCAGTTTCGGTTTGATGGCAATCATCATTATCCTCAGGGAGAACAACATAAGAAAGATGACATTTAATGGCTGACAGCATGCTCACTTGCCTCCCCACTCTTCCATACGGGTGACTAAGATGCATGAAACACATAAGAGCCATTTTTTGGGGGCCTTTAATATATCTGGCAGTGTTCACTATACCTTGAGCAAACGAATGATGGGCTTGACGCAACCATAGTCTTGAATCAGCCTGTTTTCCATATTTTGGAAGTCTAGCCGCCACAAGTGGGAGCCGTCGGGCATAGAGGGATTGGACATAGGTGATTTTGGAACCAGGAACCAGTTCTGATCCTTTGCAACAAAAATAAAAAAAAGAAACATGAACACTGCTGTCACAAGAAAAACTCAAAGTAATATGAGCTGGGTACATATCACAGTGACGCTGCCACGTAACTTCGTAATGTCACAGTCCTTCATGACGGTTTTCTCACAGAACTTGGCTGATCAAACATAGTCTGTGTTAAAATCAGCTAAATTGGCTGTTTCTGCCTGCCTCACGAGAATCACTCAAATGCTCGCGAGCCTTTCTGATGTCAGAATTGTGCGTGTCTGTGTCCTTGCATTGATAGCAATGCTCCAAAATAACTGCAAAGCTGAAGATATTCCGAAGGTGCTTACCAAGGGAGAAATCTTATCCATCCAGTCTTTCTTCTCAATGCCACTGGGCCAGTTGGGGTAACAAAATTCTATCACAGGCACAAGATCTACATCAATCCACTGGCCATCTTTAAGAATGATACGGAATGTCTTGGCAGGTCCACTCTGACTTGGCCGAATCTGGAAAAACAATAGCCGTTTCTCTCAAACATTTCTTAAAAGGAAGCAAAAGGCCATCCATGATTTCCATTAGGCATGTCCCAGCTAAAGCTTTAGCCATCACGCTTGCACAATTTCATTCAAGTTGCAAAAGCCATAAAGGTAACCCCAGAATGAAGAGTTAAGACTAAGAAATCCCACAGTTTAGATTTCCCAGCTGCAGATCTCCATGATGAACCTAGAATAGCTCATCAGCCTCATTAGTTTAGCTTCTGATAACATCTTTGCTATGGGAACATGGGACTCTGGTCATGAGGTTCGTTTGTTCACATTAAATTAAGATGGTAAAATAATCAAAGACAAGATTAAATCAAATTTTAGCAATTTGTAATCATCAAAAAAGAAGCTAAACATAGAACATAAAATAAGACAGAAAAACTTTCTGCCTTTCCACTCTCATGAAGAAGGAAAATCAGTGAAGCTGTACTATGGTGAAATTAAGTATTTATAAATGTAAGGATTAAGCTGTGATTGGGTAATTGGTTATGTGAGAACCCTATTGTTACCGGTTGTCTTTGTTATACCATGTCAACTGCCGAAGGCTCATGAACGGGAGTTGAGGCGCCACTAGTCGTTCCTCCATTACGTTCAACCTCGGTAGGTGCCCCGGTACGGGTGGGTACTTGTAGCCATTCACGGTCACGAACCGGGGCACCGCGCTTTTGGGCAGAGAATCTCGGCATGTTCTGCACGCCGGTTCTTTGTACACTTAAAGGGCAACTCCGCTCAATTCCGAAAAATTTAGGCTTACATGTGATTCCATTTTACAAAGCACAACTAAACAGCTCTACGTCCTCGGATTCGCAAAAGGTGGAATATTATTTGTGTAATCTTAATTTAAACATCAGCTGATGCCGAAATTGAAACTTCGGTTGCGTCAGGCAACATGGGTATCGTGTCGTCAGAGTCATGGCTACGTCACGTCGAACCACGTGGTCTTGTGACGTTCGTAGGGGCGAGAGACAGGACATGCGACGCGGGCAGGTCGCTTTGCATGGCGTGGACGGTGCTGGCCTGGGGGAGAGGGGGAGGGGGATAAGACAAAAGAGCAGAGGGGAAACGGAGAAACAGACCAATAAGCGCGCAGGGCAGCGCAAATTAGCGCATCCACGTTACGGTGATCACGTGGACGCCGTTCAGCCAACTCCGGGAGGAGAAACTCATGGCGTCATCGTTCAATTTTGCTCCGAGAAGTAAAAACAAAGAAAACGTGAGAATGGCGTAGTCATGCCTCTGACGTAGTGGCTCAACGTTGGTCGCTCCAACTTCGTTGCATTAAGTTCGCTGACAATTGCGCCTCATGTCGCACGCTACAGTTGGCAGATGTCGGCGACTTGGCTCAATTTAAAGTTTGCTGGCCAGTTTATTAAATATATAGACGGAATTAGATAGTAATATTTGACATGGGGTCTTCCTATATGATACTGAAGAGGGCTACATAGTTTTCTAAATATCAAAAATGAAGCGGAGTTGCCCTTTAAACCTCGATTTTACGAAACCCGATTTTGGGAAGTTCCCGATTTAACGAACAAATTCGGATTCCCTGCGCAGCCTATGCACAAGGTCTCCCTTCCTCGATTTTACGAAGTTCCCAATTTAACTAAATAATTAGCGGGTCCCTGTGACTTCGTTAAATCGAGGTTCAACTGTAGATGTCCGCCAACTCGATACACTACCGCAATGCGCACGCGCCCATTTCCTGATTCTTTTCGTCCGGCACGTCGCCTATCGTGGATAAGTCTACGGTGAACCAGAGTCGGTTGCACACGGCGCACGTGACGCCAAACGGGTTTTCGACAAACTCCCTCCGGAACCTTGCCGTCGCACCCGGGAACAGTTCAGCTGCCGTGGAGCGCTGGTTCTGTTCTCTGCGGCGGCTTTCCAGGCAAGCAATGTGCTCTTCTTTCGCAAGGGAGTCTGAAGCGATGGACGCAGTGGAAGTCGAGGCGACAGCGGCTTCACGTCAGCTGCGGACCCATTCGCGCTGTTGCGTATGTCGCCGCTCTTTCCGCACCCAGTCTTCTTTTCACAAAAGGGGACGCGCTTGGCCCATCCTGAGTCTAAACCGAAACTGATAAGAGCGTAGGAAACAGCGCTCAAACAGGGAAGGACAAAGAAACACACGTGACGAGCGCTGCACTTGTCACGTGTGTTTCTTCTTCGTCCTCGTCTGTTTTGTGCGCCGTTTCCTACGTTGAATTCCCGCAAACTCGCCCAACTATCCATTCTTGAACGATAGCTGGAAAGGTTGCCGCCATCTACGAGCGACGGGAGCAACCAGAGTGGTTGTGTGCTTGCCACTGTTGCTTATAGATGGCGGTAGCTGTCTAGAGGTTTGTGGAGGTTTGTGCTGACAAGATTTTGGTACCGGACATGATCCTGGGGAACCTAGCCCTTAACAGCTCCGCTGTAATAAAAACAAAACATTTACAGCAGAAACGGCAATGCTCAGTTCGATTTCTTCCGGCAGAGGTGTTGCTGTTTACACATCAGTCTTCGAGTTTCTGTGTGTCGGAGAGAGAATGAAGGTTGGAGGCTCGCGGTGGAACGTCGAGCGTGTCCTGGGTTTCCCATGCGACTTCAGTTCAAGCCGAGCTCGAATTAACAGGCAGCTGTGTCAACGACTCTTAGGCTTTTCCCTGAATGGAAGTTTCGATGGTCCACGCACCGACTTGGAGACTCCGACTTTGTACGGCGGGTTCCTGGTTGCCAGTGGCTTGCAACCCAGTCCCGGTTCGGGCTGTTTTCCCAAGTGCCGTGACCTGGCTGTCGGTCGCTGGCTAATCTCTCGTGCTGTTCCTTTTAAGCTTCTTGCATCGTCGTCTTTTTCTTTCCCTTCAGCATGCACATCATCACACAATCCCCCACCCCCTTTAGGTTTTTGTTTCACGAGAAAGAAAAACTGAAACCGCCGATGATGAGCCTCTCAAAGTAGTTCCAGATGTACACAGAGCAATAATGCTTTGCGTTGAAGCAAAGAAAAGATAATGCTTAGAGCCACTTGCGCTTTCACAAAGCAAAAGATTGCAAACAATATATTACGAGAAATATGTCCTAGAAAAACATCAACATGTTTGAGACGTGCAAACCTGGACACAAAACCCTAGTCCAAAAGCAACTTAAATTCATACTGTAAGCTATCACTCGACGCTTAACCCTATAGTAAAAAAGAAAGCGAAAAATAACAAACTTCCTTCCAAATAATTGGGTTAAAAGTAGCCAGGCAGCATCACAAAAGTTTGAAAACCTGTAGTTTAGAGTTCAAACACCACATACAACTCACTTGCCAAGTGCAAGTTTAAAAAGAAAACACAAGAATTGCCATGACAAAAGTGCTAAATCGGAAGACAAAAAACAAACCAAGACGAAGCAGCTAATGAATTGCAGCAAACGCTACAGACAGGCAGCATGCAATATCCGGTCAAAATCTCAGTATTAAATTGGCCTTCTAAATCTAAATTAGATAACTGCTTGATCTGGGCCTTCAAGCTGACCAGAACTGTGTGGGACCTAACTGCGTTTAGGCGTCACACTCAATCTGTGCTAGGTAAGCATCAACGGGATTGAACTCAACCTCCGAGAATATCGTGCTCCCGGTTTGTCTTTGCATCCGAACTCGCTTCCGCGTCTTCTGGCCGACTCTTCTGCTTATCTGGCGCGAGTCCCGTCTCAGCCCACTGATTCCTGTTGAGCGACTAAGCTTGCATATCTTGAAACACGCTCTTCACCCTCCTCCGAACTGCACGGGGTAGGACACTTGCCTCCGTCACTCTTGCAGAAACAATGCTGCATCTCGTTCTACGAGGTTCGGTCCGACATTTCTTTCTTTCAAACTTCTTCGAGCCGCCATCTTGTTGTCTGGATTCAGCAGCATCACCGGCTAGAAGCCACAGCCCCAACTTGTTGGTTGCATCTTTCCCGCTCGGTGTCTCATTTTTCACCGTTTCTGGGGTGCAACTTAAACCTCCATAAGGATAGCCTCCCTAACTAAGATCATTTCCCTGGCAGGCACCTCTGCATCTGCACTCAGGGTACAGGGGGGCATTATCGCGTCATCCTCAACTTTCTCATCTGTGCAGCGCTCTTTAACTGATGTGCACATCGCATCTTGAGCTGTCGCCACTATGGCTTCCAAAAGCCCTATCATCTCTTTCAGGTTTTGAGACTCGGCCTGAAAACGGGACTGTCGTGCGACCGTCACTCTTTAACACTTCTGTATTCCTAAAGAATCTCCGTCAGCCCCATTGTCCGTCGCTTGCCATAGCATTTTTCCCATTTTTTTTAAAAATTCCAGCTCTTACTCTTGCTTCACGTACAAAGCGTGACCTTCTAGCCATTTCTTAAGCAACACCTTGTCCATCCCCTGTGACTCCCCGAGTTTGGTTACCTGATTGAGCTCAGTGTTTTTACAAAATTTTTCTATCCTACCTGCTAGCTAGAAGAAATGCTACTTCTTCCACTATATATGTGCTAAAAAGCTACCAAATAACTCCCACTGTATGATATTCACATCGCAGGTTAGAAATAATATTACCGCAATTCGATAGGTCTCTTCCTGTTGCGGATGCCAGTTGTGATGGTAAGGTATGTTTCATGTGTTTATGGTGTTAATAAAAGTAAGGAAGACACAGGATGCATCAGGGAATCTTACGCTATTGCAACATAAATCGGAGAATAACTAGATATTTGGACCACAGCTATTTCAAGGAATGTCATTTTGAGAGTCGTCTTTCGCACACCCAGTTGAAAATTCCCATTAGGTTCCAATTGGAATTTTCCCAACGGTACCAATTACCATTGGACCGCCAAAGGAAAACGGTGGAGGGGTCCTCATTGATGAGCTCGGATATAGTTGTTGGGAGCCTGGAATGTCTGGTTCCTGGGGATGTCAATGTGCCCGATCAATGGAGTTGTCTTCCGCACTTCACATAGTCCAGTTGGCCTCGGTCAGGTCGGTTCCTTGACCATGAGAGGAGTCGGCCATCTGACGTCTGGTCACGCCGACGAAGGTCCGCCCAGCTGTTAGCAGCTTGGCCTTCCGAGTTCGAGCCCTTCTCGCGCCCTTCCGAAAAACCGTGCCATTCCTTGTGCATCTCTTTTCCTCCGCTCTTTTTCTTCTTTGTGTTCGTGGTGGACAGATCATCATACACCCCAGCTTGAAGAAAACCAGCTATTGGCATCAAGCGCTACAGCCCGTAGTGTGCTCACATTTTATTTTTATGTGTGTGACTATCCCACGATTGCCTTTTGCCCCTCCTACCCCCCTTCCCAGAGGAGGAGCAAATCACACGTCCAAACTCCCGCCATAAGGATATATGTTAGGAGTCTGAGGCCTTGGCTTTGGAAACCACTTTCACCGCTGTGCCCTCCAAGACTTTGATTGCATGCCCATAGCCTTTGTTGTGCTCTAAACTAAGGTGAAAGAGCAAATGTCTACAGACGCTCGTTTCTAAATGCTGGTAGGATAAAAACGGCAGGAAAATTTTTCAGTTGTCCTGCCTTCGGCGCTAACTTCCTACCTTCGATAACGCTTCGGCGTCTCGTGGCCTTTAAGGGTGCATGCACAACCAAAGCACCACGGAAGGCAAAGAGCCCCTGCTAGATGTTAGGGCATCTCAAAGAAAAGCCCTGCCGTTTTACTGTCAGTAACTAAAGAGGCAGCTTAGATGCTTCACTGCATACTCTCAAACCGAGCTTTCAATTATGAAGCAAAGCGAAACAGATGAAAAAAGAACACTCGGCTGGTGTCCGATTTTGGTCGAGGTGAGAGCGCGAGTGTTCTCTGCTGCTGATTGGACATGGCACCACAGCCTGTGCGTAATCGATCAATGAGGCATATTTGACCAATTAGTGAGTTCACAGTTGGGCAATAATTTGGTGAGAACGTCTCGCCAACATAGAATAGCGAGACAGGTATCACGGTTTCTTCGTCCACCGGTCAATGTTAGCTCGTGTATGGCAGCAGAACAACTCGAGACTTGCAAACGAAGCGCGGGTTGTCAATGGCTTCCGACATGAAATAGCATACAATCACAATTTCAGCCTGCTTCCGATCTCGCTTTGCTGCGGTGCTCGGTCCGTAGCAGACAATCAACTTTCTAGAGTGCAGCTCTTAGGCACCCGTTTCCGGGTTGAGCGGCATCGGCATCAGTGTAACCGCGTGTTGCATTATGGGACGTTTCCCCGCTAAAGTTAGCGGGCAAATTGATGTCACGTGACCTCAACACCAATTCAGTTTCCTTACTAAATTTAGCGAGGAAAAATGACGTCACAACTTCGTGTCACGTCACCCATAAACAAATTCAGCAACAGGAAGAGAGGAGGAAAGCAGGAGGAGGAGGATAGAAGAGGAGGAGAAGGAGGAGGGGAACAGGAGGAGGAGCGGAAGAGAAGGAGGGGCATATCCTTCCCTCTGTACCCTCCTCGCCTCCTCCTTCTCAAGAGCTGCGCTCTAGTTTCGCATTCGAGATTTCTAAACGTCTAATTTTTTTTCCGGTCTGTTAGCAGGCAACGCATTGTGTTTTTTGTTTTATTTCTATCCGCGAATGGCGCTTCGTAGCAGACGGACGAACCGTCCGTGAAAGCAATCGTCACTCGCATAGCGAGAGGCAAATTTGATCTCACCCCTGCGGTGACCAAAATCGGACCCCTGGAGAAGTCCGCTGACCCGACTACAACCGTGGCAGACAGTCCCTCACCCTAGCCACGGATGAGCGAAGTCCAGAAGGGATGACATAGGTTTGGAGAACCCGGTCGAAGGCAGACTGCAGGCTCCTCTTGACCCTCTCGGGCATAAGCCTATTCTCGCCGTTGATCAACTTGAGCAAGGGATGGACCCACTCCTTTTCTCCTTCTTGGAGAAGCCTGTTGACGGCCGCTAGGCTGACTTTGTAGCCGACATAGCCGGGACGTTCGTCCAAAATCTGGAGGTTAGGATGAATGTTGTTCAGTGTCCCTCAGCTTTAAAGGGACGATGAGTCAGACTTGCACAGACAAGGCACTGCAGTAACTGACAACGTGAGGATGGCATGGAGGAGCTTAAATCTCCCACTCCTCCTCCTAGCACAAGCTTCTTACCTTTGACAACGCTTCAGTAGGGAGTTTTAGTCGATTGTTTTTCTTTTCCGCTACCGTATCCGTACAAAAAACGCCGCAGCTGCGCGTGCGCGCCGCCAGCCTTGCTTACGTAGTTCATGGTCTTGTGGCATATATTACGGAGTGCTATGCGGGTGCTTAGCTGGCTGCGGAAACGGTCTACTAAAACTCCCTAATGTCTCAGCACCTCAAATCCACGCGTGCATAGCCAACACACAGCGGAAGGCATGAATCATGTGCTGGAGGAGGCCAGGCGTTTGAAAAAGACGTGCATTAAGGGTATAAAAATTTCACTGAACAAATTCACTCGAGTAAAAAGTTAGAAATTGAGAACATAAAATACCTACCTATGGCATTCGTCTGCTAACGAAAGGCGTCTGATTAGTGCAGGAGCCGACAGATGGTGGCACGTAAGATCGCAAACGGTGTAGAGAGCCTACATTACAGAGAGTTTCCAACAACTCGATCGGGGTCACATGGTCTATGGGCCTCATTGGCAATACTAGCTGCGAGAAGGTGACGAATGCGTTGGTTCTCTACGAGCATCTCCGCCTTTCCGCTTGCTTCCTCCTTGCCATGCAAATCCGCAGTGCTTGCACACTTGCGACTAATCTCTACCGTTAAGTTGCAAACACTCCTCGTGATTTGAGATGGACCCTCTTTACTCCTATGCCCTCTAGCAGGCGGCCACGACGGGCGTCTCCCTCGACCTTGGCGATAGCAGACGGCGTTCCCGAGCCAAAAGAGACCGCTTTTTTCTGCACGAAAAGTCAGTGCATGGTTATTTTATTTTAATCACAATATAACATAAAAAACGAAAACGAGAGAAAAACAAAACATGTGCTGTCTTGTTTCTTTTACAATTATTTTCGGCTACAGGTCGTTCTCTGCTTTGCACACTTTGGTTGTTACCCGCGTCTCTTTACACGTCTAAAACTTTTATCTGTGAAGGTTGCTCTCAGGTATGGGGTGTGCGAGAGGACGGAGGAGGTCTGGTGATGTTTTCGGGCAGAGTTTTGGCGGCGACCTCAGGGCTCTCCTACAATTTCAGCAAGGCATGTTGTTGGGCTAGTTGGTGGTACATACTGTTTGGTGGGAACAGCGCAAAAAAGACGTAGGAAGAGGTCGACGGTGACCTCACGGTGACCTCAGGGCTCTCCAATGAAGACAAAAACCTCCAAGACAAGCCACCTACAACAGTGGTATCATCACCAAAGCTAACACTGGAAAATGCAGTACTTGGTGCATTCGCCGCCGACCCAGAGAGCACTGCTGACATCTGTCGGTTGTTGCGCCAAGCAAAGGCCTTTCGTTAGATGGATGCCGTAGGTAGGAATTTAAAGTTCTTGATTTCTAACCTTTTACTTGGCTAAGCTTGTTCAGTAAAATTTTGATACAGATAATGCACATTCTTCGGCCACCCTTGCGAAATATCTTGTCTCGATACGTTCAGCAACCGATTTATATGGCCCTTTCCAACAGCCATCGCTCCCCTTGACTCGACCTGTAGATGAAGCTCCATGCTTGTGCCAGCAGCTTCGACACTGTTTACGTGAAGTATGAAACAGAGTACAGCACACTTCAGCGCTGGAAATACTTCTGTGCTGCCTTTGCTGGGAGCATTTAATGCTTTCGGCCTAACTTGAAATCCGAGAAAGGGATGCAACTTTTCCAAAAAAATGCAGACAAGGTTACCTGGCCAGGTTCGTTGATGTTCTTTTTCTGTCACAAAAAGAGAGTCTGCAGAAGGGGGGGTGGTCCATTTAACAACTACCATAGAATACCGCGCATCCGCCCATACCACATTAAGCGCCCATTCCCGAATTTGTAAGGCCTGAGGAAATATGTGCAGTATGTTTATATGTAAAATTCATGACCGGACAAACGCCCATCCCCCATTCTCTCGCGATTATTTCTAAATTTTGAGTGGGCGCTTGCTCGGTATTTTACGGTACATTTTTTCTTCACGTTGAATAATCTCATTTTATTTTTAAGAAGTAGAGTGCACTGGGTTTATACACAAACACTACGGCCTTGCAAGTGAAAGTTATGAATAGTTTATAATTAACCGCTTGCTTTCATAAAAAGAAGTGTTTCATTGCTATGCGACTACGAAAAACTCTACCTCCCCCGTGTAAAGACCCTGGCGAAATGTAACAATAACTAAATAAATTAATAAATAAATAAACACTAGTTGGAAGACTATATTACATCAGGCACCAAGAAAAAGCAGCTAGTAATAGTGCGGTGCAAAACTTACGGTAAATTCACCTTTCCGAAAAGGTAAATCCAGGACAAGATTGATGTCGAATTCGTCTGCTTTCTTGGTCCGTAGCCGGATGTAGTAACTTCCAGTGTACACGAGCCTGGACAGTGGCATGCAAAAGGCAATCCAGGGTCTCCACAAGTTAAGACAAAAAGATTGAAGGGACCTCGACCCTTTGAGTGCCGGGTTTTTTCCCCGCATGTTGAGTGCAAACTTTGGTTCCACGCAGACAAACTGTACCACACTTTATGAAGTATATTTATTTATCGAAGACACCCTGATATTTTTTTCGAATTATACTTTTCGAGACATGGTACCCTGCAAAGAGGGCCCCCCCCCCCCCCCCCCCCCCCCCCACCGCCTTGCATCCTGCGATCACTCTTTTCGAGTGGCCTTAACCAACATTTTTTATTTAGAACTTTGACCTTCTCATTTAGTTCACTGCTAAATTGGTTTATTACTAATTCTTAGATCTCAGTGTTCTCCATACTGTGCAAGGTTGAATGACATACTAGATTTGCCTCTCTGGAACAACGAAAGAGCTAACCATGACCTAAGTCCAATTTACACATGCCGTCAGCAGGCATTATTACGGAACAGAACATTGCTCTACGCATACAAATAAATCGACAGCCCAGTTGGGAGAGGTAGGGAGCAAATCAAAACTGAAACCTGCATGGGAGTGTGCCGAAGTATACTCGGGCGTGTCACTCAAAGGGTTAATGACACGCTGCAAAATCTTCAGGGATGCGTGCAGGAACTACGGCGTCCCACCATTTAAGGGAAAACAGTGCTCAGTAGGACAATATTATTGCACAACCTATTCATACTGTTCCTATGGTCACTGATAAAACTAGAATGGATTAGAGCTTGCCTTCAGCATGAGCGCATGCTAGAGGCCAGGCATTAAAAAAGATGACTTGCCATTTCCATCTTGTTAACAACTACAAACTATATTACTAGGGTGAGAACGAAGAGGTAAATGATCCTCCGTTTGGACAGTTCCGGTGATACTGCCTGCCAGAACTGCCCAAACGATGAGGGTGGTGCGTGCCCTTTTCCTTTTTACCACACCAGATCGGACTAAATGAACGTAGAGGACTGCCGGTTTGTCGTCTGTCGTCGGGATCGGGCGTGAGTCCTCTCCCTCTTGTACCCCAACGATTCCGTTGAAATAGTTGGACCTATGTAGACGGCGCTGAAGTCGAACAAAATGGCACTGCCCAGAGAGCCCTTAGTGGAATAACCCACGTACACAAACATGCTGTGGTTACATCGTGCCGCTATGATGGCACTGCGCATGTGCAGATGCTTCACCGCATATTAATCTGGTTTCTGCACACGGACAGCACCCACACCATATCTGGGCAAATGCAGAGTTGTTTGTAAACGGCGTGTTAAACTATAGGGTGGCCACAATAGATCCCAGCGCTGTAAAACAAACCGGAAATATTGGTGCCTGCACACAGAAAGCTGAAACTTTCACCGATTTGGTGGATTTTACCTTGTGAAATTCCGAAGCGAAGCTCCCTTCTTGTGAAAATGATACCAGCAAGCTTGCCAGGCGGACATGTTCACAGACTGCAATAATGTGATGTATTGGGCTAGTTGGCTTGAAGTTAACATCTTGGGAAGGAACAGTGGCAAGAAAACTTGTACAAGGGTAAAGAAACACACGGTCAGCGACACCCTGTCGTGTGTGTTTCATTACCCTTGTCCAAGCTTTTTTTGCCACTGTTCCTTCACAGACTGAGTCAGCGATGGCTGCAATTTGTGGCACCATCTCCCAATAGGTGCAGCAAGCAAATGACGCATCTTGTTGTCTGCTTGCCGTGCATATCGGCAGATGGCACCACAAGTAACAACCATCGCTGAATTGGTTGTCTGCGAACACGTCCGCCATTGACCCTGGCACGTTTGTTGGTCTCGTTTCTCATAGGAAGGAAGCTACGTTGAAATTTCACAAGGTAATATCTACCACCACCTAAATGCACATTTGGTGAATGTTTGAGCGTCTATGTTCGGGTACCGATTTTTCTTGTTCGTTTGACAGTGCTAGGATCCATCGTAGCCACCCTACAGATGTTAGGTCTACCTGATTTGGAGCAACTTTTTTTGCATAATTTTGGGGTTGCTGATGGCTTGCTTGTTGGCCACTGCAGCAAAAATTGTGGGGATCGATCTGGATAGAAACCAATGACTAAGCGTGGGGCTGATGATAATGCAAAGAGTAAGTTGTCTGCCTTTTGTGCGGGGGTTGCGGTGACAACAGAATGAAAGCAAGCTCTGATTGGCTTTGATTAAAAGGATAGCGGGTAAACCTCAATGCTACATGCCTTGAGGTCCACTCACTAGTATATTTTTCAATCAGCCAATAAGAGCTCGGCATTTTGACATGATCACAACCCTGTGCAAGACGCAGACGAACTTGTGCTCTGCCTGATCGAGAAGGGAGTTTAACCCTTTTCTGGTTTGCTATCTGATCATTTTCGTTTGGTTTCAAAGGAGTCGGTTAACATTCATGACGCTATTGAAAAGTATAAAAATTGCGACAAAATATGGTGCATTGCTGTTATGACGGTTCCTGTGCGTGGATGCAGAAGATGAGAGTTGCTCAAGCCTCGAAGCAAAGACGTTGAAAAAAAGTCATACACAAAACACTTGAAGCCGGTGTGTGAAGTGTTTGAAGACGGAATCACAGTTCCATGGCGCCGACACCGCACGAGCTTTCTTTTACCGTGATGGACGTTAAGGCGAGGTTTTGCAGTGAATCCTCTGCAAGTGTTTTGTGTATGTATGTCATGGCCTGCTTAGCTTAGACAGAAAACTGCTCCACCACAACTAGCTCGAAATCACGGTGTTGTGACATCCCAATGTCACAGCGTCACATGATGTCGCAATTTTCCCGCTAAATTTCGCGGGAATTTAGGGTCATGTGAACACCATGCACTGAATTTAAACGTGGCAGCTGTCGCCGCAGTTAATCTGCAAGATATGGCGAGGAACCGGGAGTCTTTTTTGTTTGTGGCATGTTGAAGCAACACCAAGACAGTTAAACGGGATTTTTCCTCCCACCTCCTACAAATCTTTTTGAAGAGGGGATCGTTCCGCTTGATCTGCTCGTAGATGTCGTCCAATATTGTCTTTAAGATGGCGACGTTGGCGTCGGTGATGTCCTGGTCCAGCTTAAGCGACGCATGGATCGAGTGGAGGTGAGGCTTCAGCTTGGCGTTCAGCTCCCTCTCGGCATCGTTGAAGTGCAAAAGCATACCCATCGCTCACACCCCGCTGGAAAAAAGAAATTTTAAATCTTGAAAGGTACCCGTAGATACCTTTCGAGATTGTAAAGAAGAGATCACAAATTTTGGGTCTAAGCAATACAGATAGGAACCGAAGGAGAAGAGGAGATACATGGTGTGACGTCGGAGTGCCGAGCTCCGACTGAAAATATAGTCGGTATAGTTGCAAACTCTAGCTGTCCTTAAGTCTTTGCCAACTGTCTCCCACCGACAGACCCTTTTCAAAACTTCATCATGCAACATTGACGGCCGCCATTTCTTGGACACGAAGCATGTGATTGGGTCCAACTCCTCGCCAAACGCTGACGCAGCACTCGTTTTTGATACAAGCCGAGCCGACTGTTCACGCTGAACACCGATGCAGCCCTCATGTCTAATACATGCTCAAAGTATGTGCCCAGACAATGGCAGACTTGGAAATTTTGTGCAGCAGCTAGCTACCAGACGGTGTGCAGTTTTGAAAAGGGTCTATTAGAGCAAACAGCAGCGTCGTCTGCTTCTCGCGCAGAATCTGGCATTTGGCGAGCAGACGACCCTTGTTGTGATTCTCGGTAAATCCTCGTCGCCAAAATGTAGTATTAAAAGCGGTTACCCGAGAAAATAAAATAGAGCAGTGCCTGCGTGGGCCTGCGGAAAAAACGAGGGGTCTCACATGCCGAAGTGGTGACCGGCGGGCCGGGCGGCCGGGCATGGGAGCCCCGGAAGGAGAGAGAGACATGTCCGATGCGGTCGGTGGCTGAAGCGTAACCCTCTTTATTAACGGTAAACAAACATGGGGGTAGGACGTCACAGGAACGCGACCCTGACAACACGGCGCAATGGTGGAGAGTGGCGCCATTAAATAGTGTGTAAAGAACTAGCGAAAAATTTAAATACTACAACCCTCTTGTTTGCTTCAACTGAAGAGAGACAGAGGGCAAACGCCAAGGCAGCTAGCTTTTGCATCTACCCTCTATCCGATTCCAATTGGAGCTTAAAGGCCCGTTCACACACTTGCAACTGAGAACGACCGAGTGAGACAAGACCGGTTTTCAAGCTTCTTGCGACGGCGGAGGACCTGCTCCAAAGTAGCGTATCCGGTCCTTTGCCATCACAAGGGGCTTAAAAACCGGTCTTGTCTCTCTCGGTCTTACTCGGCTGCATGAGTGTGAACCGCGCTTAACACTCTGACGTCACAGAACTCTCCGATCTCCCCCTGCCTTTCGGTTTCTCTCTGCACAACGCAAGTCCCCCGGATTTCTGGCAACAAATACAACTGTATGTGGCTTGCAAGTGACGTATGCGCGCAGCAGAGAGGTTCTTCGTAATGGTCGCTGGTGCGATGTTAGTGCAATAAGCCATGCATACCCTTGAGATGCTGAGGCCAAGTTCTACGAACCAGATCTACAACTAGAATTCACCATCAGCCGTTATTTTTACACCAGCATGCACATGCAGTGTGCCCAATGCGAGTTAAAAAGAAAAGGAAGTGGATATTTTGCCGGCAGCCAGCACAAGCGGATATTTTGTTGGCAGCCAGCACAATAACCCGGGAAAAGAAATGCCGGCAGTGTCCCCTATTGGGTTTCGTAAAATGAATTATGAAAATGAACATTTGAAGCTGCAGAGTAGCTCAGTGGAAAGGTGTCCGCTTCACATGCAGCAGACCCAAATTTAAATCCAAAGTTGGCATACTGTTTTTTTTAACATTGGCAGTTATTACAGGTTTCTTTTTTTTTTTTTTTTTTTTTTAACATTATCACTGGGATTAAAAACGAAAGCCATTTATAATTCCCTGAACGCCGGATTACAGTGCAGCTCTTGAGGAGGATGGAAGCGTACAGAGGGATAGGTGACTCCTTGAGGTCACGTGACCTCAGGAGAGAGAGGGGGGGGGGGTTGTGTGACGTCAGGGGGTCACGTGCATAGAGTTATTACAATAAACGCTAGAGGCTCAGCTGGCGCCAGTGTGCTGTTGCAAATTGAAGCAGACAGCAAGCAGTCAGAAATTGACTTCCGGTAATGCATTTCTATGGGAAAAAGCGAGTGTATTTTCTCTCTGCGCTCGATTATAAGAGCAAATATCACGAATAATTTGAGCGTGCTAGGCACATTGGGACATTTCTCAGTCACGCAGACGAAATAATTGGTCAGTTACAGCATTTTTATTTGAAATTCGCGGCATTAAAAACGGTGTTGGAACCGCTTTGTTACATGTATTTATGTGCACTGTCGGACACTGTTAGAGCGACACGTTAACACGCTTCACACGTGCCGTCCGAAACTGCCGGCATTATTTTACCCCGGGCTATTGTGCCCCAAAAGAAAACCACAATATATTCAAATAAAATGTATTCACTTATTACTTCTTGTTTATGTGATGACATCCGATCTAGATCGTGATTTTATGGTTTGAGAACTCACCACTACTGTAATTTTAACTTGTTTTAAAGATACTTAAGCTTACGCAATCTTTTCGGGAAATTTCACAGTGCACGTTAACACCAAACCAAACTTTACTACTGTTCACGTTTACGCCACACAAGCTCGCTCAACTTGGGTTATTGGAGAGTGACTAGGTGAAACTGCTTGTTGAAACTAATTTTTCCTTGCAAAAGTATCTCCAAAGCGGAAGAAAAACTTACGCAAGTTTGGCGTTTGGCAGTGCAACAGCTGATCAGCAGAGATCTCGGTGGAGCTCGTGCTGCTCGTGCAGAGCCGTATATGCATACGTGGATAAATAATAAGGATAAATAGGTGGGCGGTAACTTGCGTTACCTAAAAAAAAGTGATCGCGGCAATAATGATTATAAAAAAAAAATACGCTTACTAATTTTTATATTTATTGCTACAAACAATTCATGTTTAATTTAGCAGGTCAAGACTCAAGTATGGTGGTATGGACGTATGGAGATTTGCATCGCGGACAGCATCATCAGAACCGCGCCGATTTTCGTTTCTATGGAGATCTCGTGTGTTTTGTTTGGATGAGTGTGCGCTTTCTTCGAAATCTACAGGCTATGCAAGGTTCACGCCGTGGTTAGCTTCTTCCCCAGTTAGTTTTTAATCGGCATCTGAATCATCTCTTTCTACGACATACGATGTCTGGAATACAAACGTGAGTCCCTACGAAGGCATGGTACTAATGGTACCGTGCATTGCAGTTACTCGATGGCGTTCCTGAGATCAAAATGTGAGAGCTTTCGTTCTCTCTTATCGTGAACGTAGCATTCTGCGGGAGCGAGCGCGCCAGAGGAGGAGGAGGCCATCTGAGGGTGAGCAAGAGTTGGGTGACCACAAAAAAGAGGTGCGTACGACTTTTTGTTTTAAAAGCATTGGGCCACCTCTGTCGGTTTTCGTATCCGCACATGTAGTCTCGATGACGTCGCACTTTGGCGCTGTGACGTCATCCCGAATACCACGAAACGTCTTACGTCACGTGTCACTGCCGTCGGGTGACACGATTACGTGACGTCGCGAAGTCATGTCACGCGCCACTGACGTCGTGGTGCCATGATGTGGCCTAATGTATCACATGGTTGCGTGACTTAGGGCAGGGCCGGCCCTAGGGGTGGGCGACCTGTGCGGTCGCCCAGGGCGCCATCAATAGGGGGGCGCCCCCGAGCCCCCCCTTTTGAGATTATTTTAGCTTTCTTTATTTATTTGAACACAGCGCCCTTCGTTTTTGGAATGCGGTTATCGTCTGACGAAACGCTCATGTTGGGCTATTACTCACATGTTTACTAACAACGTGATGTCATACCTAGTAGATAGGGGAGTGAAAAAAAAAAGGGGCGAGGGGGGGGGGGGGGCGCCACGGCCGGAGGTCGCCCAGGGAGCTTGATGGTGTAAGGCCGGGCCTGACTTTGGGTGACAATAGGGAATTGTAGTAGACCGTTTTTCTCCTTCGCTACGGTATCCCCGAAGAAAACGCCGAAGCTGCGCTTGCGCGCCGCCAGCCTTCTCTGCATGGTTAGAGGTCTTGTGGCGGATTACGGAGCGCTATCCGGGTGCTTAGCGGGCTGCAGAAACGGTCTACTACAATTCCCCAATGACGTGACATCACGTCACGTAGCACCACGACGTCACGTGACATATTGCATTGTCATGTGACACTACCTGTAGCAGCTTTATATATTACAGCGATCGCTGGGCTCTTCCCACTGCTGGAAATGACGTTTGATGTTGGAGTTGTCGTTGTGGAGCATCCATCATCGATGTTGCCAAATCCTTAAAAAAGATAGCCTGCTGCACACGGGAGTCAAACCTGGGTTCGCTGCGTGCGAAGCGAAGGCGTTACCACTGAGCTACGCCACAGCATTAGCAACCAGATATATACTTAGGGGTTTTGTAGTACCCACTGCACACACTCTCTAAAAAAAAAAAAATTTAAAAGATAGCTGATTACAAAATGTTGTAGCACTGTCAATTCCAAGAGCTCGTGCCAGCAGACACACTTTCACATGCTCCGGAACAAATTAGAAGCAAAAGCGTTTGGAACAAAATGCTCAGATGTCTATTTTGTTTTCATAGTACTCGATGCCCACTACACGTGCTCTCTGGGGGGGAAAAAATAGCCGATAACAAAATGCCGTTGTAGTACTGTCAATGCCAAGAGCTCAAGCCAGGAGAATGCTTTCACGCGCTTCAGAACAGAAAAGGAGCAAAAGTGTTTGGAATTAAATGGTCAGATGCATATTTTGCTCCAAACGTTTTTGTTCATGCACCCCATGGTGCGTGACCGAGCTGCCGATGCCCAACGACTTCACCGTGACGTGTCACAGCTATCGCTGTCACTGTACTGTGGATTAAAACATGACTGCTCACCTTTTTACAAAAATTTCGAGTCCTTCAGTGGCTTCCTTACTGTGCCTGCAAAAGAAGGAGTGCGAAGGAGTACAAATGCTACACATTTAGGATGCCTTAGGAAATAGCAGAGTCAGCCAGTTTTAATGTGAAACATTCTTTGGCTATGTGTTTGGCATTTCGTAAAAGCATGGCCGCGAGGCTCGACAGGGGGGGGGGGGGGGGAGGTGAAGGAAGGAAGAGAGGGAGAAAGGAAGAGGCCATCACAGTAAAAAACATTTGCACCAGGCAGGAATCAAGTCTAGACCATTTAGATCAGTGGTTTTCAAATGGTGGTCCGCAGATCCGTGAGTTCTAGGGGTCTGCTAAGCCCTGCCTTATCAGTGAGGCCCTGCAATAAAAGTTGTCTTTTCTTAGAGTGAGAAGAAACATTCCAATTTTTAAGTGAGTTTTCTTGCCTGTATGTCAATTAGAGAAGTCTACTTCACACTAGTCCTTAGTTATATCCATTAATTAAATCCTTGTCATAATTAAACTATACCTTTTCTTCCTCTTGCCACAAATGGGGATTCCCATCATTTCCGCCAATTTACAAGAGGTCCGCGAAACATCAGTGGTTGAGAACCACTGGTTTAGATTATTAAGCGAGTGTCTTTCCAGCATGTCACGACACATTGCCATGAGTTGAGGTGCCATTTGGCGGGAAAGCCTTGCGTGGCATCTGCTCTGCATCCGGCAGATAGCAACTTGACACCGTGTCACATGTTTTTAAAACCTGTTTTAACGCCGGTATCTCCATTCCATGTATTGCTGTCGAGTGTACATGCCATGCATTAAGCCAGTCACTAAACTAACCGATGAAGAGCACTGAGAGCATAGACGCCACACATTTCACATGCAATAGAATCGCCCAGCGAATCTGCTACACATTTTTTCCCCCCTTTTCTCCGAAACGTCACAACCTAGAACTGTCGTGCCATTCCATTCCAGAGTGTGGTCCACTACGACAATGAAGCTTTCACAGACAAAGAGGAGGACATTGTGGCTCCCGTGTCTCCTCTTTCTGAGCGCCCATCGCCCAGACTGCCCCCCATTCCTGTCCCCAGGAAGAAAGCTCCTTCGGGTAAGCGGCAGTGTGAAATTTTCTGGAGATCCAACCCCTGCGCCCCTAGTGGCTAACCTCGGAACTGAACCCATGGGAATAATGATGACGCAGCGCTTGACTGACCTAGCCGAACACTGGGGCTGGTGTTCTCCCGTCGCCGAGGAGGCGCTCTTTTGTAGCCACTCTGGCCTGCGTGAACAATGCAGCATGCATTGTGCACCTGTCCAGCACTTGCTTGGCACAAAGGCCAAAGCTGGTCAAGCTCGCATCCTTCGACGACCGCTTTCAAGAGAGGTCCGGCTTGTCGCGTCCTGCCAGCGTCACTCCGTTTATTGTCAACACAGTGAGAACTCCGTTTATTGTCAACACAGCGAGAAGTTAGTCCGTTTATTGTCAACCCAGCGGGAAGTTAGTCAGTACCCCAATGGGTGTCTGGTGTCTCTGCTGTAGACAAGCAATTTAGTGAGTATGACTGCTAACCTGGGATCTTTAACGTGCATTGTGCAGTAGTGATTACACGAACGGATGCCGATACGGTGCTCATCCGGATTGAAACACACGAGGGTGTGGATCAAAGTCGGGATCTCTGGGTTCTTCAGCGAGAGCTTTTGCTCCATGGTGCTCAGAGCTGCAACATACTTTAACACACTTGGCCACCAAACCCTGCACGTTTTTCTCCTGGGGCCCTAATATACATGGCTACTGCGGTTGGTTGGCACTGCGCCGCTGACCAGTCACAGCAGGCGGCGATGTACCAGTCCCTTCGTCTAGCTTTGACCCGCCATGTAGAGCAGGGCCCCAGAAGAGCTTCGGTTCCCAATTTCATGACGTCGCAGTGCAGGGCGGCAAGCAGGATTGGCTGAACACATCAATGATGATGAGTAGCCAATCCTATGCTTTGCGTCCAGCCGTGCCTACTGACGTCACCGAATTCAGCAGTGATGTGTACCTGTCTTCAAAGAGTGGCTGCCAACTACTTGGTAAATGATTGTACACCGCACGACTCTGCAAGCATGTCTTTCCGATGCCTGGTATCCAGCACGTGCTCGTTGCCCTCCGTCATATTTCGGCTGAGCATGCATGCTCTAGTTTCGTGAGACACCCAAGAGTTGCCAAAGGTAGGAAGCTCTCACTGGAGGCGGGACAGCTAGAGGGCTTCCCAGGTGTTCCAACCCTGTAGGTGACCATAGTGTGATGACAGGTGCTCATTTAGGGCACTAAGCTAAGTGGTAAAATTTGGTGCCCACCAGTACTCCTAAGTCATATGCGAAAAAGGGTAAATGTTATTGTGTTCACGCAAACAATGTCACACAGTGAACATAAGTGATTCCGATTCCAAATGCAGAGGCCAGTACGGGCCCGCCGACACCGAGTTCGTCGGTGAGTCTGAAGCCATTGAGTGCGAGCAAAGAGAGGATTCGTCACCGGCTCCGCCTTCAGGTTGGTCCGTCTATATTTTGTAAAACCTTGCCCGTGCTCCACTGTAGAAGTCTGGTACATATGGACCACGGTGTAAGATATATAGGTGAGGACACACAGCACGGCAAACGCTACAATGCGGTCGACCAGATAAAGTCCCATTGGCGAGTGGCCAAGTAGCCCCAGCCGACAGCTTGTCGGCCTTCCAGACGGCACAGCTGAGAAAAAAAGAAACAAACAAAGTATGAAACTCTTTTTGTTCGGAGTGTCTGCTCTTATCTTGAAGGACGCTGGCTTGAGCACCGCGCCAGACATCTCTCCGCTTCAACGCGTTTATAAAACTGTTATTGCTGCCATTGAGGGACAACACTAGGGTCAGCGACAAAGCAGCGTCTAAGCAACACGTGTAGTGCAAGTACCAAATTCTACATGACGTGGGGTGCCCAGAAAACAATAATAAAGCACAAGCATGTCTCCCATAAAGAAGCATGGGAAACCAAGCCTGCGACGTACTGCCACTAGCCGCATACCGAGGAGTCGTTTGGTGGCGCCGCTTGCCACCAAGGCGAGGAGAGGACTTTGTCTGGCAGCTGGGACGCGTGCAGTGTACACACCTATATCCTGTGTATCTTACACCATGATATGGACATTTGTACAATTTATCCTTTCATCTCCAGGAGTTTTTGAAGTACATATACTGATGCCCACACCTAAAATTTTGTACAGGTGGAGAAGGGACAGTTTCAGCTGTATTAAGTATGTCTAAGTTATTTCTGAATAATTTAAATAAGAAATGGACGGATTGTTTCGCCGTTCTGAAACAATATCACACCCGTTAGAGGTGGTCGTGTAGTGTTTGGTAAAATCAAGGAGAAGCAGAGCTGGTTTCAGATCATTGCTACTTTTTAGCGGTCTGCATCAATAAGACAGATTACTTTGCAAGAACAGGAAAATGCACTCACAATCACCAGTAGAATCCAGGTAAGATTCCACAATCTGAACTTCTCCAACAAGCTGCAGTTATCTCGAATAATTTGATGGTGACAAAGAGACGTTTTTGTGCATGGTTGAAACCGTACTTGACCTTCCCATTTTGTTTTTTCTAAATCTGGTGGCTTCGCTTCATCTGCGGCTTCCTAGACACCCTGAAGTTCTTTGATGCTGATGCAGTCTGAGTAGCTTCATCTTCACCTATTTCATGTGGCTCAGCATGTCACTGAAACAAAAGGGGCATCTGCGGCGGCTGTAATTTGAGCATACTGAAAGTGCCAACATGCAAGGAACAAACACAGTTCTCGGTGAACGTTATTCTTGTTTCAAAACAGCGAAGAAACGCTGAGCAACGCAGAAGCATCACCGTGGAAGACCCCCAACCCTTGGTGCTCCCACGTGCGGCCCACGAGCAGGTAGGTATCTGCCGCTCACAGATACGTTACTTTGGAGTAATTTAATGCACCATAGATGGAGGCAGCTGAGCATTCTAGATCTGACTGTCATTTTAAACCTGTAAAGGTCGACATGAACGAAGACGTTCTGCAAGATGCGCTACGAAGACGCCATGAGGCACTTTCGAAGTGGAAGACGAGTGCCTCTTTGGCATTGCGGCAGGTAAAAATGCTTCACCACTTTCATTCTTCTACATTATCTTTTGTATAAAATCTGTGTATGGAACCTCTGCCTCCACATTTGTGCTGACAGAGGTCATTTTTGTTCTCACCACAGCCATGTCTCGTTATTAGGAATCCTATTAGTTGTAGTATGGATACCCCTCTACATAGACAACAGTTTCATGGGTGAACTGGGTAAATGTATGCATTTTTGTCTCGTCATCATGGACAACTCACATTATGAATGAATATAGACCCTTTCCGAAATTCAGTCTGGCCACTTTGATCACTATCATCATCAGTGAAACGGCATCTGCGCCATACCAATGGCGGCCTCCTAATGACTGTTAAAAAAAGACGTTGAAGATGCTCCTAAGCGGATCTTGCGAGGTCTGTACATTCGGGGGGTCAGTACGACGCGACGTAGTAAATGGAACGCAAGAGCTACGTAAGCGTTTATTTCTAATAACTCAGATTCAGTTAATCTGTGTGCGGCACACAATCTGCTTTAAAGCACTTTGGTGTATAAAATTTTCTCGAGGCATCTGAGTGGGTTGGAGCTTTGTTCTGAATGCAGGTTCTTGGTCACTGTCGAACTGAAAGTGGTCGAGAAAGAACTCACTAAACAATTCCTCGCGTGCTGTGTACTTGCGAAAGTGACGGTGCCGATACAAGTTCATTTCCGCCATTGATATGGCAAAACCTAAACTGCTTTACAAACCACCAGATGGCACTGAATTTCGGAAAAGGTCTATTGGGTGGAATAAAGGTGTCCATATTAACGATCGAGACATGACTGTATGAATAAATTTGCACAATTCACTAGAACAAAATCTTTTTATACTGTCTATAATAAGTTCAATTAGCAATAAAAAAAGATTTTTACTGCATTAGTCTTTTGATTGTATTTCAAATGTTCAAAAGTATGTCAAACATCCATATCAGTATCGCAAGTTTCTGAGAACAGCACTTAAAATGCCTGTAACAATATTACGAATTTATCGGAAATGTTTTGTACTGTATTCCTCATACAGTGGAACACTATCTATGTTTAGCAGTAAACAGTTTTAAAGAAACTATTTGCTTCATCAGTATATATATGCAGAAAAATTTTGACATGGGAAAAAGTATTCTTTCGTACAATCACCTTGGGAGTTAGAGCTACTATATTTCATTGCACCCTAACCTCTTAACTGGCGAGCACCTCTTTGGAAGTGCTTCAGGTTTGACCTTTACACGGAACTAGTGTGCCCTTAAATGGGTGCAAACTTTTAATGGACGTTATACCATATATTGAGCACAATTTTAGACAAGTTTAATTGAGTTGCATTTCCCGGGTGGCAACATAACAAAATTGCATTGATGGAAAATATTTCTGTTCTTGCTCTTGTTCTGGATCTTCCATGCTCGGAAGCAGCACAAAGCGTCACTTGAGTGAAGTGACGACAGTGACTCAGACAACAAGTAGACCATGCTTAGTGACAGCAAAACCTCTTCACTCGACGATCACAATGACTGAAGAAGACCTGGGCGACGTGCTGACAGCAATCATGTATGCATCCTCTATGTTGCCGTAGCAAGGCAGCGAAACCTCGAGAGCACGCTTTCTTTATCGAGCAAAACATGCTGAGAACAAGAAGAGGCAATGTGTTATTCCTTTCCATAAATGTAAAAAAAAAAAAATGAAAATTTTTGGGGGAGTACGGTACGCAGGTACTCCCCAAGGAATGGTCGCGCACCCACAAAGAAAACTTCCCACTTAAGGGGTTAGGTCCGAGCACAGCTGACACTACAAGCTGACGGGACCAATCGGACAGCATCATAAACGCAACGTCGTGGCATTTGGTACCTTTTTCCACTTGCTGTATCATCTGCTAAACAAATCAAGTGCTGCGAATGCCCGTCAACTTGCACTTTTAGTATGTCTGCATGTCGGTATTTTTATGTATTTGGGCCTTCGACTGCATTCAGACTTACGATGAAACAAAGTAAAGTGTATTGTTTTGCTGACGACTTACTTGTCCTTCGTCCCCGTGCATGAAAAGTCGGAGGAGGCAGCCCAGAGGACGCTAGCCGACGAGTCGGCAGACTTTTTCACCAAGAAGTGGTCGTCGGCTGAAGCACAGCGGCCGGAAACCGACACGGCAATCGGTAATTCCGAGCCGTCGCTGATCGGGTCAAAGCGAGAAGATGGCGACGACAAAGAAGCGATTTCTCCAGATGCAGACGAACCTGCTGCTGCGGAGGACGAAGAAGGTGCGTCGTGTTTTGTTGTGGGGTCAAACCGCCTAGTAATCGAGGTGGCAATGTGGACATGACGGTTCATAGTTGCTAAAATGGGTAAACAGCGTGCAAAGAATGAAGACAAAGTAAGGAACTAAACAGGGACAGGCGTTTGTTCTGCTGAGTTTTTTAATTTTTTGTCTTTGTTTTTCTTGTGCTGTGCACTTTTTTTAGTGTCGAAGCACTAGTCTGAAAACCAGGGAAATGGGTGGCACAATGCTTCATTGAACACAATAAAACATTAATAAACTTTTCTTGAAAAAAAATTTTAACGCAATATTTATATAGAGAGACACATTTTAAGTTGGGGAGTGATTCGGAAATAGATTTCTATTGCAGGCTGTTGACTCCGCAATAGAAGCAGATTTTGGAACTGCTCAAATTAGTCTTGTGACATAAATATTGTGCAAAACTTTTGAAATTTTGGTGTTTCTGGTTCTATCTACAGTCGACGTCCGTTAATTTGACCTTGACGGGACATCCGAAATTGGGTTGAATTATCCGAAAGTCAAATTAAAAGATGCGTGCGAAATTCCGAATATCCAGCGCTTTAGATCAGGGGTGTTAACATTTTCATAATGAGCCGCCGCACACCGTCGCACGGCGGAGGCAATGGCTGCGTATGTCCTTCGCGCATTTGGTGCGGCAGCGACACGGCAACCAGACAACTGGCTTGCCGGTTGTCTGGTTGCCGCAATTGCTTATAGACGGCGGCAGCCTTTCCAGCCTTTCCACTCTGGCTTGCCAACTTGTGGCCAGCCATTACTTCATTCCCACCATAGTACAGCTTCGCTGGTTTTCCTTCTTCAGGAGCCGAAAGTTTGTTCTATAGAAATGTATAGGTTTTCCCCAGAACCTTTGAACAGGGTTGAATTAAACAATAGGTCGAATTAATGCAAGTCGACTGTAGCATGCTTCTCTGTGGGCTAGGCTCAAGAAAAGGTTAAGAGATCCCTTTATAGACGCTTTGCAGCAGCTGTGCATGGACGCCGCCATAACTGACCTTCAGTTTTTGCTTCCTCTTATTTCGTTTATTTCACTTCATCATTACCATAGCAGGCCAGGTTATTGCCATATTAGATTCAACTGTGTCCTTTTCTAAAGCATCGGCCTTTGTAGAGGATTGTCAACGACCGTTTCAGTTGCTCGGCATCTCGGTAAGACAAGAGAAGGTCAGCAATGGCGGCTGTAATATGGCGCGTGTGTAAAGCGTCTATAACTTTTGGACATTAGATTTTCAGCTGTTTCCTTGCAAGCTCATCATACGCTCACAATCGCTACGTGCAATAGCTAAACTTGTAAGTGCCAATCGGAAGCCCAGTTATTCACAAAACGTCCTATTCACAATGTCGCCGGTTTTTCGTTTTCGAACAAGTGAGCTCTCCTCCATCTGCAACTTCTTCGTCGTGCAGCGGCGCACAAAAGGAAACCAACTTTCCGGGGCACCCCGAATGCATGGATATCTGTCAAGTCTTGAACCTATCCATGCCCCCCAGTTTGCCATTTTATAGCCAAAATATGTACAACTACCATATGTTTTGGTGTACGAGTTTTGATTTTTATCCCAATGTTCCGGAGGTGCATCTTATACAACGATGTGACTTATTTGCACATTTTTGTAAGTCCAGACCTAATTAACCTTGTGAATTTTCTGGGCGTGGTTATATTTCTCTTTAATTGCGGGAATATTGAGACTGGCTCTAGCTTCCGCATGTTTCGAGATCACAGTACACATTTATATTGGGGCTAACCAATGCAGTATTACCGACCATACAAAAAAGTGCGACTTATATGTCAACTTCTCTGTGAAAACAGTTGTTTAAAGGGGGCAGAACTTACAGACTGGAATATATGGTACACTTGAAAAGCGGGATTATGTTTAAGGGGCACTGGCAGGGTATTTATACTTGCCAAGGTTTTTATTTGTACATGACATATGAGAGCCGAACTACCCAGAGCACAATTTGCGGCTCGAAATTCGTTTTCTTTCCGCCTGAAAACCGCCGATCAAGACCTGGCCGTTTTGAGTCACGCTCACTCTTCTCCGTGGTTATGTGCCATTTTCTATGCTTTAGACACAACCACCAAAGATAATCAACGTAATGCGTCATCGAATGCATACACTCAATACTAAAAATAGACTGAAAATATGACACCCAAATACGTTGATTGAAAAAAAAAAAAAAAGAGTTGCACAGCAACATGATTTTTGGTAACTTTCTCCTCCTTTATATTTCTTCTTCCTCCCCAGTTCGGTTTCGGTTTCGGGCAGTTCAGTTTTTTTTTACTTTGTTAAAAATATGTGACGCTGATATTGATTGAGTAGTCTTCTGACATCATAATGGATCGCTGGCAAAAAATAAAAAGCAATTTATGGGGGGTGTCAGTGTCCTTTTAACAGTGTTCTCGTTTCCTTCCCAAGATGACGACCTCTTGAGCGCCGACCATTATGTGCAAGAAGAGAAACTGATGTACAAGATGGTAAAGCCAACCTTTGTGCCATTGGATGAGAGAAAGCTGAATGAGTCTTTGATCTACCATGTGCCTTCTGCAAGAAAAGGTTTGTGCCTAACTGAATGTATTTGAATCCTTAACACTTTCAGCCCTGGCTCATTTGAGATATTTTTTAAATGTAAAATAAACGAAGACAGATAACGAGATCTCTAATGAACCGTGCATACAACCACTCTATTGTTTTAATGTATTCACTAAAGTTGCATGAGCACTAAGAAGCCAGGACCTATTGTGTGAGTACATGGCTGAGAGGAGAGCCAACTGGAAACGTCACTCACCGTCTACTTTTGACTCATCCTCGCACCTTTGGCAAATAACTTTTTACATTTGGCAGGACACTCACCACAACAGATGAATATTTCTGTCCAGGATATCTGTGTGCGACTGTGCTTCAGTCTGCAGATTAACACTCAACACTTTAATTTCGGTTTCGTCTAATGGTGCCAGCTTTGAACGCATCACATTGACGTTTCGACAAATGCAAGTGTGTGGCCTTCGTCTCTTTGTTTCGTTCAGTGTCTCTGTCAACGAAGGAAGTAGACTACCATGCTGACAGCGGGGAGCCTGGGGACGAAGTGAACTTACAACCGAGCAGGACGCTTCCTTTTTCTCGATTTGGGGCCAACCAGATGGAAAACAGATTAGTGATGCACAATGTGAGCATGTTACCACCTCTTATAGCTGACTTTTTCAACAAAGAATCTGTATAGGCTAAAAAACAAAATGCCCTACAAATGCCTTGTAGGTGCAACAAGAAAGAGTAAGACAGCGTTCTGGCATGTGAGCGTTTTTGAAAATAAAAGTTTGAGTATTGCAGTGCAAAAGTTTGATTTGTTTTATGTGTTAATCCTTTATTTTAGTCTCCTTACCTTGTGCATGCACACTAGCGTGCATATCGTATTACCTGGAATAATGTTTTCATGGTTTGTTTTCTGTATGAGCTCTGTTAAGAATATCATTGCATTATATATCACTTGGTTGATGCAAAAAATAAAGAAGTGCAAGTTCATTTTGGTACTAGTTAAACAAAAATTTAGTCTTGTGCTCCTCATGTAGAAAGTTTGAATGGCAGTCAACTTGTTCCAGCTTGGGAGATTTTTGAAATTTGATATTTTTACACCATCTCTATTGACCCCCATATCTGCAGAATTTGCCACAAATTATAGATAAATTAGTTATGTAAAACAGAAATAATAAAAGTATGCCTGGTGTGCCACTTACATTGTTCTTTGTCCATTGAACACTTCACTGTTGTCATCATATCTTATTTCAGGAACTGTACTGGTTTGACTCCAGTGGTAACATCAGCTCCGTGGAAAATTTCCTGAATGAACGTCCCTCCCGTTTGCCAAGTTACAGTGACACCGAAAACATGTTTCATGTGAGATACTCGAAGGTGGGTCACTCCAGTGCTTGCATGCTGTACTCTTAATTGGAAATCAAGATTTAGTAGTCTGCACGGCACTTTATGTAGTATTATCTCGGGAGGCATTTTTAGTTTTAACACAGAATGTGTTGTATGGCTGACACCTAAAGATTCCCGGTTAGGTACCTGCAACAGAAGTTGGCAGACCGACCGCCAGCCGAACGCTGGCGCAGCGCTAGTTTCCTCCTTTGTGCTGTCCAACATTTTACCGTATATTGGTACCTCCAATGTCCACCAACCTTGAACAGCATTTAGCGAAGACAACATCCACAAAGCACAAAGCCCTACTTTAAACAGATATTGTTTTGATAAAACAAAAAACGTCATTATGTTGCATATAATTTACAATATATTGGGACACTAACTTACGTGCAAAAAACTGCGCTATCCGAGAAAACATGTGTTTGAAGACTCCAATATTGGTCATTCCCCAGGCGCGCACACGCGCTCTCGTGACGCGCGCTTTAATGGCACGCGCTCTCCTGTCGCGTGCTCTCCCGTCGAGCGCTCTGGTATCGCGGCGCTCTGCTGTCGTGCGCTCTCGTGTCGCGGCGCTCTCCTGTCGCGCGCTCTTCCGTCGGCGCTCTCCCGTCAAGCGCTCTGGTATCGCGGCGCTCTGCTGTCGTGCGCTCTCGTGTCGCGGCGCTCTCCTGTCGCGCGCTCTTCCGTCGGCGCTCTCGTGTCGTGTGCTCTCGTGGCGCCCTTCCCTTATGAGACCAGTCACTGAGCTGCATGTGTGTGGAAAAAAAAAGTAATAAAGGAAACGGATTAAATGAGGGATGGCTTCCCACAGGCCGTACTGTATACAGTAAAACCTCGTTGATACGTTCCGCAGCTTTTACGTTTTCCCGGCTTTTACGTTCAAAACCGCGGGCCCCAGCCGCCCAAGGGCCTTCTTGTCTTTTTATGTTTTCCCGGATTATACTTTTTCTTCCAGCGGTCCCCTGAGAAACGTATCAACGAGGTTCTGCTGTACATATGTATATCACATTGTGCCACCTTGTCCCTTTTTACAGCTTTTCGACTTCGTGCAGATTGTCCAGTGTTCATTTTGATCACTTCTCCGGGGATTCTTTCTAGGCTTCCGTCTATAATCCATACAACTGCGATGCGGAGCAATACATGGAACTGGAGATAGAAGTCTCGTCCCTCAAGTTTCACCACCATCCGTTGTTCAGCAGGGAACACGTGCTGGCAAGCAACCTGAGTACCCTCTACGAGAGCTACACCCTCTTAGTTCTCGGCATCGAACACTCCAACGACAAAGAAAAGGTAAGTTCCTAGGCCGCCTTTTTGTCAAGGGCTAACCCCGAAGCATCTACAAGGTCATGTGTAGTCCGGCTAAACTGGTCCCCCGAGAACTTGGGTGCTGCAGAGATGAAGTGGATGTGTGTAATATTTTCCCTGGGTTAGCATGGACCCCAAATGAGAGAAAAGGGGGACAATTGACTGACAGCCGATCGTCTGAGTCCGAGCGTGAAAGCTCCTTTAGCCAAGCGTCCCAGGGAGAAGTTGTGCCAAAGCTCGATGAATGGCAGCTTACCCAGTAATGACACAGACCCGGTGGCTGGAACCAGTGGGTCTGGAAGATCGGCCACGCCGGGACAAAGAAAGAGATAACCAACTCGACGGTGCAAGGTGCTGGACGGTTTTGAACAGCCAATGCCACAACGTCGAATTCTTTGGCGATTTTGGAGTTGGGCCGGCCACTTTTCTCAAGCTCGCAGGACCAAGCCATTTTCGATAAACGCTACCAACCTCCCATACGATATACGTCTGTGTGTAGTACGCTGCAGGCGCACTCGCGCAAGCGCACGCGTTGGGGGCTCCCAAAAAGATGATCTCCGACAAAAGTCGGGCGCGGGCGCCGTGAGTAGTGTCAGAACTTTGACGCTGCTCCTGCTGCTCCCTGTCCACGTTCCCACGTCGACGCATCGGCATCGGATGCGGCGCTGTGCGAGCTCTGCCCTCCGTCACCTGTTTACTCCATTTCCCCAGTTTACTATTTGGCTCGGTGGAGAAGGGGGAGGGAATTGAAGGGTCTCCGTGCTCTTCCTTGTAGGCTGGCCTGCCTTTAGCCTGCGGCATTCGTAATAAGCGTGGTCGGCTGCCGATACACTTATAATAATCCGGTTAAAAATGCGTGCATCTCGTTCAGGACCACAGTAAACTTCAGTAAAAGCGATAATCCGGAAAAGGCGATTTCAGTTAAACGAGGGATTATTGTATACTATATATATTTCTCTCTCAAATTCTTTGCCATGGTGTATCGCAAAATCAAAGTACCTCAAGAGCTGCGCTCTAATTTCGCATTACAGAGAAGCGTAAACGTCTGTATTTACATCGAAAAATTTCTTGAGAGGCGTTCCACAGTCTGCTTTGCAAGCTGTTCTTGAATGCAGGTAATGGGCCTGAGAATACCTAGTTTAATTGCAAATCTAACTTGACAGGCGTGTCTTGAGTGGTGAATTTATACTAAAAAGAAAGTTTGCATCCGGAAGTAAAACTTGCGAGACCTTGCCCTCCAAAATTTGTGCATCCATACATAAACTGAAAAGCATGGTTTTTGACTGATGAATTCAGTGCTTTTCTTTTTTAGATCAAAAGATTACACGAAGAGCTGGAAAAAATGGATGCCGACACTGAAATGCACGTCATCGCAGCCTTCAAGAAGAAGTTGATGCAATTGGTGTAAGTGCAGTACTAAACTCCATTCTCCGCTAAGCTGATGGGGTTATGGTAGCCGCTATGTGCTCGCCACACCAGTCGATTGCCCATCCTTTATTGCCCGACCCTGAGCAGAAAGCCTGATCATATGGTGCAAGAGAGACAATTGATTGCTCCAACTAGCTCCAACTAGCACATAGCTTTCATTACCCTGTCAACTTAGATGTGAATAGAGTGTGGTACCAGAGCTGCATAAAAATCTTACTTGGCTTCATTAGCTTGGCTTTAAATTTGCAGTGAAACGGTGGTAGTTGTCAAGGAAGTGAAAACAGAATCCCTGTGTGAGTTTGCTAGTGTTTAGTTGTCTGTCTTTGCAATAAGCCAGTATTGTAACCATGTTCTCCTTTTATTGTATTTTTTATAATAAATGTTTGCTTTGAATAGTTTGTTAAAGTTTCTTGTAGCATGCATCGAGGTGCTTTTGTTTTTGTGTTTGTGTGATTTTCGTGCCACTGCCTCGCATGGGGGCGTTGGATCTCTTTTTTTTTTTTCACTATTTCGTCATAGTTACGGTATTTCCTTGAAACAAACAACACAGCAGTTTTTTTTAGTTTCCTTAGTCATGAGGATTCATCACAAAATTATACCGGGATGTTGAAGCTTGAACGTCACAATTATGGTTTGTTTATCGTATCTATACCTCGTCTGCTCAATTTTAGTTGGAAGACATGTGCGAGTTTGTCTCGGGTTGTCGTGCCTTTTGTTCTTGAAACCACCAGTGCATTGAAATTAAATCGATTCTGCAGTCTAGGACGCTGAATGGGCTCATCACCCGGAGATACATTCTGGGCACCGTGACCTGAATGAGTAACTCGGCTCCTTTGACTTCCAGTGATTCGCGGAAACTCAGAGACCAGAAAGAGAAGAGCCTGGGAGAAGTTCTTGACAAAATGTCCCAAGTCTGGGAAGAGATAGAGAATCTCAGGAGATCTCAAGGCTACACAGTGACTGAAGTCACGTTGAGGCACAGCAGGTAAATGTCAAATCAGTGATGAGGGCAAACTTTACGTGAATCGCAATCTTAAAGAGAGGCTAGGTCCGCAATAACAAAAAGTATTGAAACTGGCTCACTATATCGTTGCAACGGATTAAGTAAAGTAGCAACTGCACCCAGATTTGACTCTCCTTCATTGGAAACAGGTTAAAATGTTTAATCAAAACACAGAGGTAGTCAAAGCTGGTAACAAAAACTTGAAAAGGTGATCTCTCGGAAGCTTCAGAACGGCAGTTGATGTTTCATTGTTTTCTAATTTTGCAGAGAGACTTTCACTAGGTTCCTTTTTGAATGCCAAGTCCACTTCAAACTATTTTTTAGTTGTAACACCTTTTCGGACTACTAAGTCCTTTTCGAGTTGTATCTTCGAAGCCGAGACAACACCGCTTTCACAAGGTTGCACAAAGATCAAAAGGCGTGAAAAGACATTCTGGCGGGATGGTAGCATAACACAGGCTACGAAAAAGAGTATACATACTCATTGACAGAATGAGAATGCCAAGGCATCTCTTTTCGATGCTCCACCTCCGGCACGCGCTCGTGGCCTTGCTCAGTTCTTTGACTGCGCGTGTGCAATCAAGGATCACAAGACACCGAGGCGTTATCAAAGGTAGGAACCTCCCACTGGAGGCAAGATAGCTGAAGCACCTCCCTGTCCTTTTCATTTCTTTGATGACTGTATAGACAGAGTGCAAAGAAGTGGCAAGGCTCCCAGTAACCTTGTTTAGTTTGGGAGGGCAGGGGTGTGACTCCAAGTCGCGTCGCAGCAAATTTTACGGGGGACGGGAATCGAAATCGACCGGTTCTTGCACGCGCAGATTACGACTCGTTTGTGGGCGAAGCTGATGACTTGTGGTTTTGCCAGAGCATCCGGCGTTTGTGGTTTTTCAGTGAGGATGCAGCAGCCAGCAGTGCCATGTCCAAGCACTTCGAAGATGAGCTCGGCGAAGAGCTTCAAGTTAGGGAAATGGTTCGACGGGTGGAGCTGATGGAATACGATAGGAAGTGGCGCCGTCCCCACACTGCCAAAGTGAGTCGCTTCACCCGTTACAATGTTTCCGCAGTGGCAGCTTTGTTGCAATCACTAAACAGTCGCTTTTGGTCTGCTCAGAAACACTTTGGCCCAAAGCATTGCTTTGCCAAGTCAGGTGCAAGGTTGCTTAATTAAGCTGGAACTTTTTTGGTAGGTTTCCATGTATCAATGCGGACCTGTTTTGTAAGCCACAAAAATTGTGTACTAGAGAAAGGCATCTCCAACAGAAATGCTTCTCTCAAGCAATCTACAACCATTGCAGATAAGGCGAACAACTGCACTCTTAACATTACTTTTCTTAATTATTAACAGCAAGCTTAATTTAAGCCATAATATAAATATATTCGGCCAGCAAGTACAAAAAGGTCAGGCAGAATAAGCCACTCCAAAACAGTTTTAAACATTCAGTAGTTGACTAGATACCTTCAAGTAATAATGCTTTGTAAGAATGATTGAAACCTGGAACCTACTGCCAAACAAAATAGTCAATATAGAGGCTGCTTTATTCTTCAAACATTCCATCACTCGGCTGTTAATCTAATGGAATCACAAATTTGTACTGCACGTTAATGTGTGTTTATTGTCAACTTTTCTCTGCATTGTCGTGTGTATATATTTGTAACTTATATTCTCCCTGTAATGGCCCTCAAGAGAGGGCTGACAGTATATTTCAATAAATAAAATGCATAGATAATTTTGCTAGTGCTTACAGATTGCAGAAGCGACACTTGCTTTGTAATGAGGAACGGTTCTTCTGTAGACCATCACACACCAACCACAATGATAGTCTTTTGTGTTGTGTGTAAAGGCTTTTTAGTTATCATTGGCAGAATACAGTGCAAGCCACTTACAACGATACCACATATAACAATGTACCGCTTACAACGATTAGTTTCTAGAGTTTCCATACTGGAAATGATCAGTTTCTAGTCCAGATGCAACAATAATTGGCTATAATGATTGAAATTTCGGGTTTTCTCATTATAGTTATAAGTGGGTTGCACTGTATATGCATATTGTCACGGGTGGTGACCAAAAGAACAATAAATAAACGGGAAGAAATAAACGTTTAATGTGGCGAACTTGTGCCAAAAACAAAAAGGGAACAGAAGATAACAATAGAGTGCCGCGGGCGTCGATGGTGGCGTAACAGCAGGATCAAACGCGAGGGCAAGACTGACTCCACCCGCCTCGCAGAGTCTCTTATGTACTCTTGTGGGTTTCTGGATCATTCGGCGTAGAACTTTCGGTGGATAGAACGTTCGGAACTCGATCAGACGAGAATGTTAACCTACACCTTCCACGCGAAAGTCAAGCGCGGTAACCACTTGCCACGCTCGTGGCAATATATAGTTTGGGATGCAACCAATCAGAAAGGTCATTATTGCAAGGAATTGGAGTGTGTTTGTTTGCTGTAAGGTTCTTGGAGGAAGCTTTTCTTTTTTGATCACTGGTTGACAAGTTAAAGCTCTTACTATTTAAAAGAGCTCTTCTCACCAGTGCTAATGTTCACATTTATTTCGACTCTTTAAAATTAAAAAAAGAAAAAAACGAGAAAACAGTGTCCTCATGTTGCTTTCTTTTCTGAAACACAGCGGTCACCGGGAAATACCTCCCTGGACTCTGCCAACTCGAACGAGACATTTGAAATGAAGCCGCTTCCTCCACCCGAACTCGACGAGGGACAAATTGCGGAGGAGGTGCGACGAACACTGGAACAAAGGAGCAAAAATGCAGGTTTGTGTTTCTGCATTTTAGATCAAAAGAACCTAAAATTGCTTCTTTTCAAAGTCTGTTTTACTTGAGTGTTAGTGTTAACTTGACGGCTGTAAATCTGTTTTTGCTAAATCTGTGTTGTTTCACCTCTCTTCAGGAACTAGAGAAAATGCTGCTTATCTAACGCAAAGCTCACACTTAACGCCGGCAAATCAGTGTCCTCGGTAAGTCACGAAGTTTAAGCTCCAGTTGCTTTCAGTCTTTGCTCTTTTTGGCAAAGTCAGATCAACTTTGCAGCAAAACCGAAATATGCTCATTGGCATTGCAGAAATGATTTATGAGAGTTCTGTTGTTCCATCCGTTGGTATGACTAATTCGCCATCTACAGGAACATCCGCCAGTGTGCATTAATATGCTACAAATACTTTCTTATACAGGGTGTCTGACTTTAACTCGAACAGATCTATAAAAAGAAAGAATAGTGAAAGGTACACTAATACAGCCTGGGCAGGTGAATTATAGGGCCAGGGGGACACAATTTTGGTAGCTAATCATCGCAATAGGTAAGTCAAATATTTACCTGGAAGTTGTTAATGAACTTTCTGTTTAGTTAAAATAAACATGTGGTTCTAATTAGAAACTTGTTGAGCGTCCCAAAAAACTACTAAGTTAGTAGATTTTAGAAATGCTTAAAGCAGCTGAAAAAGTGCAGCGATACGCTGAAGTTACCGCTCGGGCAACAAGCTCAAAGCTGGCGGTAAGAAAATGTGGAGAATAATCTCATCATCCGCGTTTTACCGCCGCTAGCCTTGCGCCTGTTGCACAAGCAATAACTTTAGCACGCCATATTTCTCACGTGCTATGAGGCTTTCTAAAATATAGTAATTGCGTGGATTTCTGTCATTCTTAAGCAAATTTCTAATTGGAACCATATGTTAATTTTCGCTAATTGAAGAGTTAGTTAACAAATCTCGCTTATTGGTTTGGCTTATTGTGTCGGTTAGCGTCATATCTTATGTCCCCCTGGCCATATAACTCGCCTGCACAGACTGCTTTCGTGTACCTTTTGCAGCTTTTTTTTTTTTTATATACCTGTTCAGAATAAGGTCAAACACCCTGTACACATAATAATCTCCCGGGCACGTCTTTAAAATTTGTTTTGAATTTCTTACACAGCGTTACTTGCATTGCTCGCCGATTTGTGTTGCTGTTATGGATTCAGTTGGCACGAAGCTGTACTGCAGATAGCTCTGTTGAGATCGGGCACCGTCAAATGTTATTTGTAACATACCGGCACCGTTATCTACCTTATATTGTCGTGTATAAATAGACCTTTTCAGAAATGAATATCTCAAAGTAAAGTGTTCCAAATATAAGCAAAAAAAAAAAAAACTTTATCATTGAAAACATTTTTTTTTTATTGGTCAGAGTTTAAAGGAAAAAAGGGTTTAGGTCTATATTCGGAGTCGATTTATACGTTGCAATATACAGTATGTTTGACCACTTCAGAAACTGGCAAATTATTTTACGCTTTCTTTTCTTTTTCAAGGGAAGAACAACACAGGAAACGGGACGTTGCAAACACCAGGCTTTATCTTCGGATAGTGTTCAACAACAAAGAAGTCTGTAAGACAAAGCCGAGGTGAGCAAAAACATTGCTTCGTCGGTCTAGCCCATGGTGCCCAGAATACGGCTCCGACCAGTGGGATTACCGCACCTTCAATTATGGTCCCTCAATTTCCACTTGACGTCATCATAGAAGTGTTGCATTGTTGCCTGTTCTGCTGCAGTTCACTCTCCAGCTCAACAGTCCGCAGAAGTTTTGGCAGTTAAAAGTTGGGACATCGCGATGATGGCGACACTCGTGTTCGCTCATACCCTTTTCCTAAAAGTTCTACGACAGACTACTAGGATTGCGACGTCCGACAGCGTGACAGGTTGACTCCTGTGACGTTTGTTGTTGGGACCACTTTCGACGCATAGGCTCGATGGGACTACAATTGCACTGGTCGGAGACTCCATTCGGGGCACCGTAGTTTGGCTTTCCCGGTGTCGTGACGGTTGTCCATGCTTGCCATAACTTCCTCAGGGCTCTCAGTCAAGACTTTACGGTGACCTGGGGGCAGATATTTACCCTGCGTGTGCTGCAGTTTCCGCAGTCGCTTACGGTGGAGGTAGTACTCTTCCTCGTCTGCTCGGGTCACGGCACTTCTCGGTTATCGTTTTGCCTGTGGAGGCTCTTGTTTTTTTTTTGTTTCCTCATCTTTGCACTGCCTGAATTCCTGCCAGGCATTGATGCTGGAGTGGTTTCTTTCACCGAGAGGTGAGAAGCATGTCTGATGATGCCAACCGTGCGGAGATGCCAGAAAAATGTCTTGTAGAAATTTACTTTTAAACAAATGTTGCGGGCCTTTTGATCTGCAGCTTCTCTGCAATGCACCACGCGTGAAGAAAAGACATACTTTCAGGGTGGGCATGTCCATGCGCACTTTGGTACTGTATAGATGCTTTAGCTTTGCTTGTGCACATTTTTTCTTTAGGCAAAATCACTACATAGGTTGCTCAAATACTGAACTGCCAATAAGTGTTTCATTCATGTACAACAGAATCACAGGGCTTGGTCGGAGCAGTTTAAAAATATTTCTCGAATGTCAGTTGTTTTTGTATCTACACGGAGCAGCGAGCCGATTTCTTAGTGTCCCCCTCCCCTAAACTGTGAGGGGAGTTAAAGAAGCGAAAAAAGAGACTGCACTCCCACACTGTCCAGTCAGTTGGAGGGGGTGTAAACCGACACCTCCAAGACTACAAGGCGTAGTGCTGGATCTTTTTATGTCACCTTCCAGAGGTCGGCACGGGGCATGGAATGGACAAGAATGCTGCGTTTGGCCGGGACCCGTGTTCAATCAGTGAAGCCACGAGTCGTGGCCAGACAGTGATGCAGCTATCATCTCCAATCTGTGCCCCCGCTGGCCGCTGGTGGGTGGTGTAGTCAACTCAGTGCTATGTAGGCCTTGTAGTCTAGGAGGTGTTGATTCAACTCTAGAGCAGAAGAAGAGTGAAGGGTGGAGAGGATATGGGAGAGGAGTAAGTCGCAAAGGTGTGGAAAGCGCAAAGTCTATGTCGGCCTTTAACTGGATTCTCGATTCCTTTTGATATCAGCTGCATGACACAGAAACTCGACGTCGCACCGCAGTGCATGTTAGTGCTGTGCTTGCCCCCTCAATGTTGCAACGTAACTGACGAGTGGTCTTTGGAAGCAGGTCCACGAATCTCATGGCATCACGTCGCAGAAGCTAGCAGATGTGCTGTTGCCGGTGCCGGATGAAGAGCAGACCGTCGAGAAGGCGCATCTCTCCACGATCCATTTCGCGAGCGACATCGTTGTTACTTCGACGCAAGCAGGCGTCGGGTGTGGTACGTGTGTTTCCCTATTGCTTTGCCAGCCACTATAATGATTAACATGAATGTGACTCGTTCACACTCTACTGTATATTAAAATTTTCTCGAAGGTTGACCTGAAATTATTTTTTAGGGGCGAAGCTCCTTAGGGTCTAGCCTTGTCCGTCTGGCGTCCGTGCTCACATCGATTGCCATCCCATCTGTCTTCTTAAAAAAAGAAAAAATGTTTGCGCAGTCGACAGGATTCGAACCTGTGCGCGGAGACCCCAATGGATTTCTAGTCTATCGCCGTAACCACTCGGCCACGACTACGGGACGAGTAGGGTGCTCTGAGATGTGGTAGAGCTGGGGATGTCATGGATAAAAAGTTGCATGAAACAAGCAATAAAAAAAAAAAAATTAAGCACCACCAGCACTACCTATAAACAAAATTAGTATTCTGATTGATTGATTGATTGATTGATTGATAACTTTTTATTTAAGACATAATGGTACAGAGATGTCTCAGGGGACATGGCAAAAGGCATAAATGCCTGACGGGGCCATGCCACCCTTTTGGCAGCAACGGTAGCAAAAACAAATAAATGAGGAATGATACAATTTCACTCCAAACTAAAAATCTATACAAAACAAAACAAATACATCACAAAACATGACGTGAAAGGACAATAGCTACTTATCATTCCAAGCATTTTGCTTAAAACACATCCGGTTTTATTCCCCTGCGAGTAAGTATTCTTTTACAATATTTTTATATTGGTAGAGTGATCGTAGGCACTCTGATGAAGCTAAAATATATGGGTATTGGTTTAAATGGTCTGGTATCAAAAAACTCAACCTCTGGTCTCCGTAATTCGTTCGCGAACGCGATTTTATTAATAAATGACGCCTTAAATTATACGGGCTATCTTTCGCGTGGTACTTAGCATGGAACACCAATTTATCAAGCTGAAATTGCCGCCAAATTTCAAGTGATAGTTTATAGTGATGTAGATTTCTTACGTTGAGTATTTGATATGTCCTAAAATATGGTGTGGCACTTTTAAGAAGTTGTATGTTACCAATTGCTCGCAATGCTCGCTTTTGTATGGATACAATATTGTCTAGATTTGTTTGGGATGTCGTTGACCACACTAAAAGGCAGTAACTTATGCGGGATTGCAGAAGAGCGAAATAAATTTGACGTTTCACTTTTCTTGAAAGATAATATTTTAATCTATTTAAGACACCAACAGCTCGACAAAGACTTGTTCTCAAAGAATCAATATGTGGCATCCATGATAGATTTTCATGGAATAAAACCCCCAAGAATCGAATGGTTGAAGACGGTTGAATATAAGAGTCCTGGAATTTTAATTGCAAATTGGAAGGTGGTATCATTCCTTTTGGTCTAAACAGTAAGTACTTTGTTTTTTCTATGTTTAAATAAAGTTTATTAGATCTAAGCCATAAGTCTAATCCCCGCAACCACTGTTTTGCCTTTCCAAAGAGGTCGTCGATGTCCGAGCCAGAAAAGAAAATATTTGTGTCATCTGCATATAGGACTATATTTGAACTGCCATGTATGTTTACAATGTCGTTAATATATAACAAAAATAATATAGTATCATCAGCACCACCACAGTTTCGCCCCAATCAGCATCATTCACCACATGAAGATGCGGTAATTTTTTTAATCATAATCACTAGCTAGCTTTTAGGCTTGTGCCCACTATATATACCGTAGAATACCGCGCATCTGCCTATTCCACATTAAGCGCCCATTCCCAAACCTGTAAGATCTGAGAAAATATGCACAGTACATTTATATGTAAAATTAATGATTGGACAAGCGCCCATCCCTTATTTTTTTGCGATAATCTCCAAAGTTTGAGTGGGCGCTTGTCCGATATTTTACGATAGTGCATTTTGGGTTTGAAATGAATAGCAAGGGAGGGGAGAGGAAATGCTGTAGATAGGGACTTAATTTTTGCGAGGACTAGCTACGCAACGTGAAATACGTTGCAAAAAATCTGTCCCGCAAATATATTGGCCTATGATAACTAAAACACATGGCATTTCACTCCAAATCACGAAATTTTGTGCCAGCAAAAATAAAGTTGTTTACTGTAAGAGTTCCTAAAGCGTTTGGCAAAATGTGATTGCCTTACATAATTTTGAAGCTAAATCCTGTTTAATCGTGAACATTTTTAATTATGTTTAATTACGAACCAATTAGCCCAATCCAAAGTTTTATTTCAGTACCAGTTAGCAGTAGTCTTGAGAAAGAGAGGTTGATTGGATGCATTTGCCCTACTGGAGAGACAAGCTATTTTCTCGGAAATGTATGGAGATGATCTCGCAAGGGAGGAGGGAGGAAGAGGAGGGAATGTTTTGGAGCTTGAGATAATAATGGTAGATTTGCATAATGGGACATTCTGAAAGCTCTTAGGTTATTCGGCATACAAATGACAAATCTGGCGTTTCCGTATTTTTGTCCTTTTATTGAAGGTCTCCGTCTGGAAGTGGGCCAGAGCACTCGGCAATGGCTTAGCCTGAACGGAGACCTGACCTGTGGCGCCGCCTGGGTTGAAAGCCTTGGCGGTCGGGACATCATAGTCCCCAGCGGAAAACTGCGCAATAGGTAGGCCATGCTCGGTTTGTTTAGTAAAATCTCGCTGTTTAGACTTCTCGTAAGTGAATCTGGTTGTCGTATGGCACACACTGGCGCACACCAGCAACAGCATTGTTGGAGAGTGTCAGAACGAAGTTGAAAGCTTTACCTAACATCTTGCCTTGTTCGGAGCTAATTAATTCTGCAGCCTTTATGCATGTTTTCGTTTATTAGAGCACAGCTCTTAGGTGCTTATTTCCCGCTTGAGCGGCTTCGCCGTCGGCGTGACCGAGTGTTGCATTATGGGACGCTTCCCATAATGACATTACATGTGGCGTCGCGGGGGAGGAGGAGGAGGGAATTTTTTCCGCTAAATTTAGCGGAAATAATTTCCCGCTAAGTTTAGCGTAAATATTTTCCCGCTAAATTTAGCAGAAAAATTTTCTGCTAAATATAGCGGAAGAATTTCCTGGCCACATTTAGCGGAAAAAATTTCCCACTAAATTTAGTGAAAAAATTTTCCTGCTAGATTTAGCGGACCATACTAAATTTAGCGGAAAAAATTCTTCGATAAATTTAACTGAAAAATTTCCTCGCTATGTTTAGCATAAAAACTTTTCCACTAAATTTAGCGACAAAAATTTCCCACGCGTGCCAATATTTATGAACTGTGACATGTAAACGACATATTTCTTGCAGCTATCCTAATCGAGGGGATTTTTAAATCTGTTTGCTATATGCAAAGACTCTTTCTTCTATTTGAAATTTAACCCCAAAAAATAAAACAAGCAGGAACGATGAGTGCGGGCTGTCAAGACATGGCTGCCTAACATACTTTTGCATAATCACGGCGGGTTGGCTGTGTTGAGTGTGCTTCCCGCTGAACACTTGTGCACTGCTGGAAAGCAATACCCGTGAGCTCTGAGGGTGTTGCTTTCCTGCAGTGCACAGGCACTCGACAACACATGCACTCTACGGGGCTAACCCACCACGATCAACGCTTCCAAAAGTATGAATATCGCAGTTCACCATGAAGCGAATATTGAATAGCGCGTTATTCAAAACTACTATTCGAATATTCACACAACACTACATATAGTTAGAGCCCTGCATATCCGCGGATTATCCGCGGATACCCGCAGATATCTGCAGTAAACTGGCGGATGCGGATAAAATTAGACACATTTTAGCGGATTGCAGATCGGATGGGGATGTCGGGGGCTGCGGATGCGGATATCCGCGGATCCGCATCTTAATTTTTGCTCAATGGCATTCAGTCTGTCAATCGAGGTTTCATCTACAGATCGTTTCGTCGACATGCAACGTTTGATCGAAAGGCTTCCCGTGTTCGTTTCATCGAAAAACTTGAGACGTTTCGTCGCACACAACCCTGCTATTTTCGTAACAAACTTTTTGCGTCTCGCCAGGATTACAGGGGGGAGGGGGACATGGTTTGGTTAAGCATGCGTTAGTGAATCGCGTGCTAGCTTTTAGCGGCTTAGTGAAGAAATATATTGTCGACAAAACGTCGCAGGGGCATGTGCCCACAAAACGTCCAGCGTCGACGAACCGTGTGTCCATGAAATGTACGTCCGTGAAAAGTTGTCCACGAAACGTATTTCCACAAAACGAATTTCGAAGAAACGGTAGGGATCTTAAGAAAGATCTGATTCTTACTGAAGATCGCTTCAGTTAGTGCATTTCATCTCGTCAAAAATGCTATCTATAGAAAAAGTAAAAATAAAGAATGCGGGGCATTAATCGTCGCGAGAAAGCTAGTTCTTTGGCAGGGAAAGAGTGAGAAACTTTCTCGGGCAAAGAAAACCTCAAATGCACAGGTCACAAGAAAGTAGAAGAAACCTCCCCCTCTTTGCAGAGAGTGGTGTGGTCATGATACCAAAAGCAGAAGAAGTGCTTCGACAGCAAGCGCGACTCTATGGCGCCGCGGTTTGCAAAGTTTCGGTATCAGCGGCGCAAGCACATAGGCAGCCCTTAAATTGTCTGTTTTTTTTTTGTATGCTTAGAGTCCTAGCCAAGAAAGTCTGGTAGTTCATATTCGTCCGGTTACGAGTACGACGCCAGGGCGCCAGCAATGCCAGCGGCTGCCGCGCGCAACCTCTGTAACCGCCCAAGCAAAAAAAAAAAAGTTTTTTTTTTAATATATATATTTGGGCGCCTGCAGGCCGCAATCTTTCTCGAACAACACATTAGTCGATCCGATCAGGCCTTGGACTTTGACTTAGCGGCGCATCTGCCCGCTGGCTGACACGAAACACTGTGAGACTCGAGGCGGCCGCATACGCTCGGTAACATCACAGAAAGGATTTCGTCTTCCTACCACTGCTTCTCCTCCTCTCTTTCCAAACTTTTTTAAAAAATTTTTATGACCTTTTTTTTTTTCAGGCGTTCAGACTTCCGATTCTGCTTCCGGCGGGGAAGAACGCGGTCGGCGTGATTTCCGCTGATTTTGCTAGTCTAAATGTAATCGTAACCTCTGGTGGTTAGCAAGAACATAGACATGGTTCCACGTTTTGTGGATGCGGTTCGGATACGGATGCAAAGTATGCGGATCGGATACGGATACAATAATGTAAAAAGTCTGCGGTTGCGGATCGGATGCGGATACTCAAACTGTTATCCGCGCAGGGCTCTGAGTGTCGACTTTTAAACCAGCCGCTTAATATTGATGAAATTTGGAGGGTCTATTCATCTCATTGCCTAAATGCACTGTATGACATTTCATCTCCGTAGGACAAATTTTCCGATGAGCTACAGGGGGAGGTATACAGCTATTGATGTAAGTCGCCTCACTTAATAAGGGAATCTATGATATAAAATTGCCCCAAAATATTGAACACTTCTAAGCTTCAGCCTCAACTAGAACATATGGGGGGTGCGGTCATCTATTTTGACCCTGAAATTCGCGCTTTTCCTATGCAAAATGTAAATTTGAAAAGTATTCCATATAATGGAGTATTTTCTCGTCATCAAAACCCTACTTTTTGGTAATAAGAGCTTCATTTAAAATTGAAAAATGAATATCTAGCCGCATTCCTCATTAAATTTTAGTTCATAAACATTCACAGTGAAGACGAACAAAGATATTTAATGTACTGAAATTTTGAGGAAATGCTCTTTCCAAAGAGAGCATGATCATCATTCTAGGGCGTATCGGTGCGGAGCTACAGCCGTTCAAAAATCATAAACATAGAAGTTTCACATTTGGAAAAATGTGAAACTTCTATGTACGATAAGCTTCGCATTTGCAAAAATGTGAAGCTTACTGTGAATGTTTTATGTCTATGTAAATATCTCCAGATATCCCGATAAAAATTTGCAGGTATGTGCACTCCTATTAGTTGTGGAACCACAATACATACAAATGAGAAAGTTCATTTTTTTTCTAAAATCGACAATTTTAAGTTGGTGCACCTCCTAAAAACCTGGAGGCATGAGGAGAAGAAAGGAAACGGGACAACGATGCACTTATCACTTTTTTATATTGACTTGCACTCTTTGTTCGACGTCCTATAAATTCATTATGCTCGGGAGCTTGAAAGAAATGTATTTATTGAAACTGGGTACTATGTGCACTCTGCATAAAAGCAGACATGGCATTTGGTTGTCTCTTCATTGATTCTTAACATTACATAATGCCCAGGGGACTCGTGGTCAATGGAAATGGAAGAAAGTCGAGGTCAGTCAGCATACTGGACCGTTCAAAACTCAGGGTGATTGCTCAGGGAGGTGCTGGAGATTCCAGGCGCAGCATTGTGAGTACTGTACCTAGGGTGGCATAAATCCCAAGGCTCTAAAATCGGCTGAAGGAATCGGTGCCTGTTTGTAGTTCGCATTAACTGAAGAGCGTGTTGGTAACATTGACTGGCAAAGAAAGAATAATGTTCGTCGTCCCTCATCCCGAGTTTGTTTTATTCTTTTTTTTCCTCTCACTGTTAGCAGTGTTCTCGAATTTTCATCAAAGGTGTATTTCTGTGGTGGATTTTACCTGGTGAAATTTCAAGGCCTAGCTTCTTTTCTATAAAAGATTGAACCAGCAAACTTTTACCTGGTGAAATTTCAAAGCCTAGCTTCTTTCCATAAAAGATTGAACCAGCAAACTTGCCAGAATCAACGGTTGACATTGACGCGGATGACAGAGTTAGCGAAGGTTGTGCCTTTGGCACCATCTCCCGATAGGTGCAGCAAGCAGACGACCAGGTCAGTTGTTTTCGGCTGAGTGCATATTTGAAATAAAATAAGGCACAAGTGGCAACAAACACCCGCATGAACAGCGTAATTTGACATCTAAAGTTTTATTTTCACATGCAAAAGACTTTATTCATTTGCGGTTATGAAATCCCATGGAATCAGGCAGTCCCGAGCCAAGGTGGAGATGGCTGTAGTCTGTAGAAATGCTTAGTAGTCATGGTGGAAATGTATTGCAAGAGGCTCACATGTCTGCAATCTTAGAAGAAGCGGTGGAGAGGCAAAGAAAATGTGTCTAACTTGGAAACATAGTTTTTCCACTTTCGTTTTTGCTTGTGGCCATAGCGGCAACAAAAGCACAGTCTGCATTCTAAAATTACTTCTGCTTGGTTGTTTTCTTGAAAAGTGAATTTGAGGACAACTTTAGACATGATTCAAAAACCCCGAGACTGCAGGTACGACACGCACACTTAAAAGTCTCAAAAACAACTTTAGCATATCTAGTTGGTCAAACCCAATGTGAGTGTTTGTCCGTTTTTAGTCCTTCAGGAGAATGATACTTAGATTGTTGGCTAAAAGCTTGCTATTTTATGTAAGGTAGCAAACTTTAATTTATTTTAAAGATGTATTTGCACTGGCCACAGTTATCATACCACAATTACAGTCCATATTACGAAATCAAATCTTGATGTTTTTGATTTGAATTTGATCCTGATGAGCTCGGTTATTCGGTACAATCTCAGCACCTAATTATTCCAATAGGAAGACCTAGGTACTGTAACCAAGACGAGGTTGCATCCAAATTTGCAAGTTTTGCTCAAAAGCTCAATTTCTTAGTTGTCTTTCTTTTTTTTTCTAATAGGACGTCCCCACGGAGTTTAGCGATCCCAAGGAGGAAAGACTAGAGTTTTGCGATGAAGCAGAACTAGAGCGGAATCCACGGTTCCGCCTTCTGCGGCTCAGAGACAGCGGCTCAGCAGAGTTCCGCAATTTCGGCGCGGTTCCCCTGCTGCTGAACGAGTACTCGGTGTCGCTGATCGAGGTCACCACCCCTTCTGTACTTCCCCGTTTGTCGTTCCAATTCACCAGTGATCTACATCATGTCCAGTCTTGCTTGTATCTGTTGTTCTGCAGTAAGATCTCGGTAAAGTGATCATGCTGCGTTTACTTTTGGACAGCGTGAAGTTAGTTAGCCCCAATAGACGTCTCGTGTCTGTGCTGTGCCCCACGTGCTCCGAGCTGTGGGGCATTAACACACTTGGCCACCCATCATCCCCCTCGATAGCAATGATTCTTGAACTGCTTGATCTCGGGGAATCTTTGTTTACCATGAGTGAGAGCCGATTAACTTCTTTAGCCCTCTGGGGTTTTTATTCTAAAACAATTCCAAAGGCTTAAGAAATTTGTTAGGGACACTGGACGTGACGGAGAGGTGCGTGTTAATGTTTAGCCCATGGTAATGTGTTGCTACATGGCTCAGCTATGTTTAAGTTGTAATTAAACTGTATGAGATCTTCATTTGTGGTAGAGACAGTAGAGTGAATATTGGTGTTCCGAGGAATGCCAGAGGATTTTCTTTTAGCCCAGTTGGCAAACATGAGTTAGGGACATGCACTGCATCAGTGCATCTACTAGACCACATAAATTGGCTCCTCTATTTTAACTTCGAACATGTTACACTTTTTTTATTGTACCTTTGTAGTAGAGATAACTAGATGCGAGTTTTCCCTTAAAGATAAAGCTTCAACATTGGGTCGAGACTTGTAGTTATTACAAGCTACATTTGATGTTTTAACATGTTCGTAATTTGGCATTTCTGTCCACGTCTCTCATCACCATGTTTGCTGTTTTGACTTCGAATCATTAGACATTGATAATATGATATGCTTGTTTTTTTTGTTTTTTTTTTTCCTATTTAAGTATCTAGAGATAAGTCCTAATTTGGACTTATATAATGATGGTTTATACCCAGAAAATTTATGCGAGGGAGCCATGCGATGAAAAGTTGCCGAGTCACCGAGATCCAATTGAGGACCGTCAGGTGAAACGTGCTCATCTCATGAAGCAGGTGACAGCTTTCGAATTTCTCTTTGCTGGTGCATTGTGTATTCTGTAGTTGTTTTATGTCCTACAAGTATAGATTCATTTAGTGTACACGTTTGCATGTTAGGGGAGAAGCATGTCAAATGACATGCACTGTTTTTTTTTTTTCTTTATATTTTTGCTTTTCCAGGTGTGTGCATTAGTTTTGTGTGTAAATCGTCATGATCAACATAAAAAAAGAACACATGAACATAGTAGCGAAGTATAATTAACTCTAAGTCGGATTCATTTAAGGGGAAGGTTTAGTTGGGTTGTAATTGTAATTAGCTTACATCTTAATTTGTGCACCAGGACTAGCCATTGTTATAGGTACCTTGTGCTTTTCAAATAATATTATAATATATTTTGTGTTGTAAGTAAACAGTCTTAATTGCTATTTCAGTTAATTGACGAATGTCAACTGATACAACATATGGTGCCAGCCACTGTTTGGTAAAAATGTCTTTATTGTGATGTTATGGTATGTGATCTAAAATTTCTTAGTTTCTGAAACTTCAAAGCTCATTTTTCGATGACCATCACCAGATGAGAGAAGAAGTCATCAGGAAGGTTTACGAGTCTCAGACCCATCGTGTCTTGGAAGACATTATAATCGAAGAGAAAGTACCAATAATTGGGTGAGTGGTAAATTTTTTCTCCTAAAGTTAAAGGAACATCTGACGTTGTACAGCTTGCGACTGTGCTAACTGCAACTTGTACGCTGCATATTTGCTAGAACTCATAAGAATTAAATTTTTAACCTTTGCACCTGTTGCTTTATCTTGAAGGAATACTGTGGCGATTTTTTGAGCTACCCCAACTAACCATATTTTCTGAATCCACGGCCTTTACCCTTTCCGGTACGCTATTTAGTATAGTGAAATTCATAAGAGTTATCGTGAATTTGGCTAATTGAAATGATGCAAAAACCAACATTCAAATATACCCACACTTTTCAGTGCCATGACGTCAGTGGCAGGCAGGTTTCCCAGTCGAGCAAGCAGTCTAAAAATTGGACTATGTCAAGCATTTGTTCTGTGCTGCTGCACGAGTACTGGAGCGAGCTCCCAAAGCATTCATTTGACATCATGACACTGCTCGGAATCAGTTGGGAAAAAATTCTAGTCCAAAGAGTGAACCCCTGCCTTCTGCTTGTGTCACTTTTTTGTTGTTGCCAGTAGAGACTTGCAGTTTGAAAAACACGGTGAGAACCAAAATTGTATATTCAACAGCTTTGTGAAAAAGAGAAATATTTTGACTTATTATTTAGGATACTATTTCAGCTATGTGGGTTGGTGTGCGTAGCAAACTTTCAGGCAAATCGGGGACTTTGAAGAAATCGTCACAGTACCCCTTTAAGTTAGACTGTTTTCTCGGGCTTGTATTACAAATATACCAAAATTATACTAATACATTTTTGTATGGTTTATTGAATATTGTAGCTCCAATTTCTGATAAGGGCTGCCCAGAGAAAAACATCACATTGGCACAAAAGGGCGTGACAGTGGAGCAGATGGTTCATGGGTCATAAAACATTATATAATCTATCTGCATCATTTGCATTTTCACTTTTTTCTAGGCTGGCAATCTTTGCAATTTTATGTTATGCTAGCTTCGTTAGAAGTTGGTCTTAGAGCATGTGAGTGTCATGGTTTGTGCCTCGAAATTTTCATGTTGCAACTTGCCAAATATGGGTATAGGACTTGTGTTGAGGTCTAGCCTGCTTTTAGAGTAAAGGCCCGTTCACACTCTTGCGACTGCTTGCGACCTCTTAAACCTGGGTTCCTTAAAACTTCTTAAACCAGAGAACACACTGGCGCCATCTATTGGGAAGCAGTGTAAACTCAGCGGTCCGGCATATTTTTTTTTATTTCTCGCGCAATATCCTTTCTTTTTTGGCTCGAAAAACTTTTGTCAATGTTATAAACGAGCCTTTCTATGGGTATTACGCACATTTGACCTCGGAAATCCCGCAAAACCTTCGCTTTTGTGAAATGCAGTTCTAGGGTCACCGCATAGATGGCGCCACAATGTCAGTGTGTTCCCTCAGTCTAGAAACATTTAAGAAGTTGTAAGAGATCGCGTCTCTCTCAGTCGTACTCGGTCGTACTAGGTCGCAAGAGTGTGAACGGGCCTTAACTAGTGCCTAGGTCAAAAATTTTATTTTTTAAGTAAGGCTCACTGTGTGTATATTTCCACTGTCATAACCTGTGCACCCAAGACTTAATTTAAGGAAGTGTTTTCTGCAGCCTACTGGTGATGCTGTGACTACCCGCTGCAAAATTAAACTTTGATTCCTGTACTTCAGTCTATTTCACTTTACGATTGACAGCAGCGTACGAGCCATCTCGGCCAATCCGGCGCCACGAATGCATTACATGGCTTCATGTCGCTGCACCCCTCTCGGAGGTCTTGTGACAGCCACACAGCATTCGATTGTCTTTGATGGCTAGTAGCGACCTTTGCAGTCCTTCGTAAGGCGAAACAAAGCATACAGTCAACCCTCATTAATTCAAACTCTCTTAATTCAAACTTGTGGATAATTCAAACTAACATGCAGGTCCCAGCCTGTGCGTCTCTATAGGAGGAAACTCCTGATAATTCAAACTTTGCTTTATTCAAACAAATTTTTGGCCCCCCTCGGGTTTGAAATAACGAGATTCGACTGTATAGTGGTTTTGGCAAGACCGCAATTTCTGAAGCTTTCTTACAGTAGCTTTTCGTGTAGAGAGAGACACCGCTTTCATTTCTTCAAACTTTGGTATGTTCATGGCAGACACGTTTCATACAAGTCTTAATATACTAGTGTACGTGACTCGGGCAATTCAGTTTTGAGAAAAGTGTCGCGTTACTAAAATGTGGACTCTAACGTCCGGGTTTTTTTTTTTTTCATTCCTAAAGCGACGCAGGGTCGGCTTCGCCGCAGCGCTATGACGCAGGCGGGCAAGTTTACCTTTAGTTAGATCGTAGCTCACACGTACTGGTCTTCCTTATTTCTAGAATCCCGCAGTTTGCTGGTTTCCGTCCTTACATCGCACCACAACCACTTCGTCCGAGCTCCTGGTTTTCTCGATGCAAAATATTTAGTTTGGAGTGTCATGCATGTAGATTTCTCTAGAGTTGCTGGATGGGCTGTGCTTCGGAGTGTCGACACTTCAGCCTTCTTGGTCCCTAAAATCATTGCTGCCGGTCATCTGAAGCTTTCTATGAAATTGGTTTTACCGTCCTTCCGATGTGTTAAAGGGACAATGAAGGCAATTTCGGACATCTTTTTGGCGATTGAACTGGGTTCCAGGCACGTCTCAGACCACGTTGCCCAAATTTCAGCTGAAACCAGCGCTTGTGTGCCGCGCAAATCAATTAAACAGTCGCAGTAATAATCGTACCGGAATTGACTGGGGCGACGCCCCGATAATTGCGGGAGAAGCCAGGAGAAGCGGAGCTCACGTGACCGATGCGAGGTCAAGAAGCGCGACGTCACAAGAGACGCCTCAGCGATTGGTCGAAACGAGAGACGCGCCCTCGGTCACGTTTTGGTTCTCGGTTTTTAGGAATACTGTTCTAATTTCCGCTTGAATAACCATGAAAAGTATAAATCGGACCGGAAAGGATTACTAACCCGTAAATAAAGCAGCATAATTGTTTTTTTCTTTGCTACGCTGGACACGAAACGGCCAACGAGCAACTATGGGCACTTCGGCATGCGGGCCGCTCGTTACCGTCGTTACCGGCTGGGCGGTCTCCCTCGGGTGACGGCGGAGGCCGCCACACATGTACTCCCGTTTCGTGTGTGTTAGGTTACTGAACGGAAGCTCGAACTCGCTCGCGAGAGCGGCATTGCCGTCCATGTTGACAGATTCGACGCAACGACCGCGCCGCTATAACCCACCGCGGTAACCAGAATCTCGATCTCCTAAATACTACCGATACCGACTATTCACACTTGACGTCACTCCTACGTCACCTCCGTTTTTGGAGGCCCAGAAACGAAAATGGAGATTGTTCAGTTTCGGTTTCTTTACTTCTTTCGTATGCACAGAAATACGCGTCACAAATGGGTACAAAAAATTGGGCTGCATGCTATGTTCCCAAGAAGCATTAAAACACCATTTAAAAAAATTAAATAAAATCGCCTTCATTGTCCCTTTAAAGCAGTTCATGATGGAACAAGCTGATATGACCTCAGCTTCCCGACATTATATTTGAAGCTGGGGAAGTGGCATTTTCTTATCTTGACGATCGCCAACCAATTGCGCTCGCTCTGCGCCAAGCGCCAAAATGGCAACTTCGACCGTAAAAATTGAAAAATGGAGTGGCGATAATCTAAGCATATCTTATTCAGTGATTTTTCCTAATCACCCAAAAAGTCTGTGTAGCTGCTTCTTTCCCGAGAGCCACCTTTTTTAAGGTTTTTTCTGCATATTTCTACAGTAGCAAAAGGTGGGTTGGAAGGGCAAAAATGAGGTGTATGGAGTCTTTTTTATTATTATTATTTGACAAGCTCTTGTTTATTTACATCTCCTCTTTTCTTTCCTTCTTGGCAGGAGTTCTGGCATGTCTGTTAGAGTGACATCTTTATCATGTTGATAATGCTGTCACTATCTTTAACCTCTTGTTGTGAATAATGTTCTGTTGGCATCGAGACATATATAAATCTTTTTTCTTAAATGTTCTTTAACATAGCATTCCTGCTGTTTCCTCAATCCCCCACTACGAGGTATTGTGTAAAACATACAGCTCTCAGTCTGTTGTGGGCTATCAAGTCAGATGTTGTTTTTATCTTCGAAATGACCTTATGTAGTATTATGATCTGCATTATTAGGCAGTACTAACTTGAAATGTAGGTTGCACTTTGTGCTCTTTTGCAATAACTTGCACGCATTGAAACGTTAGATGCAACCTTTTAAATTAAGTGGCCCTTTGTAGACAGTTAGAATGTGGATGTTTGTAGGAATTGGTATTTACTGAGGGAGTTCTTAGATCACGAGCTGACTGATGCTGCTGAATGCCCATAGTAACACTTCCTTGCCCTTTTATTTTCAAACTCTCTCTTAATGCTAAGTAATTAAAAAGTAAATTACTTAAAAACAACCAAGAACCCAATTAATATTTTTAACTACCGTGAAATACCAAGCATCTGCCCATTCCATAATGAGTGCCCGCCCCTCGATTTTGTAACATTCGGAAAATACAAAAAAGACCTACCTTTACATATTTTTGACCTAAGAAGCACCCATTACCCAGTCTTTCATGATTTCCTCAAAATATTGAGTGGGTGCTTGCTTGGGAATTTATGGTAATTAAAAAGTTAATTACTTAAAAAATGAAAGATGTTTACAACTCCCTGTAGCGCTGAATTAGAGCGCAGCTCTTGAGGAGGAGGGGAGGGTATGCCCCTCCTCCGTACCCTCCCCTCCTCTTCCTCCTCTTCTTCACCCCCTCCTTCATCCTCCTCCTCCTCTCATTCTCCCCTTCCTCCTCTCGTGACCCTCGTTACATCACTCGTGAAGGCATCGTGAAGGTGACACTAAGATCGTGACCTTCACGTGTCCTTCACTGTCAAGGTCTGACCTTCGTCGTGGCCTTCACAAGTGACCTTCGTGACGTCACTTGTGACCCTCGTCATGTGTGACATCATTATGGGAAACGTCTCATAATGCAATGCACAGTTACAAGTGGCATCACACGTGACCCTAATGACCCTCGTGACATCACATGTGACATCATTATGGAAAACGTCCCATAATGCAACACGCGGTTGGGAGTGATGTCAGTCATGACCCTCGTGACGTCATTATGGTACACGTCCCATAATGCAACGCGTGGTTACGCTGACGGCGACGCCACTCAAGCCGGAAACAGGCGCCTAAGAGCTGTGCTCTAAAATAATGAAGAACCCAATTATAATTTTCTTTAATAATCCCTTTGGCAAAGACCAACAGGATATCAACCTTTTTTTTTTGTGTGTAATTCATACTTTTTGCAGGAGCAGTTTGGTCAGCTGTGAAACACCTTGTACATTGATCAGTAATTTGTCTGGGAAAATACTGTGGGGTGGTTCTTTGAGAGTAATTTGTACGGCGTGCAAGTTCGTCTGCTCCTTGCAAACGTCATACATTTGTCTACCCGCCAAATGCATACATACACATGGTTTTGTTTCCCCTCGACCTTAACCAATGACGATGCATGCTTGGCTGCCTCGTCATAGTACATTCACCGCACATTCTCTACATTGCCCTTTCATTGGCATTCCCCTCATTGCGCTTTGATGCACCAAAGACGCATTTTGGAACTCTTGCTTGCCGTATAGCTTTAAATGGGGTTTTTTAACTGCCATTTATGACTGCTTTAGCCTACTTATGACTTATTAATTACTTCAGTCATAAAGATATCAACTCTCAAAATGCTTTTTAAACTACAATGGCACTAAGCATCTTGTAAATAAAACGACAAAAAAACTTGGTTAAAAAGCGGCCATTTTAGGCTTATTTAAGGCGCAAAGTGTTGATTTTTTTTTTTTCGGCTATAAAAATTTTAAAAAGATCCCAGTAATTTCTTTTTTTAATGGGTTGTTATTAGACAGTGTTGTCTGCCTTTTGTTAGGTCTCTCGGATTTGGCCTGTTCAAACTTGTGAAGAAACATCGTCCGTTACGACCGAGTCGTAAAGAACGCCGCAAGGTGACCGGTCAGAGTGTCGCCGCTGCCGATGCCGAGATTCTGGTCACAGTCCTCAGAGCCACCAACGTTCCCGTCAGGAAAGATGGACAATTGACCAAAGGTGGGATTTACTGTCAAATACAGGGTGCGGCCGCAAAGACCAACACATTTGGCGCGCCTAGCAAAATTCAGATTCCAAACATACATACCTAAAATCGGGCATGTAAACATAGTTTCACAGGAAGTTTTATGTGTATCTTTTTCAGAGCTCGAGTCAGAGGTGGTAAAATATTAAAAATAAAGCAGGAACGGCGACTGTGCATTTCCTGTGCCCTATACGGGATGTTTTCGTCTGCACACTGGATTGTGAGCTTGTTCCCAAGTGGTCATTGTTCATATATTTCGTTAAAAGTATTAATTATCGCAATTATCTTGCTCATCAGGAGCCTCTGCTATAGGTTTTTAGTGTTTTTTTTTTGTATTCGGCAAGCCACTCGGGAGCTAGCTCATAAACCAGTGTGCAGACAACTACACGACCTTCGATTTTGCTTTGTTTTTAATATTTCACTACCTCAAAATTGAGCTCTAAAAAAAAAATAGACATAAAACTTCTGGCAAAACTATGTTCACATGCCCAATTTCAGGTATGTATGTTTGGAATTTGAATTTTGCGAGGCATGCCAAATGTGTTAGTCCTTATGTCTTCTCCCTGTGTGTGGACTATTCACATGTTTTGAGAAGAACCTTGTTTCTCGAATTAGCTTGGTTCTTCTCTTCCAAATTTAATTTTGACAAACATTCACTGTAAAGCATACAATATTTTACAAGCCCCTATTCTTTTCTGAGCTTCTGAAGTGGCCATATTTGCTAAATTTTAGGGCATGCAAAAAATCTTTGCAGCAGTACTATGAAACTTTAGGAACTTGTCACATTTTGACGTTACGCATACAGTACATGTCCTAAGTCTACTTTGCGAAGTCTTGTGGTCATAAAAATAAAGAGTATTAGCTCATTTTGTTTTATAATTCTTAAGTAAGCTTGTTCATTTCTTGCTAACTTGCAACAAGCTAAAATAAGAAATGTTCTCGGAAATTTCAATAGGACACAATGAGTTTCTATGTTCGCAACCCAATAAACACAACTGAGCTGAAAAAAATGATTGCATTGTTATTTTGATGAAAAACTATTTTCAAGAGCACAGATGAGAATTGGAGCCAGTGAAGGTGAACAGAAGTTCCTTCGCTACTTGTGCTTTTCAACTTGTGTTTCACAACTTGTGTTTCATAACTTGTGTTTTTCACTTTGGGCATAACAGCTTGCGTTCAACAACTTGTGTTTTGTACCTTGTGCATGACAACTTGTGTTTCATAACTTACCGTAAAATGCCGAGCATGTGCCCCCTTTCATGTAAGTGCACCCTCCCGTTTTATGAAAATGTGATATTTTTGTGGCCGCCATCTTGAATGTTATTCCCGAACTGAGTAAGGATCCCCTCCCTATTATGATTGGATAATCTGTAAATTTGGAGGGGGCGCTCGCTTGGTATTTTACTGTATGTTTTGCGCCTTATGCGTAGGGTGTGCATTTTCCGGTTTTAACCGTAAAACACCGATAAACATCCGTCGGTGACGAAAATATAAAATTGGTTAAAACCGAAAAACACCGGTGGTTGGATATTTTTACCCTGGTTAAAACCGAAAAACACCGGTCGTTGCTAGTTTCCGACCTAGCGAAACCCTTTCCCCGTAGAGGTTCGTCAAACGTGTTATCTTGTGGATCCTGCATTCTTCCAGTGTTTATACATGGCTTGCAGGTGGCGTCAGTCCGCCCTCCTTTCTGGGGGTCAAAAGCGTCTAGTGAACGCAGTGGAAGCTAAGCTCTCATACGCCTTTCCCCCATAGTGTCTCCCATGGCCCCCTTTTGTGGACAAATTAACGCAGTGGAACGTGCCTTTTGCTCATTGTTTCTGGCCAAGTAATGTCGGTGCAAGCCATGTATTTAGAGGTTGCTGTGGTTCCTGGAAGACACTGCCGACGTCCGTGTCGTACAGGAGCATGCGTTTTCATAAATGCGGGTAGCGAACCGCAAGGAACTTGCTGCCATGGCAGCAGCACGTTCCTTACGTGTAGATGCAAGTATGAAAGTATGCTTGCATCTACTATAATAACCAAGTGTGAGAAATAGTTGCTTCCTAGAGAAGAAGTGTATGAACTATGTGAATAAAATTGGAAATCTTTGTCTGTGATCAATCGCTTTTTTCACCGATAATCACCGATTTTAGCCTCGTCGTGAGACGTTCCACCGAAATACACCGGTGTTTTGAAAATAAATAAACACCGAAAAACATCCGCCGATTTTTCTCACAAATAAACACCGGAAAGTACACACCCTACTTATGCGTCATAGCTTTGTGCTTCACAACTCGTGTTTTTGCACATAATGAAAGAAAGCGCAAAAAGGGCAGGAAGAAGTCGGAGAAACACACACGCAGGACAGGTGCTAACTGGCAGCCAATGTTTATTGAGCGATTCCAGCATCACGAAAACTCAGACACACTCTCACATCCTATCGTGAAAAACAATCAACTGTGACACCTAGTACATAACAGCTTGTGCTTCACAAGTCGTGTTTAACAACTTCTGTTTTGCACTTTGTGCATTACACCATGTGTTTCACAACTTGTGTTTTTTTTTGTTGTTTTTTTTACATTAAGGTGTTGCAGAAGACGTGATTGAGTGCCAGGTGCGGCCCTTCGTGGAGGTCATGTTCCAGCGCAAAACGGCCCGGACCTTTGTGGCCGAGGGCCCTCATCCAACGTGGAACCAGGAATTGCGCCTCCCACTCACGTGAGTGAGCTTATGCTCGTAGTCACCTCGACGACCGTAGTAAAAAAAAAAGTCCGGCTCCTCTCAGAGCGTTACTAATTTTTTTCTTTATGTGGTGAATTAAGATATATGTTGGTTAATTTTAGGGTAGCTATGTGTTATCTTATCAAGACAAACTCGTTTCAAAAGCCAAAAGCATCACTTTCTTCAGCCGACGACCACAGCTTGCAAAAACTACTTCGCTGAGCGTATCGGCTCTGCGCAAAACTTACTTTTTTCTTGACGTGAAAACGAGTACATAGTGACCTCGGTCACTCTTGTTCCAGAACTCCGCACATCTACCGAAATGGAGTCATCAATCCGAATATTTGAAATGCACTGTCACTGTTTTTTGGGGGGGCAACCATCGGTGGCGACGCCAGTGGGGGGGTAGCTTACGGGTCTTCAGCCCCCCCACCAAAATCCGGCCGACCCTATAATGTGCACATGCATTTTGAGCCCCCTCCCCTCCCCTGCACCCCAAGTCATAGACATCCCAGTTACCTCCAACCCGCCCCCCCCCCCCCCCCCCCCCCCCTTTCGAAAAAAATTTCCTGGCTATGATACTGGCAACCATAGCTTGAATTTATTTTTCCTGGGTGGATGTTGCTCGTAGGCAGCTTTATTTCTCTATTTTACTCAGAATGTGTTATACAGCTGGCTCTTACCGCTTTTGTAGTGAAAGAGTGACACGTGAGTGCTTCATCAGGATTCGTCTTGAACATCAGTCCCACCCGAACGCCGATGCGGCACTCGTGTCCTGAGAGACACCATGCACAACAACGTTTGCGCCGTCGAAGCACAACAGGCCTACTAGGTTGCTCTGTGCAACATCACCCCAAACCAACACACAATACATTCCATGTAACTACTGCCATTTTCATGATGGTGAAGGAAAGGCGTGAATTTTTGTTCTACGGGTGTAGGCATGATACTAGACATGGCTTGCAATTGACGTCGCATCAGCTGCCAATCTCAAGGATGTTTCTGCTTTGTGCATACCTCCTGCAACGTGCATGTTACACCACCGAATTTGTTTTACTTGGTACGAAGGAGCAGAAGTGACCGTTGGTATGTTGCAACAACATTGTGTGCAAGCCACGTGTAGTGACGACAATCGGGCTTTAGCAAACAACCCCCGCGTCGCCTGTCTCCGACAGCATGGGTGACTCCGACGGACCCTGCTCGGTGAGGGACATCATCTACCTCAACCTCTTCGACGAAGTGGTGCTGGACTTGCTCGAGGACGACAGGGAAAGGTTGAGCACGGTACACCAACGGCTTGAGAGGAGGTGGCTGGGAAACCTCAAGGTCCCCTTCTCAACGCTCTACCTCAACTCCAAAGTATGAATCCCCGCAGCAACGCAGAGCCAGACGAGCATTCCAGCGAGCATGTTTCCTTCTTTGCACTGATGGCACTGTTCTTCTTTCATTTATTGCATTGTACCGTATGCCTTTTTTTAGTGCTTGAATACAACACATATGTAACAAAAAAACACATCCCCCCCTCAATTTTTATTTTTATTTTTTGTGCAATGTTTAGGTTGCGAGATTAATTTTGAGCATGCTTCTATTTCGTGCATCCGTTTGAAACTACGCGTCAAAATAGAAGCATGTATTGGAATCTATCCTCACTCAAATTAAGTCTCGCGGCGTAAATATTGTAGAAACGTTTGTCGGTTTTTTGGGAGCGAATGTTTGTTTAGTGCCATATGCATCCTATCAAACACCAAACGCAACACTTTTTTTTTTTCGAGTTTGGTGTTCCAACACTTATGTTAGATTGTGAACCGACTGCGTTACAACCCCTCACGTTACACTATGACGTGTAGCACAGGCCTCGGTTGCCGTAGCAACCACCTCGTCATGAGCAGTCACAAGCGGCCACACTGCGCTCGGTCACACTCAACCGCGAATGTCTAGACCAGTCGCGAGACGACTTTCAGGTCCCGATTCGACGTTTGAAATGTGCAGCGGCGGTTACAGCCGGTACCACTCTTAACGGCACATTCTTCTGCCGACACGCAGATTGAGGGAACATTCAGGCTGGACACGCCCCCCGTGCTGCTCGGCTACGTCCACGAGGTGAAGCCGTGGGCTCTGATTCATGACGCGCCCTCAATGTGCACCTACATTTCTTTCTACCTGACCATCGAGCCGGGCCTCCAACCACCTGAAGTTTTGAGGGCTTGTGTAAGTGCTCATTTCGTAGATGGAAAACCACTAAAGAGGCTTACTTTAAAAAAAAATAGGCATGTGCTACGACTGCCAACACCAGCTGTTGCACTGTTGAAAGACGTGCTTTGGGAGATTCGCTTTTAGTCAACGTGCTTTAGGATATATATTTGCTCTAAGGGCTGTGCTTTTAGTCCGACTGTGGTGAAAGTCACTTGTCCGACTCCGGAGCAATATCTGTTTCTACGCTTCAATGACTACTATAGCGCTCCCCCCCCTTTCCTCCTAGATTGAGTGTCCCGTTTTCTACTTCGAGGGTTATGGTCATCCTATAGCTTTGGTGGAACCTTCTGGGTTCTTTTTCATCTCCACTGTACGATCTGTCACTGAAACATATTAAATACAGTAAAGTACTATCGATTGCATCATAGCAAAACGAAGAGGGAAGCTCAGCGCCCCCCCCCCCCCCCCCCCACAAGTCAATTCCTTCTCCCACTTACCCCCAACCAGTGTGAAAGTACCGAGCCATCACAGCTGGTGCAGAGCGCGGAAGAGTGGCAGAGCGCGCTGCACACCCAGCATCCGCAGCGGTTTGTGAAGGCCCTGGCAATGGATGCCTCGGGGAAGTGGGTCTTTGTGCCGAGATTCCTGAGGCCACTCGCGCCACCCGAGGAGCTCTCGGTCTTGGCGGCGCGCCGGGCGAGCTCCATCATGGAGGGGCCACCACCCAAGGACGTTATGGTGCGTACAAGACAGACCAAGGAGTTGGAGAACATGTTATTTTAGAGCGCAGCTCTTAGGCGCCCGTTTCCGGCTTGAGCGGCGTTGCCGTCGGCGTAACCGCGTGGTGCATTATGGGTAAATTTCCCCGCTAAATCTAGCGGTAAAATTTTTCCGCTAAATTTAGCGGAATATTTTCCCCGCTAAATCTAGTGGAAAAATTTCCTTGCTAAATCTAGCGGAAAAATTTCCCCGCTAAATCTAGCGGAAAAATTTCCCCGCTAAATCTAGCGGAAAAATTTCCCCGCTAAGTCTAGCAGAAAAATTTCCCCGCTAAATCTATCGGAAAAATTTCCCCGCTAAATTTAGTGGAAAAATTTCCCCGCTAAATTTAGCGAAAAAATTTCCCCGCTAAATCTTGCGGAAAATTTTTCCGCTAGATTTAGCGGGGAAATTGTTTTGGGGGTCACGTGACCCCAGGTCACGTCACCCCCCCCCCCCCCCCCCCCCCCCCCCCGAGAACACGTCAACTTCAGTAGGCTTCCCTCCTCCTCCTCAAGAGCTGCGCTCTAATTCGGTGTTACAGAGAGCTGTAAACGGCTTTCATTTTTTTCTTATTATGTCATTCATTCTTTCACTATTGGCTTGAAAAACTTTTGACAATGTAATAAATGACCATTTCTCATAGATAGCGTGTAGTACATTTGATCTTGTAAATACTACAAAGCCTTGGCTCTAGTGTAGTTCCAGGGTCACCTCATAGATGGCGCTAGTGTACCAGCGCATTCTCTCGTCGTAAGAGGTCGCAAGAACTCGGTCATAAGCACACAAGCGTGTGAACATGCCTTACAATATGCAGGGGATGTAGCAAATCGTTTGCTTTTTCTTTTTCTATACAGCGAGCATGTTTGTCTGCTTTTTGAACAGAGGTACAGTGATGTTACAGCGCAGTTCCGATTGGAGGACCTAGTGGGTAGAGACAGAAGCCTTTGTGCCTACGTTGTGGTCAACTTTCTTGCTGTATGTTTGCCCTTTGGGTCCCACAGAATCCGTGTTGAACGTGTCATTTTTCATTTTTGTGTTTTCAAAGAGGGAAATAATATTAAATGGTTGCCATGCCAGTTCTGTAGAACCTCTTTCAAAAAGACTTGTATAAAATGCCAGAATTAAAAAAAAAATTCAAATAATTCTTTATGTTGTAATTTAACAGAAAATTAAACTGGTTCAATTAATTTTATTTTAGGTCTTATATTTACTTTTGCAGCTTGTAGGCATGTTGGAACAAAAGAACCATAGATATTACTAGACTATTGAACGAGGTAAAACCAGTTTGCAGGCCATTATTTTCTTTTGGGTGGTTTGTCTAAGAAAGCATAACAACACCCCAGATTTTCTGCAATGCAGATCTTTTTAGGCTCCTCCCCTCCCAAATTGTAAAGATAAAAAAGGAAGGGGAAAGGACACTAAGAGATTTGGACACTGCTTTGCATGCTGTCTGTTTGGGCGGTGATTTAAACTCTCGGAGGAGGAACAAGCAGTCTGGTGATTCGCAACTCAAAAGAAGTCGAGGATTGGGGAATGCGTGGACGGGGACAGACGTAGAGGGATTTCAAGGGTCTCACTTGCCTCCCTTTCATGACCAGCTGCCAGTTTTTAAGGCGAAAGCCTTACTTGTCGCATTATGCGAAAAAGCGTCGGCATTGTGCCCGAAAGATGGTCACACCAATACATCATCAAGCACATGCTTCAGAAATAAAACACAAAGAAAAGCATAGGAACGCAGATGCTTCGTCACGGAAGCCGTTGTGAAGCCGATAGGGTTCGCCACGCCTGTGCAGTGGGGGAGCGTAATGTCACCGCCGGAGTGCCTTGTGAAAAAGAAGACGGGGTGCGCTGCTTGTAGGAATGTGCTGCATGTAGGAATGCTTTCACATTCCTACACGTAAGCAATCTTAAGTCTCTCTGCTGAATTTTATTAATTATTTAGGTTATTCCTGTCTTCTTTTTGTGTCGCAGAGCCTGGTCGCACGGTTTGTGTCTCTGATTCCGACGCTGTCGGACAGCGTGTTCTTCCCCGGCCTCTGCGACATATGGAGCACTTGCGATGTGAGTGTTGGCTCCTTGTCTTTCTTGACTGCTTCAGACACAGGTTTTGTATTAGAGCAGTAGCGTTATAGGGCCAACCAGCACAAAATCTGTAGGGTGGTCAGTTTGTAGCCGCTAAACGATCTTGAAAAAAACGTCAACCGGTGCCAGGGGTAAATTTCCGGTCACCAGTGTGGAAGCGGAGTGCGCTGCTGACTGAGCTACGGATCCAGCACGCAGGAATGGGAGGAGCAAAAGCAGGTGGTGTGAGAAAGTGTGCAGAGTGGAAAGGGCAAGACAGAGTGTTGCAGAAACAGGTGGTGTAGGAGGAGCATGCAGAACGAGGAAAAGTGGACAGGGCAGAAAGCACACTTCCCTTCTCTTGATGACCCAGACAATACAGTGCAAAAGCTTTGTATCCAAGTGAAGCTGAAGGGAAGCATGCACAGCATCATAAAGAGACAATGGTGTGGAGTAATCTGTTTCTTTACAAAACCCTGCCCAAGGCACCACTTGAACTAAGAGCACCACCCACCCCAGGCACTGAAAGACTAAGGCTCATCCTGCCCTAGGCATCACCTGAACTAAGAGCACCACCCGCCCTATGGAGCTACAGCATTTAAACTCATTTAGCAGGTGTCCATTGCATGGACTAGACATTCCTACCTTCTTGCAGAACAGACGGACGCTGGTAATTTATGGGAGACACTCTTTTAATTTGGAGGCATTAACGTTCAGACCCAAAATATACTAAACTGCACCAAGACAGAATTGAGAGCTCAACTACACGGTCACACGGGCTGAATCCTATGTGGTGGGTCGGTGGCTTCGCGTCTGGCGGAACGAGAGCAGACGGCAGAGCCACCACCCCGTCGCCGCCATTTCGGCCCAGAGTTCCACCTCCTGGTCAGTGATGTCATCCCAAGATACTGGCTCCCATCAATCAAAACTAAAGCCACTAAGTAAAAAAAATGCAACAATAAACTTGTGTGTTTTAGCATATTCTATGTTCCATTTTATTGTCAGTAGCGATGTCATTGACAGTATCTAGAGTTGCTCTCCAGCTTGACAGTCCACAAAAGCTACGTCTGTCAGTAGTTGAGACGCCGCGACGACGGCGATACTTGCGTTCGCTCATACTTTTTGCCGGTACTTCTAACGCCAACCGCCAGAATCGCGACATCCGACACCACAACTTTTCGGCTCCTGCGACGTCATTTGTCACCACTTTGGGACCACTTTCGATGTATGGGTGGGGATAGGACGTTAAACATGCTGGTCGGGAATGTGTGTCAGGTAACGTAATGCTGCCGAGTGTGTATCTTATGCAAGTATACGTTTTACACCTCCAAATTCATTTCTCTTGGCGAGAACAAGTACGAACGACCAACAACACGGTGTGATGACATCGGGTGCAAGCCATGTACAGGGTGTTTACAAACACTATTAAAGCATACAATTTTTTGTTTTTAAATAAATTAACGAACAAAGTACATTGAAACTTTTCATGAAAGTGTCTTTAGGTGGTATATTTACCATACTCAAAGTTTACGAGTGAGGGCTCTAGAAAAAAAATGTAGGCCTAACAGTTCTGCTTTTTAATGTGAAAGCATTAACTGTCCCATGGAGCGAGCTGACGTCATCGGCTTGAAGCTCGAAAATGGCACCTAGTTTCCGCAATCCCAAAGGAGCGAAGTAAAGCTGATGAATTTCGCCTTCGGTTCCATTGGTTGGTGTGCGTCGATGGGGTTCCCATTGGTCGCTGCATGCGCTCGTCAGTTTCCACGACCGCTCACCTCATGGTGCTGCGTGTCCATTTAGCGCGCCGTTAACACGGAGCGTTCAAAGTCACGCGCACTGACCGGCGACGAAAAATATGCAGCAAACGAAACAAAGCAGACAAGCGGCTATCGTGCTTTCACATTCACAACTCATAAGAAGTACATAGGTGAACCTCAAGTTTTTTTCTCTCGTGCACAGGGAGGAAAATGCAGTAAAAACCGTCTGGCTGATGCTGCTGCTCGCGGATGGCACCACACACGCTCGGATGTGCTGGAACTGATTTCGGGTGTTTGTCTCAAAAAAGCTTTCACATCTGCTCTACGTCGTGCCACCTGTGAGTAGCAGCGCCAAGCAGACGGTTTTCGCCATTTCCTCCTCATGTCTAGGAAGGAGTGGGATTTTTCGGACTTGCCCGTAAAGTTCCCAAAAAACACCCACCTAAATTAAAGAGATAAAAGGTAAAAAACATGAGGTGGGCCATCTTTGGGGATGCCACAGCAAAACTTTATAAAATATTAATGATAAACACCGGGGCACCCACTACAAGTCACGTGACGCGGGAACTGATACTCCAGATCGTAAACACCGCAAATTCGCGTTTCACGATGCAATAAACACGCGGGAATTCACTACGAACTCCCGTGTCACGGGAAAGGATGCCGCAGGTTGCAAATGCAGCAGATTTGCTTTTTACCGTGCAAAGGATCCGCTAAAACTCACCGAGAACTCGCATCTCACGGGAACAAATACTGCAAATCGGGGACGCAGCAGATTCAAGTTAGGTAGTTTAATGGTGCAACAAACACGCAGGAACCTGCCACAAACTTGCCCGTCACGTGAACCGATATCACGCACGCAGATGGCGGATGAAAACGCGGGAATTCGCTACAAACTTGTATGTCACGGGAACAAATACCGCAGATTGCGTACGCAGCGGAATCATATTTTACGATGCAATATACATGCGGTACCAACTCGCATGTTACAGGAACCGATATCGCGCGCACAAGTCGTGGACAAAAACGCGGAGTCCTTGACAAACTCTCAAGTCACGGGAATGGACACTGCAGATCGCGGACGCAGTAGATTCACATTTTACGATGCAATAAACACGTGGGAGTAACTTGCGTGTTATGGGAGCTGATATTGCGTGTGCGCAAATAGCGGACAAAAACGCGGGAACCCGCTATGAACTCACTTATCAGACGTACCAGTACAGCTGACGGCGCAGTGAATGCGATTTCCATCAGATATCGCGGGACGTTCGACGGGAATCGAGGGGGTGGGCGATGTTTCGGAATTTTTATGTTGCAGATATTTAGCCAGAAAAACGTGATGAGCGTTCTCTCTGAAGCGGACATTCTCTCGGAACTTTACGGTAGATTTTGTTTTCTAAAACCTATGTTTTCGAAATATTTGTACAATAAATGTGCCACCAAAGACACCTTTGCAAAAAGTTTCGTTGCACTCAAGTTTGTTTGTTTATTCATAAAACTTTTTTTTTTTTTTTACGCCTGAAGAGTGCTCAGAAACGCCTCATAACGACACCACTTTTTGAAATTTCAGCAATTCCTGCAAGTCCTGGTGGGCGACGAAGAAGAGCACGCCATCCTGCTGTGCAACTTCTTCCTCCATTTGGGGAAAGAGGCCTACCTGCTGCTGGGCACAGGTATCCCCGAGGGACAGACCGCGTATGTCCTGACCCGCGAAGGGCACAGCGGGGGGGTCTCCATCTGGAATGCGGTCACGGGCAAGCGCTACAGCGCCACCGACAGCTACGGCCCGCTCCAGAACATCGGCTGCCTTGTCGGGAGGGACAACGTACGTCACCATGCCGTTCTCGATGCCCGTTTTAGCGGTCGCAACTAAAGTACCATTTTTTGTCCAAATTAGTATGAATCAGCCGGAGTGAATGCATGAGTCCATATCGAAATAATAATACAGTTGAACCTAGATCTAACGAACACCGATCTAGCAAAATTTGCGATTTAACTGAATCTTTTTTTGTCTCCTTATCTTGCTTTTATTGAAGACAATGTATTATTTTATCTCGATTTAGCCGAGTACTTTTGCACAGCAGTTTTGATTTAACAAAGACTTTGGAAATCGCACATACACAAACCAACAACCTCCGTGTGAAAAAAAAAAAAAAAAATTAACAGAAACAAACTTTATTGTTGAAAACTAAGCATAAAAATATGCGGTCTTTATCTTTTTCACAAAATAAAAAAGTTCACACCGGTGGTGGTGGTAGTGGTGACGACGATGATGAGTAGTCTCGTAGCCTCTGCCTTTCGTGGAAAAAAGAAAGTTCGCCATCACATGCACCTACGCCCAACGAACTAGAGCTTTTACGCATCTGCAACAACAAAAATCATTTCATGCCTCAAGTGTTGCACTGAAAGAGGTTGTGTTCTTGGAACAATCAGTGGTGCACCGCCCAAAAGGAAAGTCCTGTCGCTCGACATCAAGGCGAAAATAATCGCTGAAGTGACGAATGGCAAAAAGAAAGACAGTTGCCGAGAAATACTTATGCAATTTCGCAGAGTTCACTTTTGAAGTTGAAAGACAGCATTAGGGCTACCGTAAGTGCCAGTGGTTGCTTTCCCGACTGCAATCTCTCCTGCGGTGCGAGGCACTGCTCCCATAACCATGCAAAATGAGGGTCGGTGAATTGCTTTCTTCTGTTACCGCCACATTTTGTAGTGGAATCTTATTTGTAAAGTTGTAAACGCTTACTTGCAAGATGTGGGGCAATTGGAGGGTTTTGGGAGCCTGGGAGACCAATTGTAATGCTGAAAAACAAAAACCTTGGTCCAACGAAATTTACGATTTAACAAAATATTCGGCTTAAAAGACAACTCGTTAAGTTGAGGTTTAACTGTATACAGAAGCCTACATAAAGAACTTAGTTTAAGATAGGAAGCAAATTTATTGTACAATTATTTCTCTATATATCAGTTCTATTTCAAATGCTTGTACCAGCATTATGTGCTTAGTACTACACTTCTGTGCTGTAAAACTAAGCTGCAGTGATTTGGAAATGTTTTTCTGCATTGCTATGGCAAGGTTGCACTGTTATGCGTTTCTTGAACTGTTTTCGGGCAAGTGACGATAGATAATACATAACAAATCATGCCTATCACTCATGTAGTCTCGTCTTTTGTTTCTTGGTCATACTAATTTTTTTTTTTTTAATATTCACAGGTACCAAATATTTTATTTTATTGTGTCTCTCATAAACAGATCTGGGCCAACGTTCAGAAGCACGAGCACCCTTCAAGATTGTCGTACAACTTGTCCAAGGCTAACCACTGGAAGCCGTTTTTTCCTAAGGGAAAGCACCAAACAGAGCTCGACTCCGTGCAGGTCAGTATAGACAGTTACGACTAGAAAAACGTTTGACAGCAGACATCGAAAGACAACTTCTTAACTCCCCTCGTGGTGTAAGGAGAAAAAAGTCGGGCATTCCCTTTGGCTGCGCACGCCGTAGTTGCACCGCGCGAAGATGAAACATTATGCATCGCCCTTTCCGCTCGTTGTTGAGCGTCAACATTACACCCTCGTTTCGCCACTCAACAACATTGGGGGAAACCTGCACCTTCGCTCACATCGTCATCGCAACAGACTTTTCCCCTTGGCGCCACCGTGCCAAGGCTGTACTCCGTCCCAGAAGCGAGCGCGGAGACAATGTCCGACTTCTGCGCGGCCCCTGTAAGCGAACGCCTTCGACGTGGCCAACCCGCAACAAACGTTTTGCCGATTTTGTGCTTCGTACCGCAACAACGTCCCACTCGTTGTAACCGGTGACGTCGACGTCAACTTTGGCGGCCGCAAGAACAAGCGGTTCTGCAGCCTCGTTGCGGCGGAATTGGGCTTCTGCGTGGTGTTTGACGTCGGTGCACCGACAACTCGTGCCGGCACCAGTTTCGACTGACAATGACATGCGCATCTATGTCTTGCCTTGGCTGCTTACTTTACCGATAACCGAGCACTCGTAGCAGTCGTCGGTGGCGCCCACGACACCGACCCCGACAGCAGTGCGCATTAACCACTTTGCAACTCCATCCTTGGGTACATGGCGACGGCATTTTGCCCGCATTGCACGAACATACCACAGCTGTCACTCTTACTTCTTCGCACATTGTGGGCAAAAAAGAGTGCTCCTCTTTTTAATGTTGGCACAAAAAAATGAAAGCCGTTTAGAACTGCCTGTAACGCCGAATTAGAGCGCAGCTTTTGAGGAGGAGGGAAGGGTACTGAAGGGAAGGTATACCCCTTCTCCCTCCTCCTCACCTCCTCATCCTGTCTGCTACTCCTCCCTCTAGGCGGCGTCACCGTCGCCTCACAAGGGTCACGTGGCCTCACGGGGGTCATGTGATGTCGCCAAGGTCACGTGACCTCACGGGGTCACGTGACCCCTGTGAGGTCACGTGACGATGACGATGACCTGATCGTCATCGTCACTGATGATGTCATCAGTGACGTCACTGATGACGTCATCGGCATCATTGTCACTGATGACGTCATCGGCATCGTCACTGATGACGTCATCGGCATCGTCACTGATGACGTCATCAGTAACGTCACCAGTGACGTCATGCATCTCATAATGCACCGCGCGGTTACGCCGACGACGACGCCGCTTAAGCCGGAAACAGGCGCCTAAGAGCTGCGCTCTAATTCGCATACATGTTGCAGAATACCGGGGGAGTGCTACCCCACTTTCACTGAACCTGGGTTAATCTAGGCATGGGTGCTTGTCCGGTCAAATTGGGCGCTTAGCGTATAATTTACAGAATTCCCAAGTTTGGGAGGTGTTAATACAGTAAACTCTCACTTGAGCGAATGTTGGTTTAACAAATGTTTCAGAATGACTAACTTTAAGGAAATCCCCGGCAGTTTTCCTATGCATTCTATGCAAAAAATGTTTCAGTTAAACGAATGAACGAATTTCGGAATAGCGAATATTTCAGTTCAACGAACTTGATCGGTGGTCCCAGGAGTATTTTTGCAATCTGTTCAACGAAGTTTTGTGCTCTGCAGTGCTGGCGTAGCCGATGCCCGCTGCCCCGCCGATGCCCGCTGCCCCGCCGCTGCCGCCTCTTCAACGGTGGCGTATCATCGCTGGCGTTTACATGAGTTAGGTTGAGGAAGTTAAAAGCATGAAAATATGAGGTCCTTGATTAGTACCGCCTGTATAAGCACAACCGATTTAAAGCCAATTAGAAAAATTTAATCTTTGGATCAAATGAAAATTTCATCAAAAGCCAATTAGGAACTGAACCAAGAAAAAACTGGTCACCACCACGAAAACGACCCAGGAGAGACTGACGGAAAAGAGGGGAGAGAGGGCCCCACAGACCCTGAACCCCGCCCGACCCTGCAAAGGTGCCATGAGTGTGCAGGACAGTGGGTTTAACGAGACTGCAAGGAAACTAGGCGCCAAAGAGCCCCGCCGCAGTGATCTTTGCTATCCCACGACTCCCCAGAGGAGCCCCAAAGTGAGGGCCCCTCAGCCTTGGGTAGGTTTGTGGAGTCACCACTTTTTATGTCGACCTCCCCCTCAAAGAAGCCACCCCAAACAAGGGGCTCCCCTTTATCAATGGGGAAGGCTAGAGGAACCACCCCCTCTTTAGGAGAAGCCCCAGAGACAGGGCTCCTCCCCCTAGGCGAGGGGGAAAGCTGGCATTCACAGCACTGCCGAGGCAAAGCAGCGGTGCAGAAGACGAAATCGAACCGCGTGGTGTTTGTTTTTTCTTTGTCATCGGTTCCGTTCGGCCATTTTAGTTTTGGGTAACAACGGCAGGACGACAGTTTGTGCATCCACTTTTGTAATGAGTACGGCAAAACGGAAGCGGTTGTCTCTATCAGACAGGCTCAAAATCTTTCAGTGTCTGCACAGTGGTCAAAGGCAAGTGGACATTGCGAAGGACTACGGGATTCTACTGTCGACTTTGGCAACGATAGTAAAGCAAAAGTCGAAGCTTGAAGGAGAAACTGCGTTCAATCCCAACAGGAAATGACTCTGCATGGGATATTTCGAGCCAGTGGACGATGCCGTTGCGGTATGATTTCGTCACAGCAACAAGCTGTGCCAGAGGAAGGGCCAAAAAACATATTCTCTCTGAACAGCTTTGTTACTTCATGCGCTGAGTGCCGGTGCAAATGGAATTATTTTTTTTTTCAAATTGAGAAAGGTAGCAACGTAACTGTTATGCACTTTGTATATATCTATGTACATGACTCATTAATTGCATTTACTTTTGACACAATGTATCCTGTGCCCTATGCTGTTCCACATTCTAGTGAATATATTCAGTTTAGTGAACTTTCAGTTAAATGAAGTATTTCCTTGGGTGCCTTGAAGTTCGCTCAATTCAGGGTTTACTGTAGTAGGCGCTTAAACAAAAAGGACGCTTCCACGGTTTTTGTACGGTAGTAGTTTGTTTTTATCTGCTCACACCATGTCCGAATGGAAACTCCTTTCCCTGATACCATTTCCTATGCAGATAACTTTCTTAATGCTATTTAATTATTTTAATGGCATATAGCCTGCCTTGGACAATTAACAGCTGGAAATATACGCTAGCAAGTTTCAATATTTGTTGATTTATTTTAGTTATCAGATTTCTTAAAATTTCAAAAATTAAATTTAAATTTCTGAAATTTTAAATTGCAAATTGAAACTTTGGCAAGGGATGACCACGTTTGCAGCTGCTGTCCAAAGGTTGTGCTAGCTGCACCACCTTTGAATAACCACCTTTAGATGTTGGCCAAGCTCAATTAACATGTAAAAGAAGATGGTTTTCATGTAATAGTCACCCCCTTTGAAAAAAAAGTTTCGAATTAAAAACAAGCATTTTCTATAATGTACATAATGGATACATCCTTTTCTAAATGCCTGCAAACCAGAATGAAGGTTTGTAAATTTTTTTTATATCCCTAGTTTGTGTAACATACGAAACACTCCACTTTTAGAGTTACCATGCCTGAAGTGGAAGTCAAATATGCATGAACAGTTAGCAAGCAGGAATGTGTAGTAAACCAGCTGTAGGCACTGGTTAAGCTCATTGTTTAATAAAAAAGGGAGGTGCAGGAACGACTGTTTGTTCTTTTGAAGTGTTTGATACACAGCTGCTGCTGTATTCTTCTTTCAAAGCCGAGCGAACTTGTCTACGAAGCCACGGATCCCTCTTACGTGGAGCAACTTCAGCAGAAGATTGAGTATGTCCTCAAAGAGAGCATCATGAATTGGAGAAAGAGGTTTCGAACATCCTGGAACCGCTATGCCAGCCAAGTTCTCAGAAAGATACTTCCAAGGAAAGTCTGGTTTTGTTTCCCCCATCGCTTTGCAACAGCCTTTGACGCAGTTGTGACTAGCGCTGTTTTCTGTGTCCTGAAAGTACATCTCTCTTTAGACTGGAATCCATGGCTGCCAGTCTGTCGAGCACGGACGACATCCAGGAACTTTCGGAAATTTTGGCAACCTACAAGGTATATGTCGGCGTCCTATGCATAGCACAACAGTAATGTTTAGAAATATTTTCCTGTTTTCATTGATTTAAAGTTTAGCCAATCGTAGCGTACGTGCTAGCAGTACCATTAGCACATATGCTACGATTGGTTCCTGGCGTTCTCTTCGCCCCAAACATTTACAGATTGTGCATTGATTTCATATGTCAATTGCCGTCTCGCTAAGGGCTACTTAACTCGTACAGCTGAGCGCTGTCTTGGTGCTGAATCAGCACTGTAGTAACAGCGGTGATGCGGTGCTGCCTTGAACGTAGCAGCGTTGTCTTGAACATAATTAGTAATGATGAAATGCTGTATCAGTGCCAATCAGCACGGGTACAGCACAAATTCAGTGCTGCATTAGTGATAAATTAGCTATAGTTTCAGTGCTGCCTTAGCACTATGCTATATGTGTGAACAGGCCTTAAAGAGGCAATTTGTAGTGCAATTTCGATACTCGAACCTGTTGCAAGAATTTGCACATACAAAAAACGAGGGTGGAAGCTAGCTGTGAAGGTGAAACGCGGAGACTTGAACAGAGGCTCGGTTTTTCTAGAGGACGACGCACACATGGGAAAGTCTCTAACACAGCGGCTGTGTTTGAGACGTCTCTGCATTTGTGTTGTCCTTTGTTTCAAACTACCCAAACTAGCTATGTTTTCCGAGTATCTGGGTTCCATTTTTACGGAACACTATACTAAATTCAGAATGGCTATGGAGAAAATGGCAAATGAAGGGGATGTCAAAATCAGTGCTCAGAGTTGTCAACGCTTTCCATTGGCACGTCACTGCCAGGCAGACTTGCACGTCAAGGGGGCAGTCTATAGTTGGTTACAAGTCAAGAAGGTGGGAGAAGCTCCTCCCACAAACATAATGCGCCCGTTTCAAATCCCTCCGCATTCGAAAGAAGAGTTAACTAAAAACGCTCCTTGTTCCGCTTCAATGGATTCCAACTTGTCTCCGATCCCACTTTTGAAGAAAGCGACCTTTGTGTTCATCCGAGGGGGAACTGAGCCCCTGAAAGCAGTCTTTGTATCCATAAGAGGGGGAACCTAATCCCCGAAAGTCGTATTTGTTTCCATCAGAGGGGGAAAACTCTAATCTCCCTCTCGTGGCTTCCACAATGCTAAGTAAAAGTTGAAAGATAAAGCAAATATGTACAGGAGGGCAAGACCCTCCTCGCGCGTTGGCCGTGACGTCACGGAAACGATGGGACGCTATTGGATGCGGAGGTGGTGGAGGGATATATGGTTCCCCTTGAGGGGCGTTCGCCGCTACCTTCTTGACTTGTAACCTATAATAGAAAATGCAGTATGTCACACATTTATGTTGTGGTGCTGAGCGAGCCATGAAGTGAGCTTCCACATCGTTCCCTTGACACCATCAGTTCTACTGTCCAAACAGCGAATTTGTACCTGCCACTGGAATTACTTTTTTAGTGTTGCCAATAAAAACTTCTAGTTTGAAAGAATAAAAAATATAAACTGGTAACCAGAGTTGAAAATATAATTCATAAAAAAATTTTATTTTTGGCATAATATTCAGGGGACAAGTTCAGCCATATCTGTTCATTCTAAGACAAATCGGTGCCCAGGAAACAAAGATGAGTGTACCCCTTTAACCATTTTACATGATAGCTGTTATCCACTTTTTCACACCACTCAAAATGACATAACTGTTGCAGTTGTAAGGTGTCCGTTGTCCATATTGCCAAACGTGGGAAAAGGGAATCCCTAAAGCCCACCACGGCTTTCTCAGGATTCGATCTCGGGTTTGTCTATTGTGAGGTGAGCGCGCTACCTCAAAGTCACGCCAGCTGCTTCAATATGCCGCCCAAGAAACTGCACGTGTCGAGGACAGCTGCGCACACGAGTCTCGCGCAGCGTCCGCTAGGTGGCCGCAGTTGAGGGGACGTCTTATCATGCCGCCCGAGTCTCACGCCGCGTCCGTTAGAGGGCTCCCATGTGCATAAGATTAGTTCATGTGCTACTCTCCAAGCAGGCATCGGCGATGGCTCCTTCATGTCCAAGCGTGAGGATACATTGTGGTCCGACAAGCTGCCACAGCCATCGCCGTGTCTGTATTGCTGATTCACACAGGATTGCTGAATTTTCTTGGTTCCTTTTTGTATAGATGAGTGGCTTCCCCCTCTCCATGAGCTTCACGGACGTGGACACGGTCATCGAAAACGTCCTTTCTACCGGCGTTCATCTGACAGAAGCAAAGAACGCCGAGTTTGCACTGGCCGTCCACATTCATCCGTACCCTTCCAACGTCTTGGCCGTCTGGGTGTACGTGGCTGTACTCTCCCGCAAGTTCTGAGGTGCGAGACGTGCTACCGGGCTGTTTTTGTTGCAGCCATTTTAATTGTTTCACTACCGCAGAAACAACCCTGGCTTGTCTGGTGATCTGTAGCGCTTTGCTAGCAGTTCTGTGGAGGCTTCAAGCTCGAGATTATACCTTTCGGTGCTTCATTTCAGCTTGAAGTGGTGGCCATGCCAAGGCCTTAGCTCAAGCATTTTGTCTTCAAATGCATCTTAGTACCACAAGAGGGAGTGCTATAAGCATGAGTATGTAACTGTAGTTCCACTGCTCTACTTTAGATAAAGCAGAGTTCCAAGGTACTCACATGGCCTGAGCAGGCACAGAATTATTCTTTTATGGCTATATCCTCACAGTCGTTGCTTTCACTGATGTACTAAGAGTGGAATACTGCAGACAAACTGGGCTTTTTTTCAACTATAAGTGGGTTAAGAACTGACACACAGCTAGTGCTTACCAATTCCTCCTACTTGCCCTCTTTCCCACCTTTTCGCTTATCTGAAAGGATTTACAGACCGGCAGAAATTTGAGTTTTACTCTTGGTTACAAGGTATTGCACTGAGTCTTTTGGCAGTGATTTCTGTCTTGAACGTTATTTATATTGTCTCAATAATAAAACTTTTTTCCAGCTCTTTGGTGGCATTACTTACCAATAATCATCTAATTATTTTATTGACATTAAAAGTGGTTATTTTAGGAAACTATATATATATTTTTTTTTTCAAGGATCCAGACACATTTTTGCCAGGTGCTATATTTTATGGGCTACACCATCAACTGTCTTGGCACAGCAACGTCACTAAGGTTCTAACTACTCAGCTACTGCAATAGTAATTCTTTATTTATCATCTTTTGAACTTTTTACGACAGGGAGATTGCCAAAGCTTTAGGTTTTATTCATTAGGCAACACCACTACCCCAAGAACAGTACAACAGGGGTAAAGCAAACAAATAGCACTGGTAACAAATTATTACATGGAAACAGCAAGATTCAAGTCAGTCGATGCTACTGATTAGTATAACCAAATAAAATCTTAAATAAAGTTCATGTGATATTCAGTGTGTAGGCAATAATTTTTGGGTAACCAAATGACTTTGGTGGGAAACTAAATCTGACTAGATAAAAAAACTAAATCTGACTAGGTAACATAAGTATCATCACAAAATTTCTCTTTGCTATATCTGTGGGAGCCGCTCAATTTGCTTTGCCAAAACAGACACAAACTAAAGTGCAAACGGGAGTGGAAAATTGTAATCACTTCGCTATAGTCGCTATTTCATTATAACAGATTTCGTTATAAGCGGGCACGACAGTACTTTGTCAAAGGACTGATATATTTAAAAAGATTGAGGTACATCTAAGCACGTCTTATTAGTTGTGAATGTGAAAGCATGCAAGCCGCTCGTCCGCTCTCTTTTTCGCCTGCTGCATACTTTTCGTCGCCGGTCAGCACGTATGCTCCCCAAGGCAAGGTGACCTTTGACCCTCCGTGCCCAGGGGAGCAATGGCACGCTGGTGAACACGCAGCGCCATGGGGTGAGCAGTCGTGGAAACTGACGAGTGCAGCGGCCAATGGGAGCCCCATCGACGCACGCCAGCCAATGGAACCAAAGGGAACTATCTGCCGTTTTCGCGTTTCAAACTGATGACGTCAGCTCGCTCCATGAGACAGTTAATGCTTTCACATTAATAAACTAAATTTGCTTGTAGTGCATACAGAGGGCCTACTTGGAACACGTTAATATTGACGACTTGGGTAGGAAATAAACATTTCTTAAAGCACTAAATAACCAGATTACATGAATGAACTAGGTCTGCTTGTAGCACATACAGTGGAACTTATTTGGAACACTGTAGCATTTACAACTTTGGTAGGAAGTAAACATTACTTAATGCACAAATCTGACTTGATTACATACTCTGTTGAAGGATATATATGTTTGAATAAGCTAGTCTGCTTGTAGCACATATATAGTAACAGCTACTTTGAACACACTCAATCAAGCTGCTCTAACATTACTAGTCATGTGCAAATAGTGGATTTTATGTTTGAAGCGAATTCAGAAAAGCAAATAGTGATTTTTAACTTTTAACCAAATATTTTCGAATCCAATAATAAATAGTTTTTCTAAGCTTTTCACTACTGCACCATGCTTAAACAAAAACCCAGCTGAATTCGTAAAGGTGGTTCCCAAGCTTTCATTTGTTTATTTCCAAGCTAAATTAATTTTTATCTATGTAACTATATTTATCGACTGTGCCCTCAGAAAGTTTCATGCATTGGATTGGCAAGTGAATGACACACTTGACATAAAATTAAGCCTATAAGATAGGGGTTTATAAATATTATTGCTATGTAAAAATACCGTTTCTCCAGTTGCAAATGATCGATGCGGGTTTTCAGGGCATCTGTACGTGACATATACTCATGCATATTAGCCAGTTTAATTGTGAAGTTTTCGTTTCTTTTTAAATACACCAGATACAAGCGTGACCATTCCACTTTGAAGTGTGCTTTTCTTCTAAGTATGCGGCTCCAATATTTGTCATTTTCAATGTGTTGATCGCGGTGTTTTAGCCCCATGGAATGTGTTTCTTACCGAGCACTGGTGCACTGGGGAGAAGCAACACCCTCAGAAGCCAGCTCTGCAGGTGTTGCTTTTCCGCACTGCACCGGTGCTCGGTAAGAAGTGCACTCAACAGGGCTACCCCGCCACCATCAATAATTCGAAAAATATAAATATGCCAGTTAACCTCGAGGTGAAATCAAATAGTGTATTATTTGCAACTACTATTTGAATATTTACGCAATTCGAACATTACGATATCAAGCTCAAACACGCAACACCCGACCAGTCTTTTTCACACGTGCAGTACATTATGGTACAGTTGATCGTAAAGGCGAAGAGTGACAAACGAAGTTGCGAAGAGAAGGAAGAGGACTCTATCTGCTGCACGGGCCACGGCTTGCCACTCCCGTCGACGAGAGACTGTCCTTTCCACCACTGGAGACGCGTCTTCCGTCAATTGGGCCATCTCAGTTTGACGGTCGGCGAGTTTGAAGTCTCCGACGAGCAGGAGACTGCCCAAGCGCCCGTCTAGCAGGCGCATCAGGCAGCGGGGAGGCTGGCAGGCGTGGGAGTTGTGCAGCAGCTTCAGCGTGACAACGGCGCACAGCAGCGACGCAGTGGTCAGAACTGTGCAGTGGCACAGGAATGTGACTGAATCGGAAGACACGAGAAAAAGGGGTTAGCAAAAGAAGTGCACCGACGTGGGTAAACAGGTGAATCGTAACCTCAGTCTGGCAACAATAAAGGGGCCTTCAACAATTCTTGTATTTTTCAATAAATGCCACTTAGAATTATTCCTCGACACTCGTAACCGATGAAACACACGTTAGTTGTTTTTTTCTGCAGACAAGTGCAGTCGCAGAAAAATGTTCGAGGAAAGTGAGCAGCATTCGTTCTCTTAACTCGCAGCCAGAGCAAGTGGCCACGTGATGTGGGGTTGATTATATGCAGTGAATATTTTCATAGCCATGCATTGGGGTTGGCAAAATACAGGGCACGCGCCAAGTTGCTCATGTTAAGGTTCAGCCATTTGTGTCGTCGCAGCGATGGGGCATGAGCCACTACCTGAATGCATGTCAAGTGGTCATGTGCAAAAAGTGGATTTTGAGTTTGATGCGAATTCAAAGCGAATAGTGGTTTTTAGCCATATATTTTCGAATCGAATGTCAAATAGTTTTTCTAAGTCTTTAAAACGAAAGCCCAACTGAACCATGCAGGTTGTTCCCAAGCTTGCACCTATCTATTTCGAAGTTCATTTTAATCTAATATTTATGGACAGTGGCCTCAGAAAGCCCAATGCCTACATTGGGACAACAAGTAAATGACACATTTGACATAAAATTTTGACTATAAGGATGCCCATCTGTACCCAATTGGGAGCATTTATAAATCTTGTTATATGGAAATATTTTTTTTTTAAATTTCAAGTTTCAGAAAAGACAATCATGAATAATGAATGCAGGTTGTCAGAAAATACCTGCCTAACATATATGCTTGCATAATAGCCACAGTTTAATTTGGGAAGTTTTGCTGTAGAGTAGATACCAGCATTCACAAAGAGTGTTTCTAATTAAATATGCAAGGCGTGGGCAAGTACCATCCCACTTTGAAAGTGTGCTTTCCGTGTAAGCACGCGAGTGCGATATTTGTACTTTTTGAAGTGTTGATCGCGGCAAGTTAGGCCCGTTGAGCGCGCTTCTTACCGAGCACCGGTGCGCTGCAGAGAAGCAACATTCGCGAAGCTCGCTTTTGCGGGCGTTGCTTTTCCGCAGTGCACCGGTGCTCGGCAAGAAGCGCGCTCAACGGGGCTAACCAAACCACTGTGATCAACACTTCAAAAAGTACAAATATCGCAGTTCATCTCGAAGCAAATATCAAATAGCCTATTATTCGGAACTACTTTTTAAATATTCACGCAACACTAATGTCGAAGCACCAATTGTCAGGAGCCCAAATCAAGTGCTCGCAGAGTGCTCGTGTCCACTCTATGAGCCACATTTGAATATTGTCACCGCAGGATATTGCAAAGCTTGACAATGAAACCTTGGGGATCACATTGTTGACAACGCAATAACGCGATCCCCGCAACTTCGTCATCAAGTTTTGCAAAGGAGATACTCAAAGAAAACGTCTGCTTTTGTCCTTGAAATTGTTCGGTGACAATGAAGCTTCTTGGTCGGTGGCGTTGCGTGCGAGTATGTGTACTTGGGTTCCATTAGCGCCTGTAAGCTCGTGTAAAGTTAGAAACATTTCTACTTAAAGGGGGACACTACCCAAAAAAAAAAGTTTCTGCAAAAAAAGTTGATTTTGAAAAATTACATAAATACATCCAACAACATCTAGAGAGTATTCCCAGAAAGTTTCATTAGTGTAGACTGCACAGTTAATTTTTAATAAATTATTTTCTGTCCACTGAAGCTAAAGAAAAGGTAGGGTTTGGAGCAGTTTGAACGCATTTTTCTCCGTCCCACTTTTTGGTATAAATTCCATTTTAGTCAGCCTATCGTTTGATAATGGCAATACTGGGAAGGCTCGTTCTTCACTTTTCCTGACTGAAATTTAATAAGGAGTGTGGCTATGCCTATGGATTGCTTTTGTCACTTTACAGATGTCTTTTATAAAAAATGTTGACATTTTATCGAAGACACTGAAGACCAAAAAGTTGACTAATTTTGCAGAAGAGAAAATTTATAGAAATGACTGGCTTCTTACAAAAACCTTTCCATAGCCCTAGGCATTCTGCTACTTATCTAGCGAATACAAATCTTGAATATTGTGATAGTTTTCCGACAATAGGTTTACTAAACAATGTGGACGTGTTGCTGATAGAAGCTGTTCTAATTTCCTTCTCATTTACCCGACAGACCTAAAATTTTGTTATGCATTCTCTAGCGTGACCACCAGCCTACCCTGTAAATTTAATTAATTTTAAGCCAAGGGTTCAAAAGTCGACCCTCCTAGGGGTGTGCCCTCTTAACATCCTTGTACAGCCCCTCTGGGTTTGTCATGCAGTCACGGTCAACAAGGTCCTGGAACCTCCCAGTGAATGGAGGAACGCACCGATGGGAGGTACGTTGCTTGAGCCCGTGAACTCTTTGGTCACGCTGTCTATCAGGAAAGTGGTGAGCAGCAGGCTTATGCCACCGAGGGTGATCTTCGGCGGCGATGAAGGCAGCCAGAAGATGATTAGGGTGGTGATGACGACAGCAGCCGTGGGGCGGTCCCAGCTGGTCTCGTACTTCCTTTTGAGCATAAAGCTGAATTCTGAATTTTGGAATGTCAAAAGTTCGGAGAAGATGCTTTGTTAGTGGTCCGTTGCAGTTCATTAGTGTTGAGCAAATACTTGCACTGTGGGCTTTGAGGTCATATGAGCCTGCACTCGTGCGATCACCGTGGCAGGATGTGCATTTCGGAAAAGAAGAGTATGTTCGGGAAAGCCGATGGGCAAACATATCTAAAACAATCGAGTTCAAGAAGGCAGATAAAAGACAGATAAAAAGAGGAAGACAACCAGATGCCATCTTTTTAAAGGGGTACTCCACCGATTTTTTTAGCTACTTCAACTAACTATATTTTCTGACTCCCCGGCCTTTAGCCTTTCCGGTATGCTATTTAGCATCGCAAAATTCATAATAGGTATTGTGAAATCGGCAAATGAAAATGGTGCAAAAACCAACATTCAAATATTTGCGCACTTTTCAGTGCCGTGAAGTCAGTGGCAGGCGGGCTTGCCAGTTGAGCAAGTAGTCTAAAAATAGAATATGCAAATCATTTGTTCCGTGCTGGAGCGCGGATACGGGAGCGAGCTTCCAAAGCACTCATTCGACACCAAGAAACCGCTTCAAATCCGTTGGGAACAACTTCTATTGTCCAAAAAGTTAACCCCTGCCTTCCACTGACGTCACTTTGTTGTTGCCGGTAGAGACTTTCAGTTTGAAAAACATGGTGAAGACCAAAACTGTAAATTCAATAACTTTGCGAAAAAACAATATTTTGACCTAATATTTGGGATACTATTTTAGCAATGTTTGTTGGTTAGTTTAGCAAAATTTCAAGCAAATCGGAGACAATGAAAAAAACGGTGGAGTACCCCTTTAAGGGATGCTGAATCGAAATTTGGACTTCGTAAAATGAGGCCGCAGAAGTGTTGAACGGGATGCTCCAAACTTCAATACATCACTCGTATATTGTTATCTCAAATATATGGCCATATTTGTGGAAAGGAAGGGTGCGATCAAGCAAGAAGTGTGACTTCACGATTCTATTCAAACAGTTGAGAACGAGGGGAAGCGGCCTCGCATTAGTTCACCTGCTCGAGGGGACAAAACAAAGCGGAGATGGAATGGAAATTGCAACGTCACACATCTCGTCGGCCGTGTTCAGTCGCGCACCTCGTTTCCAAAAATACAGCCATTTGTTAGATATGTTGTTGTATGAGGGATGTTTTTTGGGGTTTTGCAATGTCCCACTTATTGCTCCAGCCTTGTTTTGTGAGCTCCAAGTTTCGGTTCAGCATCCTTTTAAGGGGTGTATATGTCCTTTGTTATCTGTCACCTTTCTGCTTCCTTGGTCTCAAGTTAAATAAGTTTACACCTACAAGCTTCAGGTTTTCGGAGCAAGTAACCGCATTCAAGGGAAGATTACATTCACCTGGATATAGTGGCATAAGCAGAGGGGTACTTCAAGTTAAAACCCCCTGCTTCCCTCTCTCTTCATGTCCACTTCCATCCCCCCAACCCTGTCATTGAGATCCCACAGGCATGTAGCCAGGATTTTGTTTCGGGGAGGGGGGGGGGGGGGGGGGGGGGAGGGGGGGGGGGAGGGGCCCACCCATGACAAAATTCTGTATGAGGGGGAGAGGGGAGAGGAGAACCCAGCAAAATGGAAGATTTCGGGGGGGGGGGGCCTGGGGCCCCATGCCCCCCCCCCCCCCCCCCCCCCTTAATACGTGCCTGAGATCCCACCCCCCCTTCCCGCCCCCTCAAAAAAAAAAACTGGCTGCGCCACTCATTCGCCTATTCCCTATTCACGCAGCATGTGGCACTTGCGTACCGCTTCCCCCGCAGCACAAGAGTGCACGTGGAAAAGCCCACCCTTCGTTTTAGCCTGGGAGGCATGCATATGACATTTCTTTTAGGAAGAAAAGGAAGTACAACCACTACATTTTGCACTGGTGGAACTAAAGTCACCAATGACCTATGCTTAGTGTACCGCCACTGCATTCCTTGATTATCTTGTGGGTGCAGCAATTTCGGTTCTTGGTGCGGTGCAGGTGCAACTGTCGATACCCACCGTTTGAAAATGTGACAGTGTGAATGCAATTAGCAATACCTGAAATTTGAAAATCATTATTCCTGGGCCTTAAGTGGAGTGTCACAGAGCTCGGGCGATGTAAATTTTTTCTGTCATGGTAACATTTCTGGAGGAGAGAAAAATATTTCTAGCAATTTCAGATAACTGGTGACGTATCGACTTTAAGCACAAAGTAGCTAAAGTGTTGCTACGCTACTCCCAAGTGTAGCTTATATTTAGTGGCTCTAAGTGAAACTAGAAGTGGTACTCATCACGACTTCAAGAAACATCAGATTCAAACAACTGCGAAGGTGTGCAAGTACAGTGAAACCCGTTTAAAACGAACCCATGTACAGCGAATTATTGTCGATATTGAACTCTGAGATAATTTAAATAAAAATACATGTAAAAAGTACTTTTTATAACGAACAACCTATTGGCTATATCAAACTTTTTTCCCCCGGGTAGCAAGAGTAGGAAAGAAAGAAAATTTCGAAAGCTCAAGTTGCAAACAAAATTGAAGAGAAGCGATTTAGAAGTGGAGAAAGCTGAAAAATATGCTTTGCACGCATGCACAAAAAAAAAAGCTTTCATCCCAAAACTGTTTGCCCACGAAAAGAAGCAATTCAAAAAGGAAAATAAGCTAAAAAAAACGGCACGCATGCAAAAAAAAAAGTTTTCAACGCTTTGTTACAGGGCGGAAGCGAAGAGATGAGAAAGAAAGAGAAGCTTTTGCCTTACAACAAATGCATCGTGGAAGTTCATTGTAAATGGTTTTTGCTATATCGAATTACTTGCTATATCAAACTGATCGTAGCGTATCCTGCTGTTCGTTATAAATGGGTTTGACTGTATACCTAGGGCCGCTAAATAGCCTAACTACGCTTCAAAGTAGTGGCCCTCCAACCTTCTTGGTGCTCAAAATCATTGTCAATTGTCTAAGGCTTTACATGAATTTGCAGGAAGCAGTTTTCTGTCCTTTAGAAATCTTAAAACAGCCTACGACAAAGCGAAATGATATCGCCCAAACTTCCCGAGGCCCAGGAAGTCGCATTTTCTAATTGTAATGATTGCCAATTGCGCACGCTACCAAAAATGGCAGCACCCAGAAGAGCATCGGGGTATGAGTGGCGACAAACTAGGCTCAGCTTCCTTAGTGGCTCTAGTGGTACGGATTTCCAGAACATCTGATTTGGAGAACCGCAAAGATGTGTAAGGGTATATGTACCCATAAATGGCAATGTGCCCCCGTCGAGGTGCATGTCGATGTGGGACGCATCCCAGCTTGCGTTGTGGAGCCCGGCGACGTCGATGGCACCGTGAATGTTGACCTCGGAGCCTTTGTAGTTCCAGGGTATCAGGATGACGGTGCAGTAATAGAGCAGGCTCGAGAATCCGTCCACGGTGCTCGTACAGTGAGCTTGCAGTTGCTTGGTTTGGTGCATCACCACATTTCCTTTGGAGTCCACTCGGACTGACGTTTTGGTTCCCTCGTGCAAATAATGGGTTGCATTCCTGAAAAGCGGGGCGACAAACGTAAGACATTAAACCATGTGGAAGACATTTTCGCCGTGATGTTTTGTGTAGCCCACTGCAGTATGTGGTGCACAAGTTTGTCTGCTTCCTTTGCTGGGGTTGTGGTGACGTCAGAATGTCGAGCTCCGTTAGCCTCCGATTGAAGGACAGCGGGTAGATCTCAAGGCAGCTTGCTTTGAGGTCTTTTCACTATCCTTCAATCAGAGCCAATCAGAGCTCGGTGTTCTGACGTCGCCGCAACACGTGCAAAAGAAGCAGACAAACTTCCGCTCCGCATAATCGTGGTATACAACCAAATAGCCTAGGATATAAAAAATATGATCTACCGTATTTTCAGAGTCGACGCTAACCTATAGATTGTGAGTGTAGAGTTCTAAGGGAGCTAAAACTGTAGAGTTTTAGAACATTGCACCCATTTTCCCCTAAGGAGTAGCGAATTATGCTCTTTCGTTTTAACAAAAAGTACAATATATTAAGTTCCCATACTTTCCAGAAATGAATGCAGGGATCCAAACATTGTCGGATGGAACGATGATGTAAGAGAGTCCATCGTAGTCACTTGAGTTCCAGGTCAGGAATTCGTCGTCCCATTTCTAAAAATGTGGAGGAGCAATGTTAAGTGCTTACAATTTTTAAGCATTTGAATAATTTTTGTCTTTTCTTTTAACTTACCATTGCAATCAGCGTATTGACTTTAAGGGCTTGCTTGAAGTGGTCCTGTAAGTAGCATCCTCTGTAGCTTAAGTGACTTGAAAGCGTTCATTGTAAAGTTGCTAAAAATTTGCCCACGGTTTGTTGCATTATTTCATGCATACATTTGAAGGACCTAGTATGAAACAATATCTGTTCACTGCCCAGAATGAAGCCTCTGCGTGTTTCGTTGACATTTTTATTTTGAAAATTGTTACCTGCATTAGTCACACATCCTAGTTTATGCAAAGGCTCACTTTTGTATTTCTTTGTGTACATTTTTTACTCAGCAAGTTGAGTGCAGCAACTTGAGTGCAGTATTAATTTCTGTGGCAATCAGAGCGACTTCTGAATGCTTGCAAGCTTGTCATACTTATCGTTTTTACTATTTCTTACCATGTCAACCACATTCTGTATCGACACGTTCAGGTGAACATGCGTGATGTTTGAGTTGAACCGCACCGGTCGAGCTCCCTTGTCGTACCTCGTGGGATCGAGTAAGTGCTGGAGCAGCCTTTTCTGTTGAGAAACTTGGGAGCCCTCATCTGGAAATTGCACAACTTTATGGTTACTCGCCTCTCTTTATGTATGTTATCCCGAGAAAAATTGCACTAATTCCTGCGCCATTTGCGCCAAAGCGCTTACCCTGCTACGTCCTGCTACATTTCAGCAAAATGTGTGAGAAATTTGAGCCAACATGGCGCCAAGAGTTCACTACACTTTATTAATAGAGAAATACTGAAACCAATAGTTGTGGCGTCCTGCCAGAAATTGTTACGGTATGATTGCAGGAATTTTTTTAACTTTCGGCTACCATGTAGATTAAGCTGTGATTTGATATGATCTTCGTATTCAACATGACTCGGTGCTCGGAAGTTGCGGGAGATTTCTAATTTTTCACGGTGCACACCAAGGGGCTTTATTCGTGGGCAGTTCGGGCGGTTAATTAGCTCCGTTGGGTGCTCTCCTCGCCGGGCACTCGTGCACTGCAGAGAAGCTACGCTCGCGGAGTATATAGACATTGCGATTTTGTGTATGTCGCTTCGTCACAGCGCAGCCTCAGACTAAGAAGTAAAACACACCTCCAGGATGAAATGATGCACGACCGCGCGTTGTGTATTAATAAGAAAAAAAAGAAAGTTAAAAAAAAGGAAATACGGTAAATGCTGATTGACAAGATAACGTACGCCAGTAAAATTTCCAAAAGAGAAACTGCAGTTCGTTTATATTATTACATAGACGGAAGAGGACGATTGAGGTTGGAAAGAGAAGAAGAGAACAACTCGATCTCTGAAACTGGGAGCAACAGCTCTATCCTATTCCAACCATGCGAGACTCTGACAAGTCGCGTGCATCATTAGCAGTCTTGTTGTTTTTTTTTTTTGTTTTTTTTTTGTTTTTTTAAATATAATTTGAAGGAAGGATGTTTGGGCATCAAGAAAGGAGGGTTAATGACTCACTTGATTAGGTGTGGCTGGGCTGTGCCATGGGTTAATTTTTACGTCTAAATAAACTTCAACTGTTCTAATGAAATTTACTTGAGCAGCAGAAGGAAAGCTTTTGGGAATACTGCACTGCATAGACGGGAAATTTTCAATTTCTCCGGGGGGGGGGGGGGGGGGGGGGGGGGGGGGCGACGGCGACGGCAACAAGCCAAGCCCCCCTCCCCCCCATACACCCCTTTTGTTTCCGTGCACCCAGAAATCCCCGAAGCGAGGGTTTATTTTTCTATTTTTCTTATTTGTACCTATACATTGCCAGTGGACATTACAGAGAGAAAAAAAAAAGGGGGGGGGGGGGGGGGCACAGAATTTGTTGCTCCTTGGCGAGTGCAAAACATTGCTCTTCCCGAGGAGCTCCTGGGAGGGGGCTCGATGTAGTCGGCGCCTATGCTGTCCTGAATTTGTTTTAAGGCGTATTTATTCTCCACAAACTCACTTCAAATCTCTACAGGTAAGATGTTCTTGTTGTGCAGAATTAAATTACCTTTGCTGTTTAGAATTATGTTTTAAGTTGCACAAGAGTGTGAAGGCCAGGGTCTTTTATTTGGATAGGCCAACGAGTGGATTCAATGAGGATTAAAGTGTGTGATTGTGTTCCAAAATGAATCTGGTTTGCCCAAAACATGCTTCAAAATGACTCGAACCAAATCGCATCACTGCGGCCGTCACATATCGTCGTGAAAAATAAATATCTCCAGAGGTAAATTAGTTCCTTATCCACGCCCGCAGGGTGTCTGGACAAAAAGAGTCCCCAGGATAGTCACCTTTCGCAAATATGATTTTAATATTAATTCGTCGCTTTCGTGCGTCTCACTAATATAACCGCGCACTTCATCAATGGTACTGGAATAAAGTTTTGACCAAAAGTCACAGATGCCTTACCTGATGCCGCCAAATAGATGCAGGAAAGTAACGCATATAAGTAGAGATTCCGACGACATTTCCTCGGTTCCATCTGGGAAGGGTTATTTCGCGAAAGAAACTCCCCATTTAGAAACTGCCTTCGTTCGCACAAAGCAGTACGCGCAGGTGGTAACGGTCAAGTTTCGGTTTCGGATATCAGATCAACTGCGCATGCTTGATTGGTACAGCTTTTTTTTTTTTTGTCCTTTTTATATTACTGTTTTTTAATTATTTTGTTTTAGATTGTCCTGCATGCTATATAAGTAAAAAAAAAATGAAGAAAAACAAAAAACAACACGTATTTTTAACGGGTGCTGGTGACGGTTGGCTAACTGCTGGTAACGGCGAATCTAAAAGTTCGTCGAGCAACATTGCTCCAGAGACCAAAAACAGAACTTTGATCAACTACTTGGGTCGCAAAGTACGCCAGCAGGCAGCGATGTAATGTACTCACCTTGCTTTTGTTAATTTAATGTAAAAAAAAAAATAAAAAATAAATACCCAGCCTTAGTAATTTAAACCAACCATGTATACACTATTACACGGCTTCTGGAAATACATCAGTCAGCGAGACGAGTATTACGTGCTCATATTGGGGCTTGACAACGCTGGCAAAACGGTGAGCACAACTTTTTCCGAACGAAAACACTCGGCATTATTGTGTTTGTTGAGTTTGCAGACCGAAATAGCTTATGCTTTTGACTATAATATGATTCCAGACGTACCTTGAACAGACGAAAACCAAGTTTTCAAGGGGCTACAAGGGTCTGAACCCACACAAGATCACCACGACAGTTGGCTTGAACAGTAAGGATTTGCGCAACAGCCGTTTGATGAAGTTAGAATAATAATTGTAATAATATAGAAGTTAGAAGTTGCGTTGAAATATTATTTGCATTCGTGCAGTCGGCAAGATCGACATCCAGGGAATACGACTCAATTTTTGGGATCTGGGCGGGCAAGACTCGCTTCAATCCCTCTGGGACAAAGTAAATAAAATCTGTTTCTCTTTTTGTGTGTGCGTGTGCGCGCGTGCATTTCTTTTTATACTGACCTTGTTTTGAGATTTACATCTGAATGTGGTCGCCCCTTTATCCTATTTGACTGGCGTTCGTCAGGAGCGCATGCTAAGGAAGCCAGTCAAATGCATGCTTTGTTATCTGAACATTGTATGACCAGTCCGTGGCGATTGCTTGTTGAATATTTTTCATTTCACCTTCATCTCTTCGATGTTGTGAAACAGATGTAGAGTGTAACTATCTAATATTGATCCCGTTTAAAGATTAAAAAAAAAAAACTATTTCAGTATTATGCTGAATCCCATGCTGTCATCTACGTTGTGGACTCCTCCAACGAAGCGAGGATAGAGGAATCAAAACAGGCATTTGGTATGTGGCCTCCATGGCCTACGACTGTTTCTTCCTCGTGAGACGGTCGGCTATGCCGGACTTTTGCTCGATTGTTGGCTTGCATGCTTGTATAACGCTTGTCGTCTGCGTCTTCTCGGGAAGGTACAAAAAAACATTTTCACATATTGAAGTGCACTTTTTGTAGTGAAATAGTGAAATAGCTACACTTGGGGACAACTTCCCTCACAAAGTAAGAAAAAGTGGAGCACGGGTGCCCATAGCTTTGACTGAATTCAGAAGTATGCCCCAAGTAGAGTCACTGTTCTGAAGGTACTACTCTAATATAATTCAATAGCATTTACGAAGCATCGAAATATTCTATGACCAAAAGCAAATTTTTCATAATCGAAATCCCATGAAACTCTATGTACAGTTCACGAGGAAACATTTGCACCCCACTAGGGGAATGCATGTTTCGTCTTCTCTTAAAACAAACATTCTGACCATGTCGCACACTTGTTTATTTTTTGCTTTTTTTCTCTCCAGAGAAAATGATAGGGAATGACGCCCTCCACGGCGTACCCGTGCTCATGGTGGCAAACAAGCAAGACATTGCTGTGAGTAGCGTCGACACTGTTGAAACCTCTGGCCCGTTCAGGAATGCGGAGCACACGCATCCCACAAAATTCGAAAGCACCCTATTGATGCAACGTGTTGAGTACGAAGGCAGCTGGTTCTACTGTTGACTGCACAAGTCTTGCTCAGCTATCCAGGCGGGTCTGGGCACCGCGGCCCGGAGTATTAGGAGCAAAAGCTTTGCGCTGCAACTTCGATCTGGTCGAGCATCATACCAGCGTGTGCGGTCATGTCTCATTTAGCAGTGGCACTGCATTGGCCAAACTTCTCATCTTGCGGCGACAATGGGCGACATGCATTGGGACTGTTTAACTCCCCGCCATCCCCCCCAAAAAAACCACGATGGAATTACTTTCTTAACTATCCCAAACAATTTTTTCTTAATGATTGTGGCCCTCGTTCCCCATCCCGTGGCAAGAGCACGCTTAAAGCGACGAGGTGCGCACGTCCCACGTAGCGCGCGAAACGGTTGAGACTACCGTGACCTCATTGACTACCGTTCTTCCAAACAGGGTTGCTACAGCGTTGCCGAAATCCGGCAGCATTTCCGGGAGAGCTCGCACCTGATTGGACGGCGCGACTGTCACTTGATTGGAGCGTCCGCGCTGCACGGGTGAGAACGTCTTAAGCCGTCTCGAGGCATGCGCACTTGAAAGCTATGCAGGTGTCTGCCAATTTTTTAATATCACATAGGTAGTCACCAAAGGGTGTGGCGATTTCTAAACATCTGGTCCTTCCTCTGCACCAGGGCTGGGCAGTGTCGTGAAAGTATCTGTTTCTCTGTATCGAGAAAGCAGTCGTTGTCCTCTATTACTTAGGTGGTTCACTGAGAGCAATAATGCTTTTTTTTTTGCAACATTTGTGATGGTAGTTGTGAATGGACGAATGGCTGGAGATTAAGGGAGGTGTATAAACTGGCACATAAAGAGGAACGCAAGCACAATCGTTTCCATTGGCCACGAACTGCACCCTCGGCACTTATCACCGTTTGGGGAACAGTAAATTATTTCTGTATGTATACACGTATCTGTATTCCGGTGCTTTCTTTTTTCGTCGGAAGTATCTAAGGGATATCCCATCACATAAAAGACAAATGTATCTGAATATTTGTATTCCGGAAATCTTTTTGGAGTAGTACATCTCTGCCCAGCCTTGCGACCAACGAGATTGCAACATCAGTCAATCAATCAGCCAATCTTTATTCATAACTCAATAAGAGCACCAAAGAATGAATCGCAAAGCAAAAAGCAGCAACATAACGAACCGTGCCTCACTTTTCTTAAGCTGCCGGCAACTTAATAGCAATGGGTTTCTAACCTTGAAGCATAACAGTTACTCGTGTTGGAGTTGGCCTTCACGAGATGTGCTTCGTTTTTCTGAGAAAAAAGCAGACACCACATTTCCTCGGTAGTAGCCTGCGGTATTTATGCCTGTATAAATTTCCCAATCATTATGAACAAGCAGACGACACGGTGGAGGCATTGTTTTTGCACAAATATTCTGTCTGCACCGCAACGGATGCCCAGAACCTGACACAAGTGACGTTTTCAAGAGAAGACCTTTTTGTGGGCTTACGGATGCGTTTTCTGGGTTTTTTCTCTTGATCTCCATGATTGTGGGCTGTGTGTCACCACCGTGCATTGCTGTTTTGACTATAGGGCAGTTTCACAAATCATCATTTCACTTCCGGCAAGCTGTGTTCCGCCACACTGACAAACAGCGTCCGCCACTTAGCTATTGGCGTCGTTCTTAGCATCGGTGAAACGCATGAGCGTGGGATGCGGCTCCGTCAAGGATAGAACTCGGTAAGAGACTGAAGCCGTATTTGGGTCGCGTAAACCCATACTCACTAAACTTTTTATCCCTTTTGGAGCCGAACCCGTCAGCATCTATGGGGCCTGTTCGGTCGTCGATGGGTCTTAGTCCTAACGAAAACTGGTATGCGAAAAAATAAAGTACCAGCCGATTCACTTTTATGTTCCAACAGCCCTGGCTCATATTATCAATCGTGATGTAAAAAAAAAAAAAGAAAGACAAGAAAACCTCAGGCGAGCAGAAAAACGCTGCTTACACGCATAGAAATACGTAGGCGAGAGTTCATCAACAGGGCGACCGGTGAAATCTTGAGCCGGATGTATGTCACGTGAAACCCCCCTATAGAAGAGTATCAAGAAAAAACTGCAAAAAAAAAAGAAAAAAAAATTGGAGATGAGGGAAGATAAACTTTGGTTACCAAAAAGGTCCCCTCTCATCTTTGCGGAAATGCGATAGTGCACTACACCACTGTCTATACTCCGTTTCACGATAACTTGGCAAGCTGTGGAGGCTGTGGCCCCATCGAGCCAGTAAAAGCGTCCACGTAACAATACTCCATGGTGGAGACGAGGGTGCCCTCCTTACTGTCACAGCAACAGCGTTTCTTTTAGTAGTGTTGTGGTCAGACTCTTCTGACTGCAACACTACATGACACAGAAAAAAGACAAAGACATGTTACTTCTCAACGATACTTAATACGGATTAACACTTTTCCTGAGAAAAACATGGTTTTTGGACGATGTTTAAACCATCGCAGCCATGTAATCCTCCGCTTCTGCTTAAAATATAGACTTCGCATTAGCACCCGCCACAGATTCGCGGGTAAATTGAGTGTATGGTTGTTCCTGAAGAGCTCGCTACTCTAGCAGACGACAATGTTGCAACAGTGGACGTTCGTTTGAAGTTGGTTGGTTTCGCTGCAGACGACTCTTGACCAGCAGGCGACAGCCGGTTCCTCCGGACCGCGTATCAGAGGCAGCGACACTAACGCTCCCGTGACATGGTGTCACGTGCCTCACTCCAATGCTCTTATTGGGTTGCGGATGCCATAGCCTTCACTGTTCGCCAAGTTATTTTGAAACGAAGTATAGACCGGGCAACTTCAAACGAACGAATGGGGGTCGTTGCAGTGAAGGCATCAACGAAGGCATCGAGTGGATCACCCAGTGCGTGAAGCGGAACATCCTGCGGCCGGCACGCAACAGCGAGTCTTTGTGACGTCCGCGACCCCGTCGAGCTCCTCCATTTATATCTCCGTGGACTTGACGCCACGCGACCCGTGAAGGTGGCGCACAACCGCACGACTGCGTTCCACCACGAGAGCCGATCCTGGACGGCGTTCTGTGGCTGCTGCGTGTGCAATGTCGTTCACGACGATGTCGCGGTGGCAGCGTCGCCTCATCTCTAGCTTCGACGTCGCTCAATAAAGTGCTGCAACAAGCTCTGTACGCTGGTTACTTGCTTTTTAACTGCTTGACTGCTATCGATGAGTCTTGCTTGTCTCTTGGTTTTTTGGGCGCTTGTTAGGTGCAGTTTGTGGCTGTTTTACAGTTATAGCTGTTGTGGGCTTTCTCCACTACTGGGAATGACGTCTGTTGATGTTGTTGTGTCGCGAACCTCCCGAAGTTCGAGTTTGAAAGGTTTTTCAAATTTCAAACCTCGCTAAGGTTCGAATTTGAATAATTAAAAAATGTCAAGGTTTTTAAAAGTTTGAACTCAAAGATTTCAAATATTTTGACAGATTGTTCGAAAACTTGAAACATTCTGAATTTCTTCAACTCTTTCCTTACCACGCCTATAGGCCGTCGATCACCAGTGATCAATGGTTTTCAAGCGCTGTCAAGAAATTAAATTTTTAGTGTAAAGGATTATGTTCCACTATCTCGTGGATAGCCAAAAAAACTCTAGTTTCGGTTTCAACGTTGTTTGGAGGTTTATCACAAGCTGGTAGGTTGTCAAAAATAGTCTTGGGAGCAGTGGTGGCACTTGTTTAACATGACTTAACTGCTTGCATCACTCACTCTTTGTAACGAAAATGACATTATTTGTGTAATTCAACTATATTGTGGCATATTTTTTAGATCTCAAGAGCTCTGGGCACACTTTAAATTATGTTATAGGCGTCGCTTAACAAATGTGTGTCGGTAAGCATCACTACAATTTTCAATGCTGTCCTCAGCCAACGTGCACTTTTTTTGTTCCCAGCAAGGCAGATGAAAATGCTAAATATGAAGGAACTGTAATAATGTTGACTGTAATTAAGGCTATGACAAAACCAACATAGAACACAAAGAAAGCATTCTGCTGGGGATTTGAAGCGAACTATCTGCATTTCACCAATATAAGCATTCCTTTGCTGAAAAGCATGCGTGTTACGGAGGCCAACTCTCCGACGAACTAAAAATAGATGTTAGTTACAGTATACTTTCAGAATAGCCGTGGGTGTGGGGCACATTTTGTAGATTCTGAATTTTTATTTGTCGTTTAATTTGACATAGCTGAAGAAGTTTCGGTGTTTTTATGCCTTCCGTACATGCATTGTATTTCAAAGAAATAAAATTTTAACATCCTTTTCCTACATTATACCTAACCTGTTTCTTTTGAAAGAACTAATTGGCCACATTGTGAGGTGTCATACTGCTCCACACGCAAGTTAGTTAGGAAAATAAAAGCATTTGCACAGATCCCTTGAAAATTTCTACTTTTCCCGTGATCAGGAAACAGTTGAGATTAAGTTAGAAAAATCAGATTTCGATTTTTTCGAGGTACAAGTTCGAAAGTTTAGATTAGTTTGAAGCCTGAATTTCACGAACGGAGATAAAAATCTGCTGTTTCAAACTGTCTTCACAAAATCATCTAAAAAAATCACAAAAAAATTTCTTACTGAAAATGTGGCCCTTTTTTTAATGCCGTGAATATATACTCCTTCCTTCTCAGTGCTGTGGTACTGATGGTACTACCTGTATTGCTCGTTATTTGTTGTAACTTGTGAATAAAGCATTGAACTGGATGAGCAATTCATCGAGAAGCCCTCTGACAGTCAAATGAACATACTTACTACTTTGCAGACAACTAGTCCATTGCAACTCAAGAAGGTAGGGCGAGGGCAAGACGGGCCGGGGAGGAGGAAGCAGACAGCATGCTCAAGAGAGGAGGTTTCCCCCTCTCTTGAGCATGCTTCCTCCTCCCCGGCCCATCTTGCCCTCGCCCTACCTTCTTGAGTTGCAACGGACTATAGCAGCAATCTGATCAAACATTGCCTAAATGCAGTGCTGACATAAGACAGCTAAATATACAGGACAATGCATGCACATAAAAGTAGCCAGGCTTCCCAAAAAACTTTAGTTGCTCTGGGCGTGCCATTCTATGTTATTGCTCAATGAAAGAAGTCCTATTTCCAACCCCGATATTTTATCCTTTCTAGTATTTGTATTCGTAAAAATAGACAAATGACCATTTTTTTTCTGAAAGCTTTTGTTTCTTTTCTTTGTTCCGGAGCGCATGAAAGTGTGTCTCCCAGCACGAGCTCTTGTATTGACAGTGCCACAAGGGCATTTTGTTATCGGCCGTTGCAACTCAAGAAGATGGGACGAGGGAAAGGAAGTTTGGGGAGGAGGAAGCAGGCAGAACGCTAGAGAGAGGAGGTTTCCCCCTCTCTCCTCCAGCGTTCCGTCTGCTTCCTCCTCCCTGGCCTTCCTTTCCCTCGCTCCATCTTCTTGAGTTGCGACGGACTATAGTTATAGCAATTGTTGATGTTGTACTTGGCATTGTAGGACGTCCATCGTCGATGTTGCCAAATGCTTGAAAAGTTTGAAAACATAATAGCGCTTCAAGCTTCGAGACGGACGAGAGTAGGAACGGGACGACACAATGGGCTATTGCGCATTGTGTCATCTCGTCGAAGTGTTCTTCCAGTTTAAGCACTTTTTTTAGCAGATCTGAGCCACTTGAGAATGCCTTATTGATGACCAATTATGAGCCAAAACTCTAGTATGTGCATTATTGTTTACAAGGTCTCGAGATCAAAGTCCGAGGACCCCTGCTGTAGTCCTCGTCAATAAAGGTCACGAGGGGAATTCTTGCCACTTGCAAGGCACAGCTCTCGCAAGGCTGGCTGGCTAAGAGCGCACTAGAAAGAAAAACAAAATCGACTCTCCTTAAACAGGGCTTTTTTTGTTTGTTTATTCTCTTTGCTTTAGACAAGGTACAGTACACACAAACTGGGAGTATTCTTTTTGAAGACACATACAAATCAGAAGATCGGCATCTGGCGTAACAAAGCATGCAGCGACTGATCACATCGACCTGCTCCTTTCGGTAGGGGTAGACCCGGGCTAAACGCGACTGCTGATTGGGCAGTCCTGCCTGATACAAGCCCCACGTTGCCAGCACCAGGAACCGCCGCCCAAACCCGTCTGGGTGTCTGTCAAAGTTGTTAGGCAACACTACGCTACCGCAACGCCGAGAAATTGATCCCGTACGATTTGCGGTCGGCAAACATTCTGGGGGCAGTGCGCAAAGACAGCCAGGCAGAATCGACACAAAACTTGGCAGAGAATGTCGAAAATCGTGAGCGATTTGCGGCAATTACGACGTGATGGCGGCCCTTAAAGCCCAACGTTGCCAACTGGTGCGTGAAAAAGTAGGGACAAGATAAAGCAGGTTTACATCCAGGATGCAGCAGTTTGAACGTTTTGGGGTATCGAATTGATGCACGGCACAGATGGAAACACTTGCAGATAGCATGTGACCGGAACAAGGTGGATTGAGACATCCATTTTCTTCCCCTCCCCCCATCCTCCCTCCTTTTATTATATAAAAGTTTTTTGTACCACTATAAAAAGATGAGAAAAGCTTAGAATCCTCCGCTTGGTTGTTTTAGCAGCTCAGGATTTGGTGGGACGTCGTCAGGTTCGACATCTTGGGGTGCTTTCCCGCGATTGCGTCGGCCGTTTTGTGTTTGACACATTTGGCAAGTTTCGCGGCCATTTCGCAGTTTCAAATGTTGGGACGGTTCGTTTCGCAGTTTCTTATAATTGGGGGTTCGAGAGCGATGCTAACCCTTTTATGATCACGGCATGACAAATGCTTCGTAAGTAGGACCATTGCAAGCAAATACAGCTCATACTGTTGTGGCATGCCTTCGGTAAGTGACAAAAAAAAAAATAACATGACTAGTTACAACAACAGGGGCCGGTTAAATATGTACTACTAGTTCGCACCCCCAGTTGGCGTGCCTGTAAAAACCATTAAATCAGCTGCGACTACTCTTCACCTTTCATACAAATGGGATCTGTAGGTTCAAAAGAACATTTGGGGTCACAGCCACAGTGCTGTCTGTCACTTTTAATTTTAAGCACAAAGGCCCGACCAAGACCCAAGGGTGTCTAGCGAAACATTGTTATGTGTTGCGAATTCTAGGGTGGAGCTCTAAGCCTCGTGTAAAAATGGCCTCCCTTTTTCTCATGCGGTTACGCTCGCCGCTTCCCCTCGGTGGTCTTTTTCCTTTCTCCAAACCATTTACATGTGAAATTGCCACACTTCAAAACATGCCTTCAAAGAGCACCCATAACATTGGTTGTCGACTTTGTCACAATTCCTTTCGTATGGTGGAATAGCAAAGCTACTGGCTCCATTTTAACAACATACTTGCTTCCGGTACCTAATCAACAAAGGTAGCAATGATAATAAAAATGTAATTTCATTTTCTGCCTAAATATTGTGACGAGCCAGAGTCATTCCCTTTCTGTAAACAGACGGGGGAGTCAATCTTCCGCTTCTTCCTTGCAATTCCATCCTCGAAAGAATTAAAACGAAAAAAGAGACAATACAATCGGAGGAAAACACGCAGAGAAGCGGAAAGTACAGGAGTGCTGTCGCAGCCACTGACCAGTCAGTCTCTTTTCCACACAATCCAACAACAACAACATTCTCTTTCAGAACTCTTGTCAATCGCGCACAAATCGCGTCGCCAGCTCCCACACGGCGGGTCACCCTCCCCCTCCCCTCCCCCCCAAATCCAGCGTCGAAAAGCCCCCTCTCCGCCCCCTCTTTACTCTCCCCCTCAAAAAAAAAAAAAGAAAGATAAACCCAGTTTTTCCAACATTCACGTTTTTTTTTAAAAGTGAAATCTGGGTCGTTACAGTGCAGCTTAGGTTCAGAAGAACAGTCAAGGGAACGTGGCTGAAGAACAACAACGAGCGGCAACAACAACTTCGAGGTGTATGTACATCGTGTTTTTAGTTTTTTTTTCTTCTTCGTCTTCTTCGACTGTGTTTTATTTTAGGGAAACGGGGGAGTGGTGGTGGTGGGGGTGGTGTGCAAGGGATAGGGGAGAGGGGGAGCGAAAAAAAAATAAAATGAAGGGAGGGTGGGGCAAAAACGAAACAAACTAGGGCGGCTGTCCGGGTCATGGCACTTTGTCGTTTTTCATGAGCAGCTTGACGTAATTACACTGTACAGGCTTGGACACTGAGAGCACGCGGAGGGCCTCTTCGATCGGGAACCACTTCCGCTTGCGTCCTGCGGCGAATGAATACGAGATGGGACACGGTCAGATGTGGCTCAGCATGTATGCTGACCTGCCGTTTTGTGTAGCACAGCAGCGTCGCCCCTCAAAGCGGAGCAGAGCATGGCAGTGCCATCATTTTAAATGAGCAGCATTCATGGGGACAGTCTATAGAACTTTCGTGACAGAGGGCTGCCTGTGAATGATGAGAAGACTTCTCCGCAGAGCTTTGGACCAAAACTGGTCGTACGGTGAAGAGTGCCAACATCCTCCACCAATGAAAGTGTCGGCACAATAAAAAGGAATGCAATACTTTGCTACGCCATAGAGAAGCTCTGTTTAGCCACTGTGCCAATGGCAAAACTTGGTTTCATGGGGTATGAGGCCACAATTTGTGCCATGGAACAGTTGTGAAATGGAAGATTTGTCCTACTGTGTGGATATCAAACTCACAACTGAACCTTTTAGGGTCGATATGATCAGGAGTGACCTTTCGTGGCAGATTGGCAAAAGTTGTGGGTGCGACACATAACAGTCCGACATGTGCAAGGAAGGATCACATAAACCTGCAGAGCGTCTGGCTAAATGTGAACCAGCCAATTGAAAAATATTAGTATTTAACTTGCATGCCTTGTTTTTGCAATTGGTTGTTTTCATTGGTGCAAATGGGCACTTATATTGTAAGCAAAACCAAGTTTGAGGACAACTGCTGTTCACTGCTGCTGATCACCTTCACATGAACGCCAAGCCTGAAATGCAAATTTGCCACGGCACAAGCAAGCTGCCGGCACGCCGGCTCAGCCATATTCCTGGAATGGTAAACTTTGTGCAAAGCAACTTATTTGCTTGGTTAGTTACTGACGTTTTAATCGCTACTATTAATGTTTTCCTCCGACGCCTTTTAGATGGAGATTTTTCTGAGCATCCAAATTGTTTCCGAGTGTAATAATGGTCAGGCCTTTGCTGAGACAGCTTGAGCACAGCTAGCACTTGAAATCAAAAACGCGAGTTGCACAGGGTAACATCGCTCGAGGTCACCCTAAATAGTTTGGGAAAGTTCGCTAGTACTTTGAGTTCAAATGTTGTTTCTGCTACCTCATGCACCAGTCTCGTTCCACAAACCGCAACAAATGTTTTCTATGCGCTTTGTAGGATGGTAGACATACATGAAGTTCTCACCTATGCTCTTCGAGTCCTCCCACTCTTCAAGCTCCTCCGTGACTTCCAAAATAAATACCATTGTGCGGTGTTTCCTCTCGAGGTTCTAGACGAGGAGAAGTGAAAAAAAAAAAAACAACGACACACCATTGTCAAAATGTGTTCAATGCACCTGGCAGAAGTTTCTCCTCGGTGCTTTCCAAACAAAAAAGAACATACACAAGCTGCTGAACCACTCCACGATAAGCATATAGTAAATATGATCAAGTTCACGTTTAGTAGAATCGGCTGAAGGGACACCTCTGACATCACTGCTTCAACTACCAGTAGTGTTGTTTATGTTTTTTTCGTGAGGCACTATAAAAGACATTCTAAGGTGCCTACCTAAATACTAGGGGACTGGACAGCCGACCCCAGCTTGCCACGCTATGACCCCAGCCTGCCACGCTATGACCTCTGGATATGTGACACCGATCCACAGATGTCTTACCAAAGCCAAATGCAGACTCTGCATTTTACTTTGCAGCAATAATGCCTTCTGTGCCTCCTCTTCTAGTACGCAGATTGAATCTTATTATTCCGATCGGTGCTCCATCACCACATGGCTCACAAGTACCGTATTCACTCGCATAATGAACACACTTTTTTTCCCGAAAAATTTACACATTGGGTTCATTATGCGGCGTAAAATTTCTGCATTTGCACACTTTGTACAAATGTCATATTAAGTGCCAATATGATACGAGAAGGTACTGTGGCACGTCTCCACTGATGGAGGCGCACCCACGGCTGGTCGGGGGCGCACCACATCAAACATGCTTTATAAATTGCAAACCTTTTTAGGTCGTTTTCGGCGTGCCTCTTGCCGAAGGAAAAGCGCCCCACGAAGCTCAGTCAGCACAGAGAGCTACGGGACCGTTCTTAAGCCTAACCACTTTCACGATTTCACTGTCCGAAAGCGGGCCAAAGACGATGGCATGTTTGTTGACATCAATGCATCCGATAGGTAAAGGATGTCTGGGGCTGGGCAATTCCTGGACCCAAGCTTCATCAAGTGTGCGCGCCGCTAAGTTTCATAGTTGACCACTTCCGCAACTACGCCACTATGCACTTGCAACCATTACGAGAGTGGCTTGGATTGACTTGGCCTGACCGCTTGGCGACAAAAGAAAACTGGCTTGGTGGCTAGCTAAATTGGATGCCATTCGAGATTCGCGGAGCCGAAAATTGGAGAAACATTCATTATGCGAGCAAGAAAAAAAAAAAGAAGTCAAAATATTGGTACCTGTTGTAAGGGGTGTGCATTCATTATGCGAGTAAATACGGTATCAAAGGATGTTTTCCAACCAATCAGAGTAGTCTGTGAGAATACTCAACTAGACTATATTTCCTGTTGCTACAGACCCAACTCTCACGACTGCTCTGGGAACAGTAGCCACAGAGTTGCCATGACATAAAATGGCAGTAAAACGGCTAAGTGGGCTAGTTGGTACATGTGTAATTATGACCATGAAAATGACCATGACCAAAAGCAGAATTTGTGGCCAACCGATGGAATCCGACCTGACACGAGTGAATGCTGTGTACGTGAATGCTTTCTTCCAATGACAGCAAGCGATTATGTAAAGACACCGACTGCCATTTCAACGTCCGTCACAAAAACAACTAGTCGAAGTTCCCCGGCAGGAGTTGCATAAAACATACTGACACCACCAATAAAAGACAAAACTTATTTCAAGAGGTTTTCACCATAGTCACAAGTTGCACAGAAAGCTGTCAAGGGTGAAAATGATAATTGATTCTCCCGAAGAGTGTGCCATCCTTCAAACGCTACAAGCTACAAGAGACTTGCCCGAAGCAGAGTTCCACAAATGAGTCGATTTACAAACGCCGCTAACGACGACCATACTGCCTGGAACACAGCTCCGGTTGTTGTGCTTATGGTATTCCTATTTTGTTTTACGGAATTTCAACCTCTTGACAATCCAAGTGAGTCTTGTATTGAGGTACAGCGACACCACACTCTCTTTCATGACAACTTGGCGAACTGCGGAGGCTACGGCCCCTGCGACCCAATAAGAGCGTCGGAGCGAGGCACGTGATATTACGTCACGGGAGCATGCGTGTCACTCCATCAAATGGCCTGGAGAAACCGGCTGCCGACTGCTGGTCACGAGTTGTCTGTTGCTAAACCAACAACTTCGGATGAGTGCCCACCACCGCAACGTTGCTGTCCACTAGAGTAGCGCTCGTCGGGAACAGTTAGTGAGACAACCATACGGTCAATTTCCCTGCGTATCTTTGGTGGGTGCTAATACCAGGTCGCAGTGCAATGTCTCGGGTGGAAGCGGTTGATTACGTGGCTGCGATTGCCAACAGCCATGGCACTACAAGGAGAAAAAATTGTGAGTGGATACGGATATGGTATCACTTTTTTCAGTTTCAATGTGATTGAAACTCACATAGTTGTTAATATTTTTATTCCTTTTTTTTAATATATTTTCTTGACAAAAATTGAGTAGGGCGAGTTTAGTTGCCTTTAAAAGAAAGAGGAGCCTAGAGCTACTTCATGTCACAGATGGCACCGTTGCTGTGGCGGTAACGAGGCCTCAGTGTCCTCGATCTGCAGTGTTATCACGTGCCTTTTTCCAAAGCTCTTATTGGGTCATGGGGGCCGCATGCTCCACTGTTCACGAACAGGCCTGGTCGCCTGTTCAGCGACCAGGCACCTGTTCAGCCGGCCTGCACTGCCTACTAAGCCAACGGAAACTGTCAGCCATAGGTCTGGACTCTGCAAAGCCAGCAGTGGCCACGCCCACTCTCTTGCCAGTTTAGACTGTGCATGAAACGAACCTGCCGTAAAATACCACGAAAGCGCCCGCAAATCGGGCACCTAATGCAAACTATACGTTAGGTGCCCGATTTGACCAGACAAGCACTCGTGTCCTGGTTAACCCAGTTTTCAGTGAAAGCGGGGTGGGCCCTCTTCCGGTATTCTATAGTAGGTGGTCTACATAGTTCAACTGAGAGAAAGGAAAACCCACTGTTCGACCCACATTAATAAACCAAGAATCGCAAACAGCTGCAACTCCACACGAATGCGACGCCAACAGCGGCGCCAAAATGGGATTAAGTTTTAGAACCCAATGTTACTCAAATCAAAAGGTAAAGCGGAAAAAACATGATTTTTTATGAGCTGACGTCCACTTAGGTCCAAGGAACGTCGACCAAGAATTGGAATTGCAGAAACCAAAGGCATTTATAAGAAAAAAAAAAAAACTATTTTTTTTTTCTTGCTGACAAGTTTGTGTGTTGCCATTTCTTGGCCCGACAAATGTTACGCCCTAGTAACCAGCGCGACACTTCCACGACATTGTCGGGTGGACATTGAGATACCACATGTGGGGACGTAATGAACACACCGGTGCGACGCCAGAGGGAGGGGAAAGGGGCACGAGGCAAAGGGTCACCTCGAAGGTCCCGAGACAGCGGCCCAGGCGTCCCCGGACCCCACCCTCCTCCATGACCTCGCGCATGGCCGCCGTGCTTGGCTCCTCGTTTGGTTCCAGGCCGCCCCCGGGCACGATCCACCGGTCGGGGGCGCTGCTGCTCGACACCAGCAGGATCTGAAACCGGCCGTTGTCAGAACCTTCCGAAACGAAGCAATGAGGGTCACCAAAGAGGATTCTGCGATCGTCTGTTCTTGGTCATAACGGATTCTACTGACCCTAAACATCCTAAAAATTAAAAAAAGTACAACCACGCGACGCCAATTTCTTGTTTAGAAACGTGATGAAAGGTCGGAATACACGCCTTTCACAGCGAATTTTTCTGATCAGGAAAGGCGGGGCACACCCCAGTGGCGGTGTCAGCGAGGTCACGATGGACACTCGTGGGCCAATAGACGCTTTGCAAAAGTCCCAAAAGCCCGCACGCGCCGCGCGACGAATAATGGGAGTCCTCGGTACGCCCCTCGTCCCGCTACCACGTGACCACGTGGCATACGCGAGCGGGTGCAGATTACCACGGAAACACCTTTTGAGCAGCCGAGTCGGGCGAGTGACGAGCCAACCGCTGCCCCTTCCTCATCCCCCTCCTTTGTACCAGCTCTGTCGTCTGCTGCACCAACGCTTTGTTGAACCTGGTCGAAACCTGCCACAGTTGCGGTGCAAATGAAATGGATTAGGCGACACTTCAATACGTGAAGGTAAGTTACGACGAATAACGTATTAAAATAAGTTCACCTGTCACGATGCCTTTACACTGCCACAGATACGGTACGCCGCCAACGACATACAACTCGGCGGGATGGCGGATGGCTGCAACGGCTGCTAACGGTAACTGCCGGAACGCGCGCACAGTCGCGGAGGCACAACGAGAAAGCACATGATCTGTACTGAGGGTTCCCGAAATTCCTGGCTGTCGTGGCGCTGTACGTTTTGCAAAAGGTCTATTGCAAGTCGCCTCTCTCAGAGAGGTGGCTTGCGATTGGCCGACGAGTGCCCGTCATCTCCGCGCTGACACTGCTGCTAGGGTATGTATTTTTCTGCCTTTCCTGAGCGGAAAAATCCGCTCAAAAAGGGGTGTCACATTTTTAAAAAAATTATTCGGCGTCGCGCGACTGTAATTTTTGAATTTTTAGGATGCTTAGGACCTGTAGAATCAGTTATGACCAAGAACAAACAATCGCAAAATTCTTTTTAGTGCACATTTAATGTTGTGGGCTTGCTCAAAAACCGGCCAGAAATATCGGCGCCCGCACATGGCGTTCAACTCTTCATCGAGGGTGGATTTTCGTGGTATTTTACCTCGCGTACTTTCAAGGCAGAGCTTCCTTCGTGCGAAAAACGAGTCCAATACCTTTGCCACAATCAACGGCAGACGACAATGCAGACGACCGAGTTAGCGGGGGTTGTGCATGTGGTACCACCTTGTGATAGGTGCAGCAAGCGGACGACGCACTCTGGTCAAAAGAAAACGACGCTGTCATCTGCTTTTATACTCGTGCCGTGTTTATAAAAGTTTGTGGGCACAAGCTGGTCTCATTAAACATTTACAAAAAGTTCTACATTTGTCAGACAATTTCCATCTGCGACAATATAGTTGTCGCGACACAGCACGGAGCATCCCACAACGCATTGAAACATGCCTGCAGTGAGCAATCTACGATATCAGTTATACACTGCTTTGTTGTTTTGTACTGGATGTGAAATTTGAGTCTTAACCGTTCATGTAACTGGGAAGAAAAACTGTTACAAGTTGTTGCATCGCACCTCGTATAACTCTTGCTTATCGCTGTTTGTGGGAATGCGGAGGCAGCATGTGCAGAATGCGGGAGCGCATATCAAGTGCATAAATCGTTATCTACAGGTGCATGATAGCAACACAAAAATGTTCTCACTCTCCGCCAAGGGAAACATCACTCGAAATTGTTGGTAAAGCACAAAAGTACTTAATTAAACATAAAGTTGCGTGAATGCTTGCAGAGGTCTCATACCAGTATTGAGCAGATCAATTCCAATAGCATGAAACTGAACTTCCCCCAGATTGCAAGCGAACTGTAGGGATAAACACTTCAGGGACCCAAAAATGTCTCCCAACAATTCCCTCGACGCAAATTAAACCAAAACTGGAGTAGAAAAAGTAAAAAAATCAAGTCGAAGGGACAGAAAAAACAGACAAATAGGCAACATATTAATTGAGAAGTCTGTCTTTTGTCTGCCTTTTCCACTTTTGACAAACCTCACTTTCCTCCACAGTCTCGAGTTAGCTTTCATTGTGGCAAACTTTCACCAGCGCACCTGCACTGACAACCGCTTTCTGTCATATTTTCGTTTTTCCACTTTTGTTGCCACTTTCGTACCATGAAGCAGAGCTTGAGATAACAAAATCGGCAAGCCCCTGAATTTTATCTCACGGGGCTTTTTCGAAGCCACGCTAATAAAGGAACAAAGAAGAGGCATAAGCCAGTACACACCCCCACCTTTGTCGAACGCGAATATATTTGCCGCCATCGGGGAAAAAATAAGTTCAAGGACCCAAGATAACTGCCTGTTTGTGCGTCACAGAGCCACTGATAGCACCTTTGCAGATAAAACCTGCGTCATAGGAAGCTTCTCACGGACGGATCCGGGAGGGGTGTGTTTCACAGTACGATGTGGCTATGCAAGGTCGAGCAATGCCTGCTGACACTGCATATGTGGTGCCATGCAGGCATGAGCTGCAACCTTCTACTGTTATACAGCATGTAAACTAATGCTTATAAGGCACTTTAAATGGCCCGCAAAAATCTGTTTCTGAACTCTTATCACGCTGCGACTTACTGTGGACGTGCAAGCAGGGACCGGAAGTTCACAGCGATAAAAATAATTGTACCAAATTTGAAGAAAAAAAAATTAAAATTGAAACTAACATACAGTAAAACCTCGTTATAACAAAACGGGATATAACAAACTAATGGATATAACAAAGCAATCATAATTCCCCTTGCTTGCTAATAGTGGGAAGAAATGGACATTGGCTATAACAAACTAATGGTTATAACGAAATAATTACGACCACTCCTTCAACTTTGTTATAACGAGGTTTTACTGTACTTTATGTGGTACATTGCCCTTTTCTCCTCTTTCTCAGACGTCTACTGAAGTTGACAAAGAGGTCACTCCAGCACCACCTACTCAGAGATTGTCAACAATGTGCCCCAGAAACTTCGGACAGAAAAACAACACATTCCCTCGGCAACATGACACCCCGTCACGCTACGCTCCGGTTCCTGCACAATGGAAACGATCAAGGTAGACGACGTAAATTTGTTTCCTGTGAGGGAAGCCTGCCAAGTGGGCAAGCGTCCAATGCACCACAGGTCCACGTCTTAGAGGAAGCTGGCCAGTGGTAGCTCAGAAAGCTCGAGCACGGACTTGTATGTCAATGTCAGTCAGTTCGTGCATTTGCAACAGCCTTGGGTTTTTCGTCGAGCACATATCGAACCGACGGCCACATATATAAAAGCGGGAGAGGCAGGCGGAGTATCTGCAGTAACGGCAACTTCCTGATGACACATGTCATCCGTGATAATCACATAAAATGTTCCAGGTTCCAAGCTAAGACCTCCTTCTGGGCAAAGCTCTGATAGCCACATTTGTTGACCAGTGTATGATTCTGGATTATTGAAAGCGTACTCTTATGAAGAGTGTGTCTGGGAGGTCAGCAGATTTATCTAGACGATCCCAACCCTGACTACCTACTCCTCTTGAAATCCATAGACTTAAATTTTCCATCAATTTAAGTTACCTTCTCGATACTCAAACAAACTCAACAGAGCAGCTTGGTTAAATTCAACTCGGAGCGTGAAACAACTCGGGGTCGTGCCACTACATGCTCAGTGAACGACAAAAAAATTGCATTGAAAAAAAGAAAAAAAATCTTTTAATGTTAAAAGAGACTGCTCGCCCCACCAAATAGGGTGAAAAAAAAAAGTGTGTGATGGCTTGGCTACATTGACTGGTCTACCTAAGAGATGTGGACACTTTTTTAGGCTACAACCTCGGTGAAATTTTCTGGTGATGCAACTCGTTCAAACGAATGAACCTCAAGTGCAGGGAATAAGAGAAGAGAGAAAGACTGAGCCTCTGCACTTGTCTGCCATACCACTATCAATGCCGTTTGTTGTGTAAGCCAGCTATTGCAGTCTGGGGCATGCACGGACATGTGCCTGCCTACACTGTCACAGAACAATTGCTGATCTGTACACAGATATGCAGCAGACAGCAACTGTTGTAAAGCAATGATTGTAATGTCCAGGTACCCCCCAACTACCTGTTATAAAACTCTGAAAAACATGACCGGGAAACTGGATGCTTCAAGCTTATCGTTCTCGGCTCGCTTAGAAGGCATCTAATATAATAATCACGATATTCCGAAGGTAGACACAACGCCAAAAATTGCTTCACCGGGGCGGGGATAGTGGGGTTCGGGAGATTTGTAGAATGGGGTAGGCAAAACGAGTTTTTGACAATGTTAGTGACTGTTCCTAACCCAACCTAACCTAACCATTGACTGTTCCTAACAAAACCTAAACCTAAACAATTGATCACCAATTTTGCCTGGGAACAGTATAATATGATTGCTCATATGTATAACAAATCCATCACAGAGGTGAAGGCGGAAAAGTTTTTTACTATTGCCTTAGTAAACATTTTTTGCAATAAACCTAAAAAAGTTCTGGGATGTAATTAATTCAAGAACTTCTAAACCTGTACAACTAATGAATGATGATCGGTTGCCATTATCGGATGAACAAAGCGTCAACGGTCTTAACAATTTTCTCCTCAGTCTTTACAACAGGTGACCAGAGTAGCATGCCTCACACAGGGGTGGATCAAGAACTCCGTTTTGGGGAAGGGACGGAAAATTTGTAAGGATGCTATTCTCCCATTCTTTTGTGTGCACCGGGGGGTCCACCCACGTCAAATTGTCCTCCGAGAAGAGGGGAGGGGGTTCGACTTTGTTTGGGGGGGGGGGGGGGGGGGCCGCCCCCGTCACCCCCCCTCTTGGATATGCCACTGGCCTCACCCAGAGTCATATATTGGGAGAGTTTGGCCAGTGGGTGTGGCAACGAAGGTGCCGGAGAGGGGAAAAGTGAAGGAAAGGGAGGAGAGCGCCAAAGGAGCGAGAAAGAAAGAAGGGACCAAAGAGAAGACGACCGCCATTTTGATGCAATGATGTCAGCACTGAGCACTGTTGAGGCTATGCGTCATCTGCTATGGGCTTATTTCTTTTTTGCCTGAATAAAAGTTTGCATTGAAACGCGGAGAAACTTTGTTCGTTAGCTTTTTAGGCCACTGAAGAACAGCACTACATAATTTTCTTGCCAGGGCCTGCCAAATAAAAGGAAAGAACCGAAATTTGGATGTCGATCCCATGCATTCCGCCGGTCGAATGAATGAAAATAGCGGCCCTTCCCGCTCAGCTGGGAGCAGCCGGGAGTTCACTCGCATATGCTCACGCCTCTTGCTCTTTGCCGCGGGCTGATTGGCTCACTCGGGAGGGTGGCGTTACGGCGGCAAGATGATAGACTGGCCAAACTCTCCCCATATACGGCTCAGGCCTCACCTTGCATCACCCTCCCGTGGCTGCCACTGAAATCACTTATTCAGGCATCATAAGCTCAATAGAAAGGTTACAGCTCTCTTCCAGCTCTGGGGATGACAAAATTAACTCCAAATTACTGAGAAACACCAAATCACACAAAGCCCATTTTTGTTAATTATATTCCAGCAATCGCTGTCTTCTGGTGAACTCCCTACAGATTGTAAAATTGGCAGAGTGTACCCTATACACAAATCAGGCAATCAATCTTCACCATGAAACTATCGCTCCAAATCTTTCTTGAACATATGATATATTCAAATGTTTTGAAGCATTAGTGAACAAAAGGTTAGTGCGCGAACGAGCTGGTGGTGGTTAAACATTTGACTAAAAACCCCGAGACTGGGACGAGAAGGGACGGACAACCACAAAGTCTTAATACTTTGTGTTTGTCCGTCCCTTCTCGTCCCAGCCTCGGGGTTTTTAGTCTAATGTTTAAGAAGCATCTTGAAAATAACCACATCCTTTTTTCAAACCAGCGTGGGTTCAGACAATTGTTTTCTTGCGAAACACAACTAGTCCAACTTGTTCATGAAATACACAGCAACAACGATAACATACAGACTGACACCATACCCATTGATTTTTTTCAAGCATTTGATAAGGTATCCCATCGTTTACTCATGTTCAAACTGAATCAACTTCACATAATTCCATCTGTAACATCATGAATCAGACAATTTTTAAGCAATCATACTTAGCATACTACTTGTCATCTTATCCTCCTGTATAACGTCCTGTATTTGACTTTTTGCTGGCTGTGTAATTTACCGATCTGTATGTAACCTGGAAGATAACCTAACCCTGCAAGCCGACCTTAACCTATAATAGTCGACTGGCGTAATAAGTCGAAACTAATAAACTCTTCTAAAATGCAACTCGTTTCCCTCATGCGTGCCCCTAGTCCTTTCTCTTTTTATTACACGATGTGCAGCCAGGCAATTACCAAGCCATGTAATGTGCATCTTACAAGTATCTTGGCATTCACTTATCTAACGACCCCTCATGGAACATGCATATAACACACATCCCGTCTTACGCTAACTCCTCTTTTAGCTATCTTCGACAGAATCTAAAACTAGCACCATCATCAGAACTAGCCTACACTACTCTCGGTAAGATTACAAATTGCACATGCATCATCCATCTGGTCCGCTTGTCAACGTTCATTGATAACCACCATAGAGGCACTTCAAAATTGCGCAGATTCATATTTTCAGATTACTCACGAGACATCAGCATTACTTTGTTAACGAATGAAATCTAACCTTGATGTGCTCTTGTCTACAAGAACATTATCACACCTATCTCTTTTTTGCAAGATTTACTATCATAATCATGACATCAGAACTTCATCGTTATTTCCTCCCACTTGCATATTTCCTCGCATTGATAACGTTCGTAGAGTCCGTCCAATTTTCGCTTCGTTGGTCTTGTTTCTTAACTCCACCTTGCCATTAAAAATAAGACTAAAATAACCTGCATAACAGTATCACGACACAAACAGATCATAACACATTCATATCCCCACTAACCACCCATTTGCAGTTGCACTAATAGCAAATTCAATTTGTGTTTGTAGAAATACTTTACTCTTGTATTTTTTCCTGTTTAATTACCTGATCTTTCCTAAAGGTGTTTGAGTGGTCATTTTTCCTGTTTCTAGCTTTATATAACAATGTTCTCCAGCCAGTAACCCCCTTGTGCAAAGCTGTAAGGGTCTTCAAGGTTTAATCAATTATGATAATGATGATGATGATTTAGAGGAAGGCTGAAGAAACAATGATCCTCTGTTAACACAGAGCATGTTATATGGCCGGCCCCTAAACAATTCCATCACTCAACCAGGGACCGAAGTCGATAAGCTGACTGCCAGCCGAATGCTGACCGCTGCGCTCGTCTTCTCACGTGCGTCCTCCTCGACTGCATCCGTGTTACTCTCGGCGGGGGCGAAACATCACGCGGTCAGACATACAGCAGCATCCTTCTCCAAGAAACGAGCACGTTTCGGTCTTGCATCGGGTAACAGCACAAGAAAGAGCAACAACAAAAAAAGCAAATGCTCCACTAGATGTGCTCAGAAGTTGAGGTATGTTCAAGTGTTTGGTTCTCTTTTGCTGTGAGCTGGTGCCAGAACTCTGCTCAGCGGTGCTGCGTTTTAACTGTTCCATTTCCGCGCGCATTAACATTTTCATCGCAGAAGATGGCACCGAGCTATCATTTGCACCACTCAGTCTCCACAGGTGTACAGCTACTCCATGATAGCACGTTAGATTCCATGTTACCACACTACTTTTGCCACGTTAGTAACGTGAAGGGGCAACTTTTTTTTCTCTCAACTAGCGTAATTCTTGTGACTGGGTTTAGGGCAGCTGATGTAAGGATGAGTGGACAAAAAGTATCCAAGGGGAGCATTGTTTCGTCTATTCTCTCCATTGTCCTTGTTTTCTGGCGCTTTTCTAATCTAAGACGTACCAACTCGCCCAACTCCAGATTCTTCTACACTTTTTCTCAACTTTCTTCTAAGGGTCTCACATTGCAAGTTCAACTAACAGACCCTCTTTCCTAACTGATTTGGTCCTGTGCATGTCTGTGTGTGTGTGTGCGTGTGTTTAAAATGGGGGAAAGGTATCTTTTAAGATATTTCACAAGCAACTTTTTTTTCTCTCTCTAGATGGGCAGCTTTGAAGGTAGGTTTGTCGACTTGCTTTGGGAGTTCAGTCACCACGGGAGTTGACTCGACAGGGGCTGACGCAGAATGTGCGCGCCAAGTGAAAACTCGCATCACAGCTGCGTTAGCGATAAGCTCAGCGGCACATGGGCACCGTCTCTCGCCGTAAATCATCGAAACGAGCCGTGAATTAGTCACGATGTTGAGGGTGAAACACAGCCATCGCCTTTTGCTGACCGATTTCATACACAGAAGCGCGAGACCACCCAAACACCCAACCAAAGAGCACACGTACCCGTGTAGCGAACTGCAACCCGTCAAATGTTATGCACAATTGAAGTGTCCACCAATGAATCGAGCAGCAAGGTCACCACCGACACCGGCACAACACGACAGCGACGCAGTGACTAAACGCCGCCAGATAAACAGGAGCCCGAAAAGCGCATCCGACAGAAACGAGATAGGGTGTTAGGAAGAGGGCACAGAGTACGATTCTCGGCCACCCCCAAAAAATAAGGGGAAAAAAAAAAAAATAATGGCAGCATTGCTTGCTAACCAGCCTGCTCCTTTCAGGAGCGGGTAAAAGCGGAATATACGTGTGTTGTTGGTAGAGCACAGTGCTATCGATGAATGCAGCTTTGGGTCGGCCACAAGCGAGACGACGAGGTGTTTAGAGAGTCGAGGTGAAAAATCCGACGGGTCGGCTTACCTCAGTCTCTTCTCTGCGCACGCACAAACACGCCGCACGTCGCCGAAAACCGTCTTCGTCATACGTGCGAGTGGAATTTGGCTTTTCTTTCATACTTCGCCGGGAAGGAGAGGCGCGACTTCGGACTGCGAGCGGCTAGGATTTCATCGCTGCCCGGACTTGTACACAAGCCGAGGTGCACTCACTTCCAATCGCCCCACGGCCATTTTTGAGACATGCTGCGCATTCGGTTGTTCTCTGGCCAACGTTGAACGGGGGGCGCGGCGCCTGCGAAAACGGTGACGTCACGCTTCAAAGCCGAGGGCGAAGGTCACGTGATACGGAGCTTGCAGGATAGCGTTTAACAGCGGCACTTATGTTGACGAATCAAACGCACCCGTATCGGGCACGTTTTTGTTTTGTTTTTTTCTTTTTCCTTAAGTCTTTTTCTTTACGCATTCTCCGTTCACAGCGCGAGATGCCGTATTCGACCGTTCGACTGTCATGTTTCATTCATAAAGAACAAAACCGTGACGTTAGCGAGTGATCGTTCGAGCATGAGCATGCCTGATCATTGAAGCGCGCCGGGTAGAAGTAATTACCACGAAGTCCAAAGAAGTTTCGTCGATTTCATTCTGGTTCTGCTCTGGCTAGTACCGGCTAGTTCCGGTTTAGTTGATGCGTACTCATATGCGTATTTACAGTTTTTATTACAAAGTAGAATTGGTAGAATGCAAAACGTACGGTTGTTCATCATACTTTCCGGAACGTATTTAAAATATGTCGTCGTCTTTCGAGCATAAGGCCAAAATTTATGCTCCACCTAAATGAAGCTATCGTCTCAAGATCTACCGAATTTTAATATTGTGTGTAAAATATTTCAACGACTTGTGTTTCTTCAGCTTCATCTTCCAGTTTAGCTAGTAGCAGACTTCGCAGCCAGCGGTACTAGCAGAAATCGCAGAGAAACATAGCGACAAATAACAATAAAACACAATTGCAGCTTACAGTGCCCTCTCTGGGAAGGCAAAATATTTTCTAGCATGTTTTGAGCGGAGGAGCTCCCCAGTTTTGATTCAGTTTGTAGTTTCGTTCCCTGCCCCCTTTTAAGTCTGATCTCATGAAGAATTCTCGGTTTCCCTGGTAAGCACGACTGTCCAGCCGTTCGGTGAGATTGTCCACTGTGTCTTTCAACGTCCCCAAAACCACGTACAGCGAAGCAGAGCGGAGCGGTCAATAGTGGTCACCTGAAACCCTCCGTTTCGGAGGGGCCGTAGCCGCTACGACAGAGGCATTGTCGAGAAATACTAAGAAGACCGAACGTCGCGGGAGGCTTCGGTTGACTCGTGAGCGTTAATTTGAATCCACACAACTTAAAGCTTTTATTTTACCGTTGCTAGAATGTTCCCGAAATCGGCGAGCGCGCTGCTCCGGCGTCGGCCACAGGAGCAGCCGCTCCTTCTGCAGAAACAATATCATTATCGAACCACACATTTTCAGCACCGTATATCTTTGTAGCAGGGTTACTAGACCTCCCACTGTCGTTTTTTTTTCCCCCCTTTTGATTGCTTTTAATTTTTTGCACGTTTTTTTTTTTCTTTTTTTGCATGCTGGTTCAGTAGAAATGACCTGCTAGTAATGCACCATTATGCTCTGCAGGACATGTAAACATATTTATTCATGATTATCTTAAAGAAACTTCAAGATGAGGAGGAAGCGGTTGTTACTCATCAACTTCGAGACTGCAGGTGTGCTCAAGAGGGTATCCTTGAGCCAATACTTGGCAATGATGCCCTTTATTGCATGTGCCGTAAGCATTACGACGGCAAGAAATATGTATAACTCGTAGGGTCCCATCTTTCTGCTAGTGTATACGGAATCTGACCGTCAGCATTGGCGTGGCAGCTACCGTGGCACAATGGCGTCCACAATATCCTGTGTAAAAGAAACTTTGTAGTGGCAGTTAAAGGGTCAAGAAGGCAGGCCATCTGTTGACAAACAGTCTGCAGATGTCTTTGATCTCCTGTGCAGAGTTCGAAAGCGGCATGACGGACCGATCAAGGCTGCTACACTACATGACGTCCGGGGAATAGATGCGACTCCTGATGGCTGCCGAATCCGGTGGACAGCATGAATACGTGGTCCTCGAACCTTTTATCCACCAGGTAACTACAGCAAAAGTGACATCTTTGAACTACCAGTTCCACAACGTCGGTATTCCGGACCAGAGTCGTTATAAACAAGCTGTGCTTCAGAGTAGCGACACATCAACCATCTTGGTGCTTAAAATTATGGTTTCCGGTTGTCTGGAGCTTCATCTGAAATCGCAGTGGGCGGTTTTTCGTCCCCCAGAAATTGTTAAAACAGTCTGCGTCGGAGCAAGCCTGAGCTTCTTGACACTGCATCTAGAGATTGGGAAGCCACATTTTAGGATTGTAACAATCGCCTATTGCGCCCGGTCTGCACAAAGGACCAAAATGGTGGCGCCCCCAAGAGAACCAGGGAATGAACTGACGACGCACTAAGCGTAGCTTTTTCGGTGGCTGTATCCCAGACATCTTATGCATATTCTGAACGTGCCACACACCTGTCCAATTGGCATCCTGGATATGTATAGTGGGCTTCTTGCAACAGTTGCATTTCTTGTAGCGGTGAGGTGCCCTTTGCCTGCTCAAAACTTCACAGACATGATTCGGCAATGCATATTGATTTCTCGTGCTTTTGGTGTTAGGTTGGAGGACGCTCATCGATGCTATGCTTGGACGAACTGACCCTGTGCAAGCCACTCATACTGCAGGAACTCAGGTTCTATGAAAACCTTCCAGATGTGCTTAAGCCCTTTACGTCGGAATACAAAGGCAAGTTGTGTGGCCGTGGGTTGCGCTTTTTGCGCAATAAACAAGTGAAACACCTTTTTTTTGTTTAAAGGGGTACTCTGATGTTTTCTTTATGGTTCCCGATTTGCCTAAAAATTTGTTAAGCACATCAACATCGCTGAAACAGTAACCAATTTTGGGCCAACGCGAATTTTTCTTTTTGCAAATTTATTGAATATACAATTTTCTTTCTCGCCATATTTTTGGAAGTAAAAGTCTCTACTGTCAACGATAAAAAAGCAATGTCAGCCGAAATATTTCGTCAGAGTGTAGCCGCGTACTCCACTAAAACCGATTTTAAAGATGCGACCAGCTGCTCTTTAGCGAGCAGCAAGCTAGTTAGCTTTTAGACAAGAAACACTGGTGCAGCATTCCTGTGACGTCACATCGCGGTGCAGCTGCAGTTGATTGGTTGCACCGCGTATCGCACCACCACGGTTACGTCACGTCGTGGCCGTACAGCTGATGATCAGTGTTGCACTCCCCATAGCAGATAGTTTTGGTCTTGCCGTGGACGCCTGAAACCAAAATTTGAGCCGTAACATTTAAAAATCTACACAGAATATTGGAAAAAAAAATAATTATACCTTGTAATTCAGAGACACTGCCTTATCTGACAAGTCGTAATCCCAAAAATAATTTTGCCACCTTGGCAAAAATGGACACTCCGAGCAACTCAGTGAAGAAACCAAACTTGGATTTCACTTCAGTTTAAAAGAACCATGACCCAAGCAGCACAAGAATATTGGGCGAGCATCTACACAATATTGTTGCCAAATACTCCGAATATACGGTTATTCCCATCCACACGATGTCCAGACAGTATCGTTTGAAAAGGGGGGCCGTACCAGCACAATATCACTGGAGTACTGCCAGCGTCGGCTGAGCATCCGCCGGACATCGCGTGTCAATCGAGTGCCATCAGTGTCGTCTGAGTAGCCGCCAGATATCACCCATTGCATCCACAGAGTACTTAGAGAGTCGGCTGAGTATCCGCCGGGTATCGCGTATGTCAATCAAGTACTGGAAGTGTCGTCTGAGCACCCGCAGTATATCGCACGTATGTCTACAGAGTGCTTGGAACGTCGGCGACATAATCCGTTGCAACACAAGACGGTAGGGCGAGGGTAAGACGGGCCGGAAAGGAGGCGAAGCAGACGAACGCTGGAGAAGAGAGGGGGACACCTTTCTCTCTTTAGCGTTCCGTCTGCTTCCTCCTCCCGGCACTTCTTACCATCGCCCTACCTTCTTGAGTTGCAACAGACTATAGATACCGCCCAATTTATCTGTTACAAAAATATTTTTATTTGCTCACGCCACCATTACGCTTTGGGCTTTTTTTGGCACCTTTATTATAGTCGCATGCAGATACATTACGCATACCACAAGCATCAACTGAACATATACATTGAGTGCATACATGGCACATACAAACATTAGCCCAATAGCGCACTAACCAACACCTCCTAGAAATAAAGCCGTAGTGCCCTTTTCGTGACGTCGCAACGGAATGCCATTGGGGGCCCGCGTCGAAGCAAATGCAAAGCGCGTGGATCGACCGTCATAGCTTTCAGTCACATCCGCGTGTCTTATTAGCTAAAATGAAAGCTGCGCGTAGCAACGGGTGTAGAAAACATTTTGTTGCACTGGCAAAACATTACATTGCTAAATAATTGTACGAAATGGCAAGACGAGTGCGTATAAGATGTCAATAGAAAAATGTGATTGTTTTAACTCGAAAACATTCAGTCACGCAATTATTACCGTAGGAATGCATGTTTTATACAGAAATACTTCGGCAAAATGGCGAGACACGCAGTGATTTGAAAGAGCAAAACAGACCACAGTTCAAAATCAGGTAGACGTAGTCAACGCGGAAATCCCTAGACAAGTGTCACTTACGATCATGTAAGCGACTGTTATCGCGTGCAGTCACTGAATTCTTGCATTATACCCCAGGCCACATGGAAAGCTAATATAATTTCGAGCGAATTGCATTATGGGGGGTCGACAAATCAGCTTGCGACGCTCGTATATTCACTCAAGACCGCGAACTGATTAAATCTTATATCATTCAATGAAAATATATTGGCTTTTCCGTGTGACAGGAATACTAAACTTACTATTTAGTCAACTAATTTACCTATGGGCTTGAGCTGCCTTAAAACAAAATATCTTATTTTGTATACAATAATACTATTACCTTAATACAGTTAAGATTCTAGTATAAACACGGTAAAGACAATAAAATCACATTAGGATAAATAAACACAAGCACCAACAACGCACTTTCAGTAATCACATACTTGTTATTCACCTTCCAGTCAAAACTAGAATATTACCACGCATATTTACAAACGTCGACGCAACAGCACGCGGTTAACGATGAAGAACAACACTCCATTCATCACGAGATTTAAAAACAAAATTGACTGCAGCACTTTACTCGCGTCCTACATGACTAAGAAAACTCATAAATAAGTTGTTTCTCACCTGTCAATCGCATCCATACGTCCCGCTCTATCTGCCAAGAAAACATCTGAACACGAACACCAAGACGTCTCTTGGTCGAGAGAGGGCTCTATCGATAATGACCAGTGTCATCGTTGACTAGTTGCGACACATGTTACTCAAACCGTAGTAGGACTTGTTCCGCGAATGCACGTAAATGCCATAGTATCAGGCGAACACAAAGAAAAAACTACCCGAGAGCCAAGACTCCGGTGATGACGGAAAAACTACGGGAAGGAAACAAGTCTTAAAACAACCAAACACGAGAGCGCCAAGCGCCGATACTGGCGCGTCGGAGACCGAGAAAAAAAGAAAGACCGTTGGTCCAGGTTAGTCAGCGTACGGGCGAAACTCGTAAACAACACGTGATCAGGAGAGGAGCAATACTGTCTCTCTCCCTTTCCCTTTCCAAGGCGCCAGCGAGTCTGGTCACGTGAGGTGTAACGAGGTTGGGTTCACTCCGTCTTATTATGCCTCCTCTTTCGCTCGTGTCATCCCGTCTCTCTCCTCTCCCTTTCCAAGGTCTCTTTTTGGGAGGAAGATCGGGATTGCGTCGGCGCGATATAACAGACATTCTGTGGACATAGGCCGTGTCAAAATGGTTCCGGCTTTCTTTCAATCTCATTTTTCGAATTGGCCGAAAATGCCTAATACTGCGCAGTTATTGCAGATTCAAAAATAATAATCAGGGAAAAACACGGTTCGTGTACCATATATAACATGTTTGCTTCGCCGCAATAATTCCGTCGACATCGGCAGAATCAAAATGGTACAGGCACAATTTTCCCGATACAAGAAAAAAATCGGCAATACTCGCACAACTTTCCCGACCCGAGGCGAATATCGCCCCAATATTGTGCGCTGCCTGGGGACATTTAGATTGCCCTTTTTAATGGGTTAACTAATGCCCGGAATGCACACATACTGTCGAGACCGGTTATAACGAAGTCGGTTATAACGAAATAGCGGCTACAGCGAAGCGATCACGATTTCCCATTCCCTTTTGCACTTCATTAACCGAAGTCGGTTATAGCGAAATAGTTGATGTAGCGAAGTGAGTTTTAATTTCCGTTGACTTCTTTATAACCGGTCTCGACAGTAGTTCATATTCATAAGGCATGGAACAGGCATCACATATAATTTGCAATGCTGGTTTTGAAAAGAGGTGCATTCATTCTTTGTTTACCGCCTTAAGAACGCCGGCCATTAAGCCTGCACATAACCACGTCTTTCCTCTCGACCAGGTGTGGTAGAAGTGGCGCTATCAGAGGATCCCGATGGCTACCTGACTCTGACAGCGCATTCATCGTACGAGCATCTCAAAAATGGCTGTGCATCTAGTCACTCCATCAAGAGCACAGACAGCCTCACAAGGGCCCGGAAATACAGGTTGGCAAGAGCTCCCTCGAGATCTTCTAAGGGTTTCAGCCTCTGTTCCTGCATGTTTATGAATGTCACATTAGATGGAAGTTGCGCTTGATTTGCTTTCACCAATGTGCACCAGGGCAAAGAGTTTGCACCCGGCATGTTCAAGTATACTACTGAAATAGATTTGGTTAAGGTAATTTGCTGTGGATGTAAGCCAATACAGATGGATTACTTAGATTGTGCCAAGGTAGTAAATTGGGCCATTTGGGAAACGTTGCACATGATGTGGATAAAAATCCCAGCAAACGCGGACGACAAAAATACATAGCCCCGTCGGGACACAGCGGTTTATCCCCATCATGTACAATGTTTACTTCAAGGTAATACACCTTGTAATAACACACTGCAAATATCTGGATGCTATTAGAAAACCTCCACAACCCTCTAATTTCACCAGTTGATAAGAGATGCTTGAACAGGATTCACTACTATTCAAATCAATATTGGAAGCTTTGGAACATCTGCATGTGTCTAGTAATAGTATGCAATTCTGTCTTGCCTCCCTTTAAAAAGCAAAAGTGGGAATGGCAGAGTGGTACTTAATTTGAATCACTACTATCATTAACAAGTTCCTCATGTAGACCACAGTGATCGGCTATTAAGACAGCAATTAGATTGGCCTTTTTCATAAAAAGTTTCAAATTTCTAGGAAGTACTGTAGGTAGGTACCAATTGGAAGATGGACGCCGGCGTATCATGACCGTTTGAATGCATTACTTTGTGGACAAGGAATGCTTTCCATGTTATTCTAAAATATAATCATGTTTATGTTGTGTCTGTGTAGTGTGTCGGATGCTTCACAAACGGACGCATAATGAGTTGGTCTGGGACCTTGTCAGTTGTCCAGACACCTTTCGCCTCAGATCATCCAGTTCCTTTGTTTGAATTTAGCGATTTCGGTTCGATTTTCGATTAGAGATGAATGCCAGTGTGTTTGTGGCTGCAGGATGCGTTGGCAGAAGGCTGGCAGTATCGAGATTGAACCGGTGTTGAAGGAGAGTGCTCAGCTCTTTGAGGAGCACGACGGCGGCAAGAAGGACAGCTTCACCACCCACAATCCGTGGATCGTGCGCTGCCACAACCACCAGATCCAGAAGTTCCTTTCGTCGTCTGGAAGCCCCAAAGGTTAGCGAGGACGCCGCAGATAGGGCCCTGCCCCGCAAACTGATAGACTGGAAAAGAACATAAGGGGTTGTTACTGCCGGAAGAATGAACTGATTCTCTAAGGGGCAGGGTAAGGGAGAAAGGAAAATGATGGGAGGAGGTGAGAGTGCCAGGATGAGTGACCGTGAGTGACAAGATATATATGGTAGAGCTTCATTGATACATCTCGGTTGATGTGTTTTCCTGGTCGTTGCGTTCACAATTCCTAACCCCATTTAGCTCCAGGAGACATGTATATTAATTTACTTTTTGCCTTCCCAGTTGTATCAAAATACTGCCACCAAATGCAGCTGATGTAACAAATCAAGTCGCCCGGCTGCGGCTGCCTCTTCCTTCGCTTTCTCTACTTCTCACGTCTTTGCCTTCCTGCACTGTGTTTAAGTTCGTAGTCATACTTCCCCATTATAAACTGGCACGCAAATTGAAGTTTGTGGTCTTGCTTCACAGCTTTGCATTAGCATGCACATTGAATTTTGTAGTTATGCTTCACCGCTTTGCACCGGCGCACAAGGTGAAGCTCGTAGTCGTGCTTCACTGCTTTGCACCGGTGCGCAAGGGGAAGCTTGTAGTTGTGCTTCACCATTTTGCACCGGCGCACACGTTGAAGTATGCAGTACCTCGTGTGCACTAGTATTCACATTCAAGTTTGAAGGCGTGCTCGGCTCCGTGCACAAGGTGAAGTTTGTAGTCATACTTCACAGCTTTGCACCGATGCTCAAGAGGAAGTTCGTACTCGTGCTTCACTGCTTTGCACCGGTGCGCAAGGGGAAGCTTGTAGTTGTGCTTCACCATTTTGCACCGGTGTACACGTTGAAGTATGCAGTACCTCGTGTGCACTAGTATTCACATTCAAGTTTGAAGGCGTGCTCACTGCTCGGCTCCGTGCACAAGGTGAAGTTTGTAGTCATACTTCACAGCTCTGCACCGATGCTCAAGGGGAAGTTTATAGTCGTGCTTCACCGCTTTGCACCGGCGCGCAAGGGAAAGCTTGTAGTTGTGCTTCACCATTTTGCACCGGTGCACACGTTGAAGTATGCAGTACCTCGTGTGCACTAGTATTCACATTCAAGTTTGAAGGCATGCTCACTGCTCAACTTCGTGCACAAGGTGAAGTTTGTAGTCATACTTCACAGCTTTGCACCGGCGCTCAAGGGGAAGTTTGTAGTCGCGCTTCACCGCTTTGTACCGGCGCGCAAGGGGAAGCTTGTCGTTGTGCTTCACCATTTTGCACCGGTGCACACGTTGAAGTATGCAGTACCTCATGTGCACTAGCATTCACATTCAAGTTTGAAGGCGTGCTCACTGCTCGACTCTGTGCACAAGGTGAAGTTTGTAGTCATACTTCACAGCTTTGCACCGATGCTCAAGGGGAAGTTTGTAGTCGTGCTTCACCGCTTTGCACTGGCGCGCAAGGGGAAGCTTGTAGTTGTGCTTCACCATTTTGCACTGGTGCACACATTGAAGTATGTAATACCTCATCCGCACTAACATGCACATTAAAGTTTGTAGTCATGCTTCACAACTTTGCACTGATGCGCAAGGTGAAGTTTGAGTCGTGCCTCACCACTTTTGCACCGTTGCACAAGGTGAAGTTTGTAGTCATGCTTTACTGCTTTGCACCAATGCGCAAGGTGAAGTTCATTGTCGTGTTTCACCATTTTGCACTGGTGCACACGGTGAAGTATGTAGTACCTCATGTACACTAGCATGTACATTAAAGTTTGTAGTCGTGCTTCACCACCTTGCACCGATGCAGCGGAAATCGTTGACGGAAATTAAAATTGTGGTTTTGGGTTGCTTTTTGTCTGATCTATAGGCTCCCAAGATTGTTATTGGTTGTTGCAGTTTCTTGGTTCATAATGTTTTTGTTTTACCGCAATCCCCTCAAAAACATAACAAGGTTCTTCTGTAGAGAAAGATGACTTGAGATCAATAGCAAAGGTAGCTCCATACTGGGTTCGACTTTCTGTGGCAATGCAGCTAAGGCTGCAGAGCCAAAGCATGCCATTTCACTCCACAGCTGAATATATGAGCTGGGTGTAACTTAACCAATTAAAAAAATATATAATTGTTACTTTTAGCTTTGATTTCACAATCTTGCTATAATATTGGTCAAGATCTGCCTAACTTATGACGTTTCTTTGTTAGCTCCTTTGGTTTTTTGTTTGTTTTTTTGGTTTAAATTCGCTGTAGGTTTTTTAGTTCCCTGCGAAACAAACATGGCGTCTTTCTCATGTGCATCGTTGGGTATTGTCAGTACCATGGTGCATTGTCAGTGCCTTCTATGTGCTTAACCAGAAGTTGTCAAAACAAGCCAATCAAGTGGTGTGCAATGTGCACGCGCAAGTGAGACAGAAGGAACACTGACTCACCATCTTTTCTGTATACCGGTTGGTTAGCTAGCTCACCAGCATGAGCGAGCAGTGTTGGGGATTGAGCACCGGATCCCTGGGTTCTGCAGCGCAGTGTTGCAGAGTTGCCACTCCGGAGTTGGAATGATTCCGGAATCATTCCACATTTTAGCGACCCCGGAATGGAATGGGAATGGAATGGCGGCAACGTTCAGGCGAATGGAATGGGAATGGAATTAGATGCCTTTTGCCCGGAATGGAATGGGGCCAGGGTCTTTATATTTTATTATTATTTTTTTTTTATGTTTAGCTATACCGAGCCAGACAGGGAGTCGGTTGTTCAGAAATAAAATGAGCGGGAGACTGCAAACCCGCGTAAGGCCCTAACAGACTTATACGCAAAAAAAAAAAGAAAAAATGCAATACAAAAAACAAGCGTCAATGCAAAGAACAGGGGGGGAGGGGGGGAGGGGGGTGGCGGTGGTGCCTTTCACCAGTGAAGTTCAACACATATCGGAATGCGTCTGTGCCTGTAATATTGCACGGCTCAAGGGTACGTCATCAGCCGACGTGAACGTGACCCGCTGCTCTGGTGATCCAATATCCGGGAAGGAGGCCAGACGTGGCCTCGCTGTGTGGACCCAGACTTCGTACACCTGCGAGTTGCGACTCGTCTCGAGCGCGCTGTTTCTTGGAGAGCTCGCACCTGTGCCGGCCATCTCAGGTCGCAATCCGTGAGGTCTCTGTTTGAATGATGCTAGGCGAAACTTGAAGACTGCCATTCATGCGTTGGAGGCAGAGAGTCGGCAGGAAGGACCGCCACTACAAGAATGCCACTGTATTGATTTTTCAACCGTAACAGAAGATAAGACATGTGCTTCAGAATGCTTCAGGTAGTCCACTTTTCTTGAAAATTCCAAATGCAACTGCTTGCATGGTCTTTAACGAGGTCACCTACAACGAAAGTATGTATTGTCCTTTCATACAGCAGCGTGGGTAAAGTTTCATGTTCAAGGCAACACTTACAGATTCAAGAATACTAGTTCATCCCACCGTGACGTCATGTGATCAGTGCTGACAGGGGCGCCTTTTTTGGACAGGGAAGTGGTGATGTTTTGATGGAATTTATTTAGAGGCCGAAGTCTTTTCGCATCACTGGTCACTCAGACAGGATGCCAGGGAAGGGACCGCGGTCAATCCTTGGTGGAACGTTTTTTTAAACCCGTTGAGGACTCTTCGTCCGGAACCACTACCTTCAAGGCGAAGCGCCAAGCCTGCGGGAAAGTAATTTCATTACCAAAAAAAAAAACTTCCTCTTCAAACTTAAATCCTCATCTCAGTTGGCATTTCAAAGAAATTTGAAAAATGTATTGCATTATCAGTATTTATATTTCTGCCCCCCCTAACATGTATTCTTGTATTTGTATTTCCAAAGACTTTTTGCCTCTTTTTAAAATGTATTTCCGATATGTATTGCGATACATTCTTACAGATATATTTTAGTATCTGTATTTTAGCTACTATTTTCATCTATCCCAGTATTTGTATTTCCAAATACATTTTTGAGTATTTCTGCCCAACTCTGCAACGTAATGCAGCTGTCAAGTGACACTTTTAACGTTTAGGAATTAGAGGAATGGAATGGAACGATTCAGCCATTCCAGGAGTGGGAATGGGCCCAGTGTCCCCATTCCTAGGAATCGAAAGGAATGGATTTATCGAAAACTCTAATTCCCCGGAATGGAATCAGAATGGAATAGGGGTGCCCATTCCGCAACACTGCTGCAGCGTGAGCTTTCGCTATACATGTTCTGAGCTGTGGTATGCCACCGACCCTCTTTACGGCCAGTGATAACTGAACGCGATCCAAGTGAAATTTGATTTTGCCCCGTAGCACATGTGTGCTCCCATTTTGGTATATCGCCCCCGTGCTATGATTTTTTCGCCCCAAAAGGGTTTACGTAACAACGACCTCAAAGCATTGTAGTGCTGATGAAATTCACAGCATTTCTTAAATCAATGCTGCCTAACAAATAAAATTCGAGGAGATTGGGCATGGTATAATTTATCTTCTAAGTCGGTCTAAGTGATTCAATCAAAGCATTGGCTTGTGCTTAGAAAGAAATGAAATAAGAGTAAAGAGACGCAGATCTAGCTTGGCGTGCTCAGCAATCGCAGTTCAGCACCCCCAGCCGCGACCCTCGCACAAAGAGATCAACTGTTGCAAATGTGTGTCTGTCATGCTGAAACCCAAACTGAAACCGAAGCGAGTCCGGAACTACTTGGCGCAGCAACACAGTGCCGTTAGCTCCGCCCCTCTAGCTTTTTCTTTACTGCCACGGAAGGTCGACCCAGAGTATGGCTTGAATCAGTTCTTCATGAAACAAAGTGAGGGTTGGAAAGGAGGGGGAAGGGACAGCATATGGCGGCAAAAGCCCCGACCTGTACATGTTACTAAAAGAAAAATAAGGAATTACATTTACAATTACCCAATGCCAAGTTGTAACTAACTACAGTTACAATTACTCTTCCATGAAAGTAGGCGACGTTACGTCAAAGAGTAATCCGTTACTTTCGTGGCGTCACTTCCTACTTTACTCATTGTGGTAGTCACTATAACCGAGAATGACATTGTTAATTTTTGTTTGTGCATAATTGTTTGCTTTGAGCTTCAATTCCTCTGTGTCCCCCTCTACTCGTCTTCGATCGCAAAGAAAAGCGAAAAGACTTTAAAAAGCAAAGATAGCTTGCCCACACTTTTTTTTTTTTTCTTCTTTAGGAAGGCCGGTTTGGATTTGCTTAATTTGTTGTTAGGGTCAACAGAAATGAAAAAAAAAAAAATATATTCAGGGGCTTGGCACTGGAAAAAGAGACTTTGTGGAACTAAAGAGTGCCATGTCCCTCTTTGCATTGGCCAATACGTGTGACTGCGGTCAACTTTGCCAGTATGAACACCTTTTCTTTTTCAGGGGAGGGGAGGGAAAGGGGATGGTTTCTGAACATGTAAGGGTTTACAAAGAAGCCGTTACATAAATACAGGGTGTCACAAAAGAAAATTTACGCAGTCTTTTTTGCCGCAAAAATAAACTAGACATCGCCGAACGCTGATTCTCCGCCCAAAGGTAGAGCTAGAGGTCACAACCAGACGCCAAAGTTTCAGCCCGATCCGATATCTTAATAAAAAGTTATAAGTGATTTTCTGAAAATTTCAATGGGAAAATGAAGCCCATTTTTGCCCGTTTTCCGTTTCTGGTGCCATAGAGCCCCATGTGTTCGAAAACTTCGTCGGCCGCCATTTTCCCATTGAAATTTTCAGAAAATCACTTATAACTTTTGATTAAGTTATCGGATCGGGCTGAAACTTTGGCATCTGGTTGTGACCTCTAGCGCGACCTTTGGGCGGAGAATGAGCGTTCGGCGATGCCTAGTTTATATTTGCGGTAGAAAAGACCGTGTAAATTTTCTTTTGTGACACCCTGTATGTAAGGAAAATTCTTTACAATTACTCTACCAAATGTGTAATTATTCCATTAAGAAAATTACTGATAAACGTAAGGGATCGCAAGTAATTTCCTTGTAGCAGATTATAGTACAAGTCTGAATAAGACAAACGCTTGCCAGACCTTTTTTTTTTTTATTTTTTCTTGCAAATTTGGTAAAATTTGGTCAGCCATTTTCTTAATTTTATTTTTGACCATATTTCTTTGTACGGCACCAAAATAATATGTTGAATTAATCAAAAACAGTGTGCAAGCTACTTGATTTACTGACATAAGTCAAAACTTTGTGAACCCTTTTTTTGGTGGGAGGCGTTTCCGTCGCCCGGATACCTCTTGAAGTATGAGAGGGTCGCTAAGCACCGCAGATTTCCGAATGACAAATTGCCGAAACCAGCCGCCATCTTATCCGTAAGTTATGAGCGATTTTCTAAAACTTTCAATGGAAAAATGGGGCCTGCTCCTGGTAGGGGACGTTACTCATCCCCATGCATTCGAGGGCGGCATTTCCTCGATTAAAATTTTTGTAAATCTCTCGTAACTCTTAAACTGGACGACGGCGAGCTCTGAAACTTCAGCGCCTGGTCCGGACCGCTAGCACAACGTTTTGGCAGAAACTGGGTGCTAGGTAATACAAAGTTTATTTTTGAAATTAAAAGAAAAAGATACCTTTTTTATTATTCCTGGAAATTGGACCCTCTGTAGAGAGAGCTGTACTACTGCAATTTTATGGTCCTAATTAATGCCCATTCGCTTTTGGTTTTTTCCCCCCACGCCCCCTGCAGAGTTTATCCTGCTAGAGAACCTGACAGCCCGCTACACATTTCCCTGCATTTTGGACCTGAAGATGGGCACAAGGCAGTACACAGACGACGCCTCCGAAGAGAAGCGCAAGAGCCTCGACGCCAAGGTGGCCTCCACCACGTCCAGCCCCCTAGGCCTCCGAATTTGCGGCATGCAGGTACGAGATGAGTCGCCCAAAGCCGCCCTTAAAGGGATACTGAACCGAAATTTCAAACTCACAAAACAAGGCTGGACAGATAGGCGGGACGATGCAGAACCCAAAAACATCTCTCATACAGCGATATCTCAAACGGATCGCCATATTTTTAGAAAAGAAGCGCCCGACTGAACCCGGCCGACGAGGCCGACAAGGCAAGGCACGTCACGATTCTTATTCCCTCTCCTCCTCACTACGTCCCGTGCCGAGCTGGTGAACCGAAGCGAGGAGGAGAGAAGCGAGGCCGCTCCCCCTCACTCTCAAATTCTCCCGGAGGACAGTGATGTCAGAGGCCTCGCTTGATGGCGCCCTTCTTTTCGAAAAGTGCTGCCATCCGTTTGAGATATCGATGTACGAGCAATGTTTCGGAGTTCGTAAAGTCCCGTTCAACGCTTATAGAGCCTTATTTTGCGAAATTCAAATTTCGGTTCAGTATCCCTTTAAAGGGATGCTGAACCGAAATCTGGATTCCACAAAACACACGGCAAAGGCGTGCCATGGGATGCTACAAACACCAAAACATCACTCGTACAGTGATATCTTGAACAGATGATCATATTTTTCAAAAAGAGGAGGCGCATTTGACAGAAATGTTTACGTCGTGTTTTTCCAACCCTCCCGTCTTCTCCACCTCGCCGCCTTGAGGGAGCGAAGCGAAGAGGAGAGGAAGCGAGATCTCTACGTCACGCGCCTCATCGGCTTGGTTCAATCTTGACCTCTTCTTCCAAAAATACGGTCGTCCATTCAAAATATCGCCTTACGAGTAGTGCTGTAGGGATTGTAGCGTCCCGCCTACATCTCCTGCATTGTCTTTGTTAAGTCCAAATTTTGGTTCACCATGCCTTTAAAGGCCCCCCTGACGAGGCATCTATGCGTGCCTAGGTTGCTACGAAAATGCGAGGTACAAGGGCCCAACGATTGGAAAGAAACGTTTGCTTTGTGAAACCTGGCTTTTTTCGGGCCGAGGCGGCCGCTTTGGGCTCGCTAGCAAGAGTGTAGTAGACCGTGTACTCGAGTCTAACGTGACTTACACTTCGTATCAGCATTACTTGGCAAATGGTAAAAAAACTATGGCTCCAGCAAGCCACGCTACGCCATATTTTATATTTTGTTGGGCGGAAGAGTTTGAAGAGTGCCGACGAAGTGTGCCGGACGCTCATTACTTGACATGTGGCAAGGTGTTGCTCCGTGACGCAGTGCGTGAGCCGTAGACAATCCTATAGATGCACATTATTGTAGGGTTAGTGCCGTCTTTCATACGTTGTCTGCAATGTCAACTGGCAAATAGCGGCAACTGCAGCAAACTAATGGCAGACGTTAGTGACCGTCTGTCGCTCACTGGACATCAGTCTTCGTCTCGCCGAGAGGTGCGTGTGGAACACCGTCTGTGTGCAGGTGTACCAGCAGAACCTGGGCTACTACAAGTGCCACAACAAGTACTTTGGTCGCTCTCTCAATGTGGAGGGTTTCAGGCAGACCCTTTTCCACTTCCTCCACGACGGCATCCGCTTCCGCTCCGACATCCTCCTGCCCCTCATAGAGCGCCTCCAAGCACTCTACAAGGTACAACCCATGCACTGTTTGCTTTCTTTCGCATGTGCCAGTATGGTAGGGTACACTGCGGTCGAGTCTCGTTAATACAAACATTTCCATTCTTCCAACTTTTCCCCAAAAACTTTGTCTATATGGTGTGGCATCCTAATTAACGTTTTTCATATTACTGAGGCATGACTGCTATATGTCTGTCTTTCCTAATTGGCTGTTGGCTGCAGTGTTGGATTTTGTTTCGTTGCTTCCGAGGCTTTCAGGCCGATTGTGTTTTACCCACCACAAGCACTGCTACCGTAATTACCCGAATATAGGTTGACTTCGATCGTAGGTTGACCCTGAGCTAGGGAAATCTCCAAGATAAATAAAAAAAATGCTTAGGTTCTCGCCAAATTCCCGTGGATGGAAAATACAGTTCTGTTGTGTTTTGGGATTAAAAGACTCTTCAACAGAAGTTGGAGTCTGTTGGAGGCTCCAACAGAAGCCCTCTACAATTAGTAAAAAAATGTGCCCGCTAAAATTTGCAAGAAAAGGATGTTAACTCTTGTGTGTAATGTCCGTGACATTACAAACATGTTTGACGACAAATTCGGTTGTGATGTTACGCCTGTCCATGACATGACACCTCTCCAGAATCGACCCCCATCCAAAAGGGGAATTTTTCATTGAAATATTTGAATACCGTATTTACTCGCAGAATGAACGCACTTTTTTTTCCGAAAAATCGATGCAAAGTTAGGGGGGGCGTTCATTACGCGAAGTAAAATTTTTTGCCTCCGTATTTACTCGCATAATGAACAGACCTTTTATCCTGAAAAATCGAAGTAACTTCTCATCTCTTTGCGCGCCGCGCCCGACCCCGTAACCAAACTAAGCTGTGCAAAACAAAAAACAAAAAAAAATGTTTTTTTTTTTAGTACCTTGGATTTTTTTTTTTTTTGCCGCCTTTCGCAAGTTGTTTTGTTTGCTTAGGGGAGGGCTCTCCGCTTATCTTTCTTAACTCCTTGCGCGTGGCGCGCGACGCACGATCCCCCCAAAACCAAACTGCGCTATATATATAAAAAAAAAAAAAAAGCTCCTTTTTTTTTTTCTTGTTCCGTTTTTTTTTTTTTTTTTTTTTTTTCTTTTTGCCGCTTTTCGCAAGCTGTTTCGTTTGCTCAGAAGGCTTCTCCGCTCCTCTTTCTTACCTCCTTGCGCGCGGCGCCCGACTCCCCGTAACCAAACTGCGCTGTGCAAAAAAAAAAAGAAGAAAAAAAGCTTCTCTTTGTTTTTGTTTTCTTTTAGTTCTGTTTTCTTTTTTTCTTTTTGCCGCCTTTCGCAAGCTGTTTCCTTCGCTTAGAGCGCTTCTCTTTCTTACCTCCTTGCGCGCGGCGGCGTGCGAACCCAAAGTCCAGACTGCGCTGTGCAAAAAAAAAAAGAAAAGAGCTCCTCTCCATGTTTTTTGTTTTCTTACTTCCGTTGGACCTTTGCGAATTTTTTTAACGCCTTTTGCAAGGCGTTTCGTTCGCCCATGCTTTCGCGACCTCGCTGCACCAGGATAGAAAAGTGCGTTCATTTCGCGTGCGTGGGGGGAGGGGGTCAACATTTTGACATCGGAGTTGGGGGTGCGTTTATTACGCGAGTGAAAAAAAAAGTCGAAATTTTGAGAGCCGACTTGGGGGGTGCGTTCATTACGCGATGCGTTCATTGTGCGAGTAAATACGGTATAAGGTCAACCTTGGGGATTTTTAGAAGCCTGGAAGATTTATGCTGTGCCTGGGTCACCCTAGCTAAAACTCACTTGTCAGGTGCGCTAACCAAGTCATCGTACAAGCTTCCAGAAAGGTCGTTCATGTGCCCCTTGTATTAAGCTTTTGCCGCTTTTCATCAGTCTGCTTGTAGAAGTGGTTGAAGTGAGGAACCGTATCGGTTAGCTCTATGGGGTCAGCCTTCTTTGGCCATGTTTATTAGTAGGCCGCCAATTTTAAAGCATGGAAAGAAAAACATCAACCTATTTTTTTAATAAATATGGTAATTGCACTATGTGTTGCAATGGCTTTTTTGCTGCTTTTACCCATTCAAGGGTAAAAATAGGGAATGAAGGGGGCCAGACAAATGTGTTTCGTTAACCTTTCTTTTTATGCAAAAATACTCCAAAAGCCGGGAGACGTTATAATTAAAATAAGAGCACCAACTTGACGCAACATGAAAACCAGTATGTGTAAACAAAAGAAAAACTTGTTTTTTTATGAGTTTGAGGTGTTTATCCTTTGCACAGATGGCTAAAGTGAAGAATTCTGTTAAAATCATATTTTTGACGGAAGTAACAGGATTTGCCATATCGAAACAACATTCAATAAACTTGTACCTATACAGTCGCCGACCGTTTTTTCGGACTCCGATATTTCGGACTTGTTCGATATTTTGGACCTAAAGGCGGAACCGTGACTTACCCCATAGAAATAGTATATATTCACGACCAATGTTTCGGACAGCTTGAAGTCCGAAAGTTTGATTATTCGAACAAAATCGTCGCAAGCGATCAGAGGAAAACAGCATCGAGAAGCGGCCATTTTGAATTCTATGTTGGCTGCAAATGGATTGGCTTGGTTTGGCAGCGCTCCCGGCGCTACTTGAGCACTCCTGAGTCCTACCGCTACGTGACGCTCTGCTAGCCCTTTTTTTTCCCCATTTAGCTGCACGTCATCATCATCATCATTATTATCATTTTGCTTTGTTTTTCGTTCCTTCGCGTCGCCAGTCGCCATTTTGCACTCGTGGATTTGCGCCTCTGATCTCGTTCGGAAAACGCTGGCTTGGACGTCATGGCCCCATATGTTGTTCTGCCGCCGCGATCTGTAGTTAAGAAGCGCAGAAAGTACTCGACCATAACGCTAGAAAAGAAGGCAGCGATTCTGAAGCTAACAGAAAGTTGGTGAACGGAAACGGAGGCGTAACCTAAAACAAGGCACGCAGGCGTAACCTGAAACAAGGCACTATTTACGGCTTTTTTAGGCCACTTGCAAGTAATACTAAAGTCAAGTTTTTTAATCTGCTGATTTTTCGGACTGCTCTATTATTCGGACTTTTTTGCGGTCCCAGCGAAGTCCGAATAATCGGTCGGCGACAGTACCTAGATTTTTGCAGTTTCACAGTTTTTCCTGTGTAAAACTCTGCAGCATCTTTTTCTTTTTTCAGGGTATTTTTTTTTATTACAAAGTCGCCGTTTACCAGATTTTACTTCTGTTTGGCAGCACCGGTTTCTCCCCACACCAAAAAAGCAAATCTGTGCCACCGAGCTTGCGAAAAAACAGATGCCGCCGTTTCCCACGGGGGTCCACGTGAAACGACTGCCACGTAACTGAGCTTTGGGTTGCACACGTCAGTTCTGTAGCATCTTCCTGGCTCCTTGCAGGCCGTGGAACAGCTGGAATCGTTCCGCTTCTACACGAGCTCTCTGCTAATCCTGTACGAGGGCAAAAACACAGACGGAAACTCCAACGAAAGCAGCCGTCCTCCTACGGAGCGCCCCTTCACCAAGCGACCCTCAACCTCGTCTCCCGTCGACGTGCGCATGATTGACTTTGCGCACTCGGTCCACAGCCCCAAGGACCAAGGCCCTGATCAGGGCTACCTCTTCGGCCTCAAGAGCCTCATCGCTCAGCTGCAGATGCTGAAGCAGGACAACTGAAGTGGTACAAACTGGCATCACAAACTCGGAATATGGGGTGAGAAAGGAACTGGGGTGGGATAGATTAATCTGAGACAGGCTATGGTGGGAAAGACTGCAATGGTATGGACTGAGGTGATAGGTCTCCAGTGAGCAAAACTGGGACGGGTGCAAGGTGGTGTCACAAATTGGGAAAGTTATATGGGACGAACTGGAATATATGAGGGGCACTGAAGTTGGACAATGTGGAATGGGACCGATTGATGCAAGACAGACTGGGAAATTTGAATGGGACAAGGGGAGATACGAGAAATTGGAGTGAGACAAATTGATACGAGACACTGCAGTGGGAAATACTGGAGTGGAACAAAATGGAGCAATTGGTTTACTGTGTAAAAACACTGGAATGGGACGAACAGGACAGATGTGAGTCAGACAAACTGGAACAGGACAAACTATTGTGGGATAATTTATGGACAAGCTCTACTGAGACAGGGTGCAGGCAGACAACTCATTCTGGACAACTCAGTGGAAACAACATAAGTATGCTATTTTTCTGAGAGCTGTGTTGGGAAAGAGAAAGGTTTTCCTGGCACAGACACTACTGTGTTGTCTCTGATGGTTCGTGGACCGGTGCAAATCAGTCTTTCCAATGATCGGGTTGATGGAGCGTGTGGATGATGAAACAGCATAATTTGCGTAGGTTAACAAAAACTATTTGAGCTCATACCATCGGGTGAAATAGCACCTCCCTATTTGAGTGTGAGGAGTGCCAGATTTCTGGCTAGGTGTCGAATCGCATGAAGATCTCTTTATTCCTAGCATGTGATTGTGGAGAGACGGCATTTTCTAGGTGATGGGTTTGCAGCTTTCTTTGGGGTGCTGCCAATTTACGAGCATTGTGTTTTAGAAGGTGGTTATAGCAGCATTTTTTTTTTGCAAGGGTGCGAGTCGCTAGTCTATGTAGCCGGTGATAAGGGGGTCCGGTTCTACCCAGTTGCTTTTGGGAAAGGTTGACATAAGCCGTTGCTTCGTCATCTCACAAAAACTCTCGGGGCACAATGACGTGGTTCCAGGTGTGTGTGTGTTGCCACCCCTTGTTCTTTTCGTCGGTGACTGGTGCCCTTTGTTTAGTGTTGGAAGGGAGTGTACATGTCTGGCGCAAGTCGCGTGAAATTATGAATCCCGTCGACGAGTGACCAGATTAAATCGCTTTTCCTTGCTAGGGAAGCCAGCTGACCAAAGGGTTACTAAAGCAGGTTGAGGCTTTCTTCCGGTGATTGCATCCGAAGGCTGGAGAAAACGTTTTAAGGTGTTTTTATGGGGCCGGTTGGTTTTTGTACTTGTTTTTACGTGCCACCATGTTTTTGGGTGTCTGTTTTTTGAATGCGACATACAGGGAGCGGGTGGCTTTCTTCGAGGGAACGTCCCGAGAAATCGTTTTGGTGTGGGTCTTTAGGTCTACTCGACTCTATACTCGGTTCTCTTTGTAAACAGTCATTGGTTTTCATCATTTTTGTTCAACGTTCACAAAGCTGTTGCTTGTTTGTGATAAAAGAATGTCTTATTTTGTGAGGATTGCATGCTTCTTGTTTTTAGAGAAGCTTCATTATTATGCATATAATGTTGGGAGTAATTCCAGTTACATTCTGCTGGTTCCAGTTTGCCAAATTCTATGTTGAAACATATATCTCTTTGCGGGGACTCACTTGCAAGGTGTTAGTGGAAGCGTGCACGTGCTGACGTGCAGGGACGTCGTCTGTGACAGGACAGCCGTGTCACCGACATAGAGACGTTAGTTGTTCAACACAATGAAAGCAATATAGTATGTACATCTAATTATCAATTTTATTTAAGTGTCCACAGTGGGCACTGAGTGTCTACTTCCACAGCAGAACTCTCATATTTTCTTTCGTGCCCGTCTAAGGAGCACGCAAGATGAATTCTGTGCGGATTTTGGGTCCGTCACGGGGGCCTAGAATTTGGCCCCAACTGTTAATGTTAGGTTGCCTATTTTGGTCTGCTTGTGCCAGTGGGGAAGCCTTTCCTTCTAGTACTGCGCGTCCCTGAACTCCTGAACAAAAGCCCCATTTATATATCGCCTCCCGTGCGGTAGTTCTACTCCATCTTTAGGAGAGCAGCCCGAGAGGGTGCATCTCTACTCTTGTTTGTTTTGTTGTTCTCACTGTTGACGTGAAGTCCACAGTAAAACGCTCGACTGCGGCTATCGGATGAGTGTACATAATGGCGCCATGGTGCTGTGTCCAGAACCCCCTGGGCGTGACCATAGGCTTAGGGATGTTTATGTGCAGAAGCTTCAGATTGTGTTCATTGTAACATTCACCAGCAGTTGACATGCCTCAAGGTTGTGAGCACACACACACATACACACACTTGTTTTCTGACCCTTTAAGTTGCCCGATTTTAATTGTAAAACCCACGCGAAGTGGGTGCTTGGACACCTTGGTCACAAACCTTTGTCCTGCCGCAAACGAGATCTTTCCACCTCGTCTGCGGCCGAAGTTGTTACTGGCCGACAGAGTGACGGTCTTTGTCTTCTGGGGTGGAGCTGTCACCCCTGGAGGCTGTATTTGTGTATCTGCCATTTTTGGTATTGTTAATGGTGGTTATGGTTTCGTTTCTTGGTGTGGCTCTTTCGTGGCTTTGTTCCGTGATGCACCTGTTTTGCTTAAAAGCTTGCTGCACATTCAGTCAGTCTGTTTTCTGTTTGTTGACATACTAGGCCTTCAGCAGCAAAGTGCACAACATTGACCGACTAGCATCGTAGCTGGGTTGGACTTGCCGTAGGTGTTGACAACGGGTTGCCAAACTTGCCCGGACGGGCGAGCCGTGGAAACTTGCGCGACCGTCTTTTAGGTTTTCTTCTCGACATCGTAGGAAACGGGTATAGTAATTGTTCTCTTTCAGGTTGTTATCAAAAGGAGGAAGTTTATGCATGTTGCTTGTTGTATTTTAAACATGTACATACACTTTCTAAATGACTATAAAGTATTTATGCACGGGTATATTGAATGCTATACTTTACTCTCATATCTTGGGCAAACTTGCCACTTGGTGTGCTTGCAGCATGTTCACCTGAGATATACTCATATTAATGAAAAACTCTCACAAACTTATCTTTTTTTGTTTTGGCGATAATCATACAACTTAAAACTTACAAACAGCTTTTTTTCTATTTTTTTAGCAATTGTTGGCAATCAGGTCAGCTTAGCAAAAGTGATACAAATTAAAACTTGCAAGTTTATTTTTTCTTTAATTTTTAGCAAGTGGTACAGATTGTGCAGAGTATGGCAATTATAGGAGGGGTCTGCATTGCTCAAGGTAAAGTGCCGTAGTTGAAGGCCTAGGCTGTGGTGGAATGGAAGCAGTGGTGGAGCCAGGGGGCAGGTGGCGCCCTCCTATGGTTCCCTCTCGTGACGTCATTACCTTGCGAACAACAAGTTCGATGGTGTCTGTAATGAGCATGGTGGAAGCTTGAAATCATTGCGCACTCTAAGCAACACTGCCAGCACCGTCAAAATTCAAGTTTTACATTCCTTATTTCAGTCAATGAGAAATCCTTTGCTGACATCATAGCCAGCAATGGGCCAGTCGCGGGGGAGGCCGACCACGGCGGCGCTTTCGATCGCGCATGTCGCCAACAGGGAGTATTCAACGGCAGTCATTGCTGTGTACGTGACTGCTGAGCGCATGCTGACGGCGAGCTTCCACAGTTCTTTTGCAACGTGCATTCCGCACCATTAAGATTGCCCGTCTTAGCAGCCTATTAGTGTGAGCTTGTTCTGAGCGTTCTCTCTAAACCACGCCCTCAAATATAGACCTCAGACCCTCTACTCGGAAAAAAAAAAAAAAAAAAAAAAAGTTCCTCTACTTCATTGGCCATACGTTCTGCGTTCAATTTACCGGTGCACACCGCCGTATTCGATTTATGGGTGCAGCCTATCTTAAAACAACCGGAAGTGTGAGTGCCCTGCACTTTTCTGCTCCGCTCCAGGTAGATCAAACGAGACTACGGCATGAAAGTGAGGGAGAGGGGGAGACGGAGAGCGCGCGGGGACGTCAAGCATGGATCGCTGGTTGGAAATAAGATCAGTCGGTAGGACACGCAAAGATTGCATCTACTCGCCCCTCGAACGCGTTGGAACGGAGTACAGACAAGGGCATAGCCTCCTCTTTACTCGCAAAGCCTGGCAGTTCGACGATGGAGCCAGAGATGTGCCCGGTCGCAGATTTGGAGCGCGAGGATCTGGTAGCACAGAGCATCAGTCATTTCTCGGGGAACCAAGGGGAAACCTAAAGCCCCTTCATGTTTAAAAGTAGCGCAAGGTGCGTCGAGGCACGTGCAACGTGCGGCCCTTGACAAGATCATGGCGGCTCAGCGCAGCACTGAGCTAGATTTCAGACGCCATGAATTTCCCAGAAGTGGCGCGCGACACGTGTCTCGAGCATTTCCACAATAATCAATGGCGCCACTTTTCCCAGGATAGAGGGGCTTTAGGGGAACCTAGAGTTCCTGTATAGACGATTGCAAGCTGGGCGACAGGCCGCCGCCATGTCTCTGCTCGAGCAGGCACGCCCGTGCGATTACGAGCTTGCCAAAGCTACGTTCACCCGCGCGTTGCACGCGCTGGCACGCATGGGGCACCACTTGTGGCGCCATGCTTGCAATTGTCTATAGGCTCCCTACGGGAGCCAGAGTTGCGCGTTTGATTCCACGTGCCGCGTGCCGCCCTCTCCGCTATTCGCCGAGATCCGATCACGTGAGGAGCCGTATCAAGTGTCGTACAGCAAAGTAGACGTTGCACGCGCCCCGGCGTACGTTTCCCGGCTTTTGAGCGCGCCGCGCGCCTCGCTGCTATTCGCCGAATTCAGTCACGTGAGGAGCTGTATCCACATGCCATGCCTGAACGCGGAACTCTGGCTCCCTTAGGGAGCCTATACAGGAACTCTAGGGGAACCCAGAGCCGTGTATTGGGAGAGTTTGGCCAATAGGCGGAGCAAAGGCCGCCGCCAGCGCCGAATATTCCCCCCGCGCTTAGAGCGTAAACTAAATTTGTGACATAGCGTCGACCAATCAGGAGACCGCGACGTCGCAATATTGCAAACGGCATTCAAAGCGTGAAATAGAGGCGTTCAATCTCGGCCTTTCTGCTCCATCTCACAAATGTCGGCAGTGAAGACAAAGGTACAGGCGCGTGAACCTAGCTCAGCAAAACGCTTTTGTTTGTACGAGAACTCGTGCATAGGAGCCACTTCCCAAAGCCACGCGCTCGTGCCCGTGCCTTTCTCTGCACTGCTGATGTTGGCTTGTTAGAACAGCGTCCTGTGACTGGCGGAAAGAAAACAGTGCAAAGGGTGGGGCGCGCGAGCGTCTGGAGACGCGGAGTCCCGCTCGGCTCGTGCGCTGGCTTTGGCAGTGCTTTCTTTCACCGTCTCAGCTGAGACGCTGTTTCTATACTTCGTTTCACCTTATCTGCGAGCGAAGCCAAAGCTAAAAGCGCGAGACCAGCGCTTTTTGCGTTTCTCCCCAGCTCGCACGCTCGAGCAAAGCCTGAAAGGGGCACTGACACATCAAAATCATATTTTTTTTTTATTATCCGAAACGATTGAAAACGATGCCGGGACATTACCCTCAAAATTTGAAATTTGGGAATTCAGTATTTGTGAAGTAAAAAAACAATTTCCAAATGCCGAATTCGAAGTTCCCGCGCGATCGGCGCCGCTCATAGAGATCATATACTAAATCTAGAGGAAAAGGTCCGCCATTTTCCCATACATTCTGGCTGCCGCAAGCGGCGGACCATGCAGGCAGACCCTCGGGGTCCCAAACACGGTTACATCATCAGAGCAGTTTCGTGAACTTCAACAATCCACGAACTTACCGGTGGAAAGATACTCGCGTGCTTTTCGAAGGTTTCTTTTTGCATAGCGCGCAGATGTACGGCCTCGCGTTAACGCTAAACTAAACCATGTACCCGGCTTCGCTGGTGGGGCGCGGCTGGGCGCGGCAGAGCCGTTTATACTGGGAGAGTTTGGCCGATGGGCGGAGCTTGTTGGCCGCTAGAACCAGCGGATTTCGCGATAACACAATATGGCGTTACTTCTTTGTCTTGTTCATTCCTGTGAAATCGCGTAGAGTTCCTATGAGGCAGATCCACAATATGGCGGACGGAAGTAGTCATCCCCCGGTTGTCAGACTACGCTGCTGTGGTTGTCAGACTGCCAAAATCTCCTTAAGAAGGCCAAACTCTCTCAGTATAAACGGCTCTGGGGCGCGGTTGAGGAATACGAAACTGCGCAACCACCAGATTTCCGAGATTTCGACAGAAGGGAAGTTAATGCAGCGTAATGACTTTATTGCTTTCTATAAGCGTTAGAATAGCTCAGAATTTAGTTTACAACGTTAAATTATCACTGTTTATATTGCTGAGAGTTTTCATTCTCCGTGTTTACCATGGCAACGTTGCTTTCTTTCTCTCGTGTTCTGTCGCTCTCTTTTGCGATCGTTCACTCGGGACCCAGGATGTCGGCGCACGGGATTTGCCACTCCTCCTCACCCACCTTTACCCCCCTGGCGCCGCTGCCTTGACGTCAAAAATCGCGGAGACCTGAGAGTCGACTTTCTTTCACCACTCCCTGCTGTTGCCATGGCGACCCAAAGCGAGGAGGAAAGGAGTGAGCGGCGGCGTTACGGCGGACCGGTTTTGAGCGGTGTCGCCTGTTTTCCGTTGGAGGATACAAATCCAGGAGACGGCACCACAACGAACTCCCGATTTTTGGTATTTCAAAAAGAAGGGCCTTAGTGCGTTCGCAATTGCGTTAAAAAACATGTTTTACGATTGCCGTTATTAAATGTTATAGAGATGTCGCCTACAAAGCTTCTAAATTTCCTGATTTTTGACGTCACCGATCAAAAGAAGCGAGGAGGCGAGAGGCGGGAAAATCAAACGCCAAAAATAAAAAGGCGCGCGCGCGCGCGCGGGAAAATATTTTTTCGCGATGCGGTTTTTTTTGCGTGTCTATGACTGCAACTTGCATCGTTTTAGACAATAAAAATAAATACGACCTTTGGGGTGTCAGTGCTCCTTGAAGGCACGGAGCTTTCGTGCTCGCGCTTCCAGCTTTGCCTTCGCTCGCACATAAGGTGAAACGAAGTATAGCAAGTTGGCCGGTGGCCCTGGTTTGGAGCGCACGTTCGTTTATTCTACACTTGAATATTGGCGTGACGAAAACCTCGCACGCAGAAAGTTTTCAGTCACTGAGAGTAACACCTTTGAACTCTAGCGACGCTAAAACGGCTTGAATGGACCTTTTGTAGAAACATCGGTTCGAGAGTAAATGTTTCCAGTACCCTCTCTCTCTTCCTTCTGGCCGAGCAGAGAGGGAAGATGGTTTCGTTGTGTCGACTTCGGGACGGAATATTACGCACGATGGGGACAAAGGCGAGTTTGGGAGAGCCGTATCTAGGTCACAGCGCCTCAATGGGTGAACAGGATGTAGCTGACGTTTTGTGTGTGGAACGGGTGGGAGAGGCCTTGCGCGCGCGTTGTTTTCTCGCCACTTAGCCTCGAGCCCAGTCGCGTGTCTAGGTGGCAGCACATATTCGCCAAGAGGTCCATTAGTCGTGTCACAAATTTAGAGATTTAGAGTTCACGACCACCGCTAGGGGCTGTTTCGCGGCCTGTGGTTGGCCCCGAGATGCTCGCCTATTCAAACAAATGTATGGCCAAACTCTCTCGATAAACGGCTCTGGGGGAACCTGGACGTCAGCGCACAGCTTTTGCAGTGGCGAGGGCCCGAAACACACTTGTTCGCTCGGGAGAAGTGTGTTTCGGCGTCTCGCCGCAGTGGGGCACGCCAGTCACGTGGCTCTCTCATCCGTTGTCTGCCGCTCCACCTTTTCCCTTTCGGCGGCCGCTTCTCCCCCTCCTCACGCTCCTACTGCACTATCACTGTAACGCAGTGACGTAAGTGATGCGACAAATTGCGCCACGAACGCAAGTCGGCTATATGTCGCGC